AGGCGAGGAGCTGCCCTACTCTCAAAAACATGTATATGAATGCAGTCTTGTTGCCCTGTCTCACTCACTTATTCGAATAATTATTCATTATCATAATCATTGTTATACAAGTGTAAAAGTAATTACATAAAAATAATTGATGCTGCTGCACTCGCATGCGTGTAATATCTACTCGTTGCTAATATATTCGTATCGTTATGATTACAACGCATGCAAATTCTTGTGTTACGCTATGCCCAAGCAGTGTTTCGGGGGTAAGTAACCACTTGCAAGAAATATGTAGAGGCAAGAAAGTGGTTTCTTGCAGCTATTGGTATTTTGACCTGCTCGAAATGCAAGAAACTGTGCCCCGCCGATGTACTACTTATGACACGTGGCGTAATTTTGTGCATTTTCTTGCAATTTTATGCACCTCGCATTTTTTGCACTTCTTGCTTTGCACTGCAAGAAATGCATGTAGCAAATCCGCAAGAAACGAAACGCTGTGTTCAGGCAGACACAAAAATGTCAAAGTAGAAGATGCATGTGCATTTATTCATTGATTTGTGTGCTTGGGTGTAAAAAAATCAATCAATATATGGCAATTTTTTTCAATGAACATTCTCTCTTATTAAATTTATTTAAGATTAAATATATGCATGCACGCTAGTTACGTTACTCTTCTTCTTCTTTTTGTAACCATCTAATTAAAAATGGGAAATGTTGCGAAATTGGAATTACAATTTTGCACACTAGACTTAATTTTATGCGAAATTAAAGATTTACTAGCATTTACTATTTCGTAACGTAACAAATGTGAGAATTACAATTTTCGGTTTGTTTGGTAAAAACAATGCGATAATTTCTTAGCGGACAATTATTGTGCATTATTACTTTTGCACAATAATCCACACAAATTATGTCGACAAACTTGCCATTTTTTTGCCTTGTCCTTCATATGCATGCATAAAATACGGTACGGTACAGCACTACATGCTTCAACCAGGCATCGAATCCACACCTCTGATCTGACCTGGCCGGCTCCCCCCCGTCTTGTCAACGCGCAATTGATCCCATCTGTCTTTCAAGTACGTTTATACATATCCGTCATTTAACGTGGTTACCTTTAATCTCGGCGAGTTTATTAAGGCGCACACTTCCACACATGAATAGTTCGCATATCAGTGTAAATACCAAGCCAAACAGGACTACGAAATCATTCCAATCTCATCTCAGCCAGCCATTCATTACTGCAAAGAGTGCTGCAAAGTTAAGCCCAACAATGGACCACCACAAATGCAATGCAATGTACCAAGTGAGATCGATCCAAGCGATATTCCAGTCTCAAAATTGCCTCACATATGCATCTACATACATACCTACGCACTACTTATCTGCTCGTAAATAGACGACGTGTCCCTGCTCGATCTTCAACCAACTCTTCTCATACGAATGTACATATGTAGAATTAAACCAGACTTTTTATATATTTCGGATAGGGCAATTTTGTGAAGCGCTGAGCGTTTAGACTTTTCTCAAAAGGAATAATTGTACACATACATACATCTCTGCGAATATAATCTATACTAAAATGAATAAATATTTGTTCTCATAACCAGACTTATTTGGCATGAATTCTTTTGCTGAACCTGCAACGACGACGACGACGACTGAATCAGAGACCCAGCCCTTTTATCGCGACATCTCAATCATTTATTTTCATTTAGGGAAAAGACACTGCCTCCACTGCTTGACTGTCAAGTACACATGCACAGACCTGCTCCACATCGCTCAATCCTTGTCTCTCTGTCTGTGTGCGAATATCCGACCAAAAAAGATTAATTTGCTGTGCACTTGAAAACTGAAAGTGTTTCATTACCTACAATGTCACGTACGTCAAACGGGTGACATGTGTGTGTGTGAATCCGTGAGTTATGGGAGGACGCGTTCCTTCCCAATAAATACGTACATACGTATTATTACGTAATGCAAAGTGTATCTATCCCTGAAGGTAACTGGGTACACAGACATGTGCAAAAAATAAAGCAAGCAAGAAATGCCACCCACCCAGAGAGATACACAAATAGACTCTTTTTCTTAAGCTTGGTGGTGGTTCGTGTCCCTACGTGTCCATTTGTATTTACTGATCAGTAATTAATCCAATCAGACGCCACGGATCTTCAATCCATCATTAAATTCCTGTCCACCTGACCACTTTAAGTAAATACATCTCAATTTGGTTGGTACGCATGGGATGTTTGACACACGTACGTACGTATTTACGAGGAGGAGGAGGAGAAGATCGATTCTTCATGTTTTTTGGCGCAATCAATACCCTCCAATAATAAATAATAATAATAATGGAGCATAATTGGCAATTGGTAATTCAAACGAGCCGTTTCATAAATTAATCGTGTATGTGAGCTACTAAATACTTGTGCCATCATTAATCAAGGTCGTGCAGGCAACCTTAATTCAGTCCTAGTATTATCAGTCCATTTATTATTATTACGACAACCACGGTGACTACTACGAACGACTGCTATTTATTATTATTTGTTAGTGATCAGTAATGGAATGGTAGTCAGTCAGGGGCAGGTGGTTTCTGCTGCTGCTGAAGGAATCTCTGCAGCTTTTGATTTCTCATGACCGACATTAATCAATGTTGTGTAGAAGAAGGATAATCAATGGCTTCGTTTCGTAGGGGAGCTAATTTGGTTGGATGTTAAGAGAAGATTTGTGTCGGTCAGTGTCGCATTGCAGTGACCGATGCTGCCACCGAAGACACGAGTAGATCGTGTTGGGTAACGTGTACCCTTTCGTATTAATCACGTAATGAAATTAATAGTTTATTTACAATGGATGTACATAATCAGGGAAAGTGTAGGTCATTCCTATTTATTGTGTATAGGTCAGCGGGTCCCGTTCAATAAATAACTATTTAGCGTGTCAATAATATGGACCTATATTTCTTATTTAAGCCAAATTATTCATAACAGATTTTAGTTAGAATAGAAGTTAGTTAAGAATTGGGATTTGACAAATTGTCTCATTTTCTATTTGTGAGAGTCCATCAAACAATAAAATCTCATTTTGCCTCAAGAAATGTATGTACTAGTTGAATTCTAATGTGTTTCGCATGTCTACTGAATACACTCCTTAGTTCAGCATGTCCCGTTCAATAACTACTTAACATACCAATAATATGAACCTATTTCATACATATTTAAGCCAAAATTAATACATTTTCTAAACTTCGTTATAAATAGGCATTTGACAAATCGTCTCAATTTGTGAGAGTTCACGTAACAATGTAGTCTCACTCTGCCTCACGAAACGTATCAATAGTCGAATTCTAATTTGTTTCGCATGCCTACTGAATTTTAATCGGTCGTCTCAATCTCGAAAAATGTAAAACTTTGACACATACTGCGGAAGAGAGAGAGAGAGAACATGCCGGATTATTGCATTGCATTGTCGTCGTCAATTTTGTTTTGATCAGATGCATCTAAAATCTTACATGCTCATGTCATTCCCATTTCAGTCAATTAACCACAATCACGGATCGGAGAGCAGAGAGCGAATTTTATCAAATACGCGATTCAACCGTGTGCACAGAAGGGAAAACTGTTTCAACTGCCCTGTTTGACAAGATACCTGCAGCGTGGCTGGGTTTGGTGGGGCTCGTAACAAAACAACAAAGTCTAAAAAGAGACGACGACAAGGAACACAAAATGACAATATTGCATTCATTTTGCTCCTTAATTTTAATAAAGATCTGACGACTGAATTCAGCTCGAGGAGTGAAAGGGGCACATGGCCAGAGAACGGGACGGGAGGATTGATTTTTGAGAGAGTTGGCGAGTTTTATGTACGTACGTAAATAAATACATCGGGAAAAACAAGTTACGCCTTTAATCACCCAGCATGATGAGCATGTCACAAGAGCGACTACATAAAAACGTTACAAAACCTGGCAAACGTAAGGAAACGAGAACAATTATGCATGCATTTGGATGGATTTATGGACGAGCCTGCCATACCCTTGCACCACATGCATTCATGTCTCATGAATGAATTTCATATCACATATGCATTCCATTCCGTCCTGGTGACGTTATGGCGTAATTAACGACACATACAAATACAAGATAAGATAATTGGAGGTTTGAAAAATGGGGTAAAATTCCTGGAATTTCTTAGATTACGAGGTTTACCCAAAAAATACCCCCAAAAAATTGTCACCATTTTAAAAATTATTTCCGTTTTCCTCCCCCTGAAATAAGTATGTATAATTAAACAATAAATGGCCAAGAATAATTGTTTTCATGTCGTGTTACAACGAAATAAATAATAAATGCTAGATAAGCAGATATTGCCAACCATTACAAAAATAATAGTGTCTCGAAAAAAGAGGAGGAGGCGAGGGAAGAAGATCTGCAATTGATCTGGCATCCAAACTTTTTTTTTCACCAATTTCGCTTCACCTTTAGCTCTCTCAAATTACGAATCTTTTCTTAAAAACATGCCCATGCTTATGCACTTTGGTGTTGTTTATCATCACCAGTTAGTGATATTCCCAGCTACAGTGCAAATGCAGTATCTATCTTGATGAGGAGACAAACTAATGACTAATTTATGTGGCTGGCAGGATCTTTCGTTTTTTGTTAATAACTTGCAAGCGGTATTTATTCGCATGCATAATCACAAGTGTGAGTGAGCCGAGTGAAAAAAAAATCTCCATAATATTATCCTTCCTTGCTGCATTGATTACGTATTACGGATTGCATGCATAGGATTACAGAAGACTGCAATTTTTAAATGCTCACAGCCCATAATTATTTATGGGTACGACTCCTTCTAGAAATTATTTTGGGGGAAGGTGATGGTCGACCCAGTAAATAATAGCAATTATTTCTTCAATCAGCACCCTGATTAGGGGTGATTGATGATTAATCAATGCCAAACTTTGTCCGGTTCGAAAATAAAACGAGGGCAAAATTAGCCACAAAATTTCTTACCTTGATCAACATGTTCCTAAAATAGCGTCCCGATTCCGGTCAAGATCCAACCAAGCCACCAAAGTCAGTGTCCAAGTCTCACTCTGTTTCTTTTCACACAGTTCAATTCTCCACAATTTCACCCGTGCACAATTTACTAGTGTTCGAGAAATTGCTAAAAAAATGATGCCGTCGTTGCTTTCCTTGCTCATTTACGACGACGGGATGGCGTGCACATGACGGTCGGTGTGTGAAAAATGGGAACGTCGACTGAAATGGAACAATTTGCAGGGGAAGCCTTATATATGAGGACCAAGATAGATCTCGGCAGTCAAGAGGAGAGAGAGAGAGCCCTTTTGCCTGCCTTCCTGCGCTTATGGATCACGTCACTTGTTGCCACTTTATGATTATTTGTCGAGAGCAATAAGCAGTGCTATGTACGAACGATGATCTGCTGACCATCCATCCATCCACATCCATTATGTGTACACAGGCAGCAACGTGTAATAATAATGACAGAACATGTACGTGGGACGAGGACGACGAAACGGAAAAATGTGACCCCTCAAAAAATTCAATGTCTTGTTACGAGATGATGATTACTCAGAAGAAGAAGAGATGTAATAAGTGGGCAAGCAATGAAATGACATAACTTTTTTATTTTGCAGATCTACATAATTCGCGAGATGATTTTTTCGCAAATTTTTCATTTCGGGTATAACTATAATTATAGAGTGATTTCTGAGTATTTGCCGTTACCTAGAAAAAAATGGTGAGGGTACATGTGTTCTTATGTCCGGGTTATAAATAATTATAGGTTTTTTATCCAATAATTCGAGCGAACCCAGTAATTTGTACCTGGACTCATTAATTATAGGACTTTGAACCTCCGAATCGGCGTACAAAGCAGCTGCAAATGTACAAATATTTTCTACGAATACGCTACGCCATCAATTCCAGCCCCATGTACCCCTTAATTATGGGGATTAAGACGCAAGAGTGATTTTTTACCCAGGTGTGAAACAGTATTTTGAACAGATTTAAGTATTCCAAACTGGTTAGACCGTATGGAAATCGAGGCAATAATTAGTATAATAATCTCGGGTAGTAAAGTACTTCATACATCTTTTATACCTACAGAGACAACAAATTGCCCGTTTCCGCACAACAGTACAGACAACGATCTGATTATTATCATCTCTGATCCACGAGTTCATGTCTCATTCTTCTTCTTAAAGTAACTTTGCTACCTCAAGTCAAGAGTTGGGACAGGTCACGTTTCCGCGAGCAAAAATTTCTCTTAATTCCCTCCAATCGGAGAAATGGCAAATTCGCGAGAATACATAAATTCATCCCTTCTTGAAAACCTTAAACCCATCTTTGATCACGATTAGGCAATAAGTTAGCATAATTTCGTCCCAAATGTGACAATCTACTACTTAACCAAGCAGCAGTAATGAAATGATGATCACCACTTAAAACATTATTCGCACCTCCTCCTCCTCCTCGGTTTATGATTATTACATCTGCATTTAAAATCTGACATAATAAGTACAAGCACAAGTTGAGAGAGAGAGTTAAGCACATGAATCGTGCTCATGATTACTTAAATATACGCAGCCATATATTTAATAAATCTGTTTCTTGTCCATTTAAGGCAGCAAAATCAAGGGTGCACTACTCCTTCTTTGCTTCATCATCACGAGCATTATCAACTTTATTGCTGGTGGATGGACGGAGGAGAAGATGGTCTCATGAAATGGTCACATTTTAGTCGACGACTTGTCATTTCAGGACAATGTGGAGCACAACGCATAATTATTCTATATTTACCTTCGACAACAACGAGTAAATAACTACTCGACCAAATTTCAATGCAAGGTTTCGCTTTTCTTTCCCCTAACCCTCATGACTGATCAAGATCAATCAATAGGCAGACAAAGGTGTAGGTGATTGATGCCTTATTGGTCATAATATTGTTATTATTATGTGAGTGATGCATTCCATTCCATTCACCAAGAGAGCAAGCAAGACGTAATATTTACTGTTTTGTATTATTATTAGCATCAAACACGATATGGTTGTGGACAGGGTTTCGTAATTTCTTGCGGGTTTGCTACATTTCTTGCACTGCAAAGCAAGAAATGGGTGCAAGGAACTGCAAGAAATTGGGTTATCCAGATTATCGTATCGATTATCATTAGCGGCGGAACGTAGTTTCTTGCGCCTTGCATTTCTTGCAGGTCAAAATATTAACCTGCAAGAAACCACTTTCTCCCATTTATTTCTTGCGGTGGTACCGAAACCCTGGTTGTGCCTGCATTTATCGCAGTCTGGATGGATGGGAAATTTTGTGTACCACGTTCCGTCCCATTTCTTCCTTTTGGTAGAATAATAATTAACCTTAAAAAGTAGTTGACCAAATTTAAAGTACTCGAAGCAAAAAGTGTCCATGTTACGACCAGGACAATTAAATGTTACACAATTCCTGATCTCATCCTCTTCGTCGTCCATCCATCCATCCATATACGAGAGAGGACCGTGATGCTGATGAGTAAGAAGACGTATGCATGCACGTATGCAGATTTATTAGCACGCAAGGGGACATTATTATCGTTACGATTATTATTATGGCACTAAATTTACGCCAACGTGGCATCTCCTTCTCCTCTCTTTTGTTCAGATACTTGTAAATCTTGAAGGTGGCAAGTAATGAATTTGTGGTCACATATGCATCAACGTCAAGGGAAAAGGAAGAGATGGATGATGATCTCAGAGAGAAGTTGGCAAAATATTTTGCAAATAATTTAGCAGATTTTAGACAAACTTTTTATTTAAGGAAATTTATAATTTTGCCAAAAATCTGTTCTAATTCGTCCCCAGATTTCCTTCCTGACTCTAAAAAATTATTAAATAAGTAAGTTATCAAATAAGTTTAATGAAGCGATTCTCTCGGCGTGAATTTGAAGAGAAGAGGAGCATCTGGCTTGTTGATCAGGGTTGTGATAGCGTCCAACTTATCAGCTCCGAGCCATTCGAGACGGTAGTTGCGAAAAAGCTGCAAATAAATTAGTAAATAAATAAATGAATACGTAAAATTATGTAAAACTAAAATTATGCGAATATAAATGTAGACAGGCAGACAAAAGGTGGACATATTAAGAAAGGAAATCAAGAGAGGAAGCCAACCAGGAGACGTGTTCACGACCGTCTTAAATATTTTAGTGTCACATAATTAATAATAAAGTTTTCTCGTTTTGACACGAAAAGGATTAGTCGTGCGATATAAAGTACCAAACAAGGATTAAATATGTAATAACGAGTAATCTGATTATTACGGATTTCATTTGTGATCCTCAAAAAAAAGTTATTGGTTTCATCTTCACTTTTGTTGACACAATTTGGCTGACTTATTAGCAGATGAATAGTGGTGGTGGTCTGGTGGTGGAAGGGACGATGTCATCATTGCGTAATACAGGATGACGCTTATATGGCATAAAGCCAGTTCAAGTCACGTTACGTTGTTAGTTAGTTTCTGATCGCTAGCGTCCACACACCGTTCCTCCCACTCCACCCCTTCGTACACTACGTGTAGTGACCACGGAAGCTGTGGGGACATCTTGGGACATTAAAATTGGATGGCGGGGTTCATATAGCATGGGCGGATGATGGGGACATCGAATAACCATGGGCAAATTGTCCTCACGCTTCCGCGGCCACTGAATATGTGCATGTCTGCGTAGTTCTGTACGCGGATGACGATGACGACGATAAGATGATAATCACAAACATAGCAAAATACATAATAATACATCAAATTCTATTAGAATATGGCTGCATGCATAATTCAGGATTAAGCAAGATTGGGGTAATTTTTAGGGAGAAATGTGCCAAAAATGTGTTGCAAAAATCTCAAAGGTGATAATATCTGATAGGATTTCATAAGAAAGATGACTCACCCGGAATACGAAAATGTTCATGGCCTGTTCCGCAAGTCGTCGGCCAACGCAGGATCTCGGTCCAAAACTGAACGGAAGACTGACGAAGGGATGGATTTTCTTAAATTTGCCATCATGATCGTACCGCTCGGGGATGAAGGCTTCCGGCTGCTCGACGTATTCTGGCAGGCGGCTCGTCACCGCGTTCAGAATGACGATATTCGTCTAAAGGAAGAGTAGATAACTTAATTAGAGGTCTTCCAGCGTATGCTCTCCGATTTTGAGCAAACTAGTGTCAATCGATCATTAATTTAATTAGTATGAAATTTGGAAAGATATATTAATGCGCAGGTTTGGCGGATATATTTGCATCCAAAGAGGAGAAAACGCGCAGTAAATTTGGAAAGTGTAAAATTTGTCAAATTTGGGACACGTTTTCTCCTCTTCGGATGCAAATATCTCTCCCAAGCGTGCTCACTGGAAGATCTTGTCTCTTGCAAATTTCATACTAATTAAATTTGTGATCGATGGACACTAATTTGCTCAAAATCGGAGAGCATACACTGGAGACCTCCATCATTAGTTTTCAGTCTGCTGTATATAATTGTTTAGACATGAAATTGTGTCGTTCTTACGCCTTCCGGAACGTGATATCCACTGAGAATGGTGTCCTCTGTGAGGACGCGTCCCACCCCGACGGCCAACGGATTGATGCGCAGCGCCTCCTTGATGCACTTTTTCATGTAGCGGGCCCCCCTCAACATGTCGGACGTGATGGGTGCGCCTAAACCGTCCTTGTTCAAACCGTACAGCTCCTCGAAGAGTTTTTCTTGTACGCGGGGATTCGTACTGATATGGTAGAGGATGTAGCTTAAGGAATAAGCGACCTGAAATAGGCAGGGTCAAAGGTCAAGGTCACATCATGTCCCGGTTTAGCATACACATATTTTGATGCTGTGTAATTTCTCTCGCTGGTAATTTTGCGAAATAAAAACATGCCCATTTGTAGGGTAAGTTTGTGAAAAAAATCCAATCGTTTTTCAGTAAAAGTTTTCGACAAAAGTTTGCAAAATCTCACAAATTTTGCAAACTTCGCAAGTTATGTTGCTATACCCTATTTTCGAGATATGCGAAGATTAATGTGAGTAAGCTCAATGTCGGCATACCGTATCAATCGACGCGAGTACCATGTCGGATAGGAAAGTTACCATTTTGCGGTAATCCTTATGGCCATCGCGAATCCAGGTGTCCAACATGGAGTTATTCCCCTCCTCAGCGACCAGCTCTCCGTTCACCAAGCGGCGATCGAGACGTTCCGTGACGACGCTGTGTCAGTTTGACTTCATGAAAATTTTTATAATAATATTATCAACAGATAAGCGCTTACTCATCCAGTATCTGCGCCCCCTTGAGAATAGTCTTGTATAACGGAGTGGAAAATAAACGCCACGTCTGAGACCCGTGATCCGTCGGACCGGTGGCGTGATTGAGTTCGGTCGATGTCCAAATTAATTTCTGAGTCATTGAGTTCGAGTCCAAATATTCATCTATGGCGTTCCACTTTTCTCCGAAGAGTGACATCCCGTTGTCTATCGTCATAAGTGAGAAAATATAATCGTACGCCTCAGAAATCGTGTCCCGTATCGCATCACTTACAATCCGTGGCAAATGCGAACAAAACGTTGAGAAAATCTGACTCCACGTGAACCTTCATCGATGGAGAATTGACAGAGGAAACTAGATCGCACGCAGATTGATCACATTTCTCGATGAATATTCCAATTTCTTCGATAGCCATGGCTTTCTGGTGACGATGGCGAATTTCAACCCAGTCGGATCCATTCCTACATAATTGGCATTCATTTTTAGCTAAAGTCAGCGCTTATGAACCCCTCATGGTTATCTGTCTGTCTGTCTGTCTACCTATTACGCCCGTAAAACCTATCCAATCGAAATTTTGTACGCACGTAGAATATCCAAAATTAGGGATCAAATTCGAAGATGAGGAAAATCTCTCGGAAAATAAAGAAGTTGTGTGGTCGTATCTAGCCAAATTAGTAATAACAACCTGACTCGGGCTAAATAAACCTGGATCTGTCAAACTCTGGGTTTTCCAGAGTTTGACTGACGTAGATACCTTTACTTATAAATTTGCCAACGTTTTTGCAATTCTTTAAATCTCAAACAACTTAATTTGAATAACATGAATATTTCAATGCCACCAGAAAACGTGACGCATGTGCCATATTTCAACATCCTGCAGACTACACTACGTTTTACATACATACGTCATAAAAATTCCCCCATTGAAATGCGTACTCTTCAACTCGTGCGTCCGAACGTGTTCCAAAACCTTGTGGGTGACTCGTTTCGGCCACACGGCGTTCCCCCCGCTGCCCGGATTTCGTCCCAGAACGGTCTGAATATCGTCAGGGTCGATCAGATAGACGAGCGTCGTGCCCCACATGGTTTCCTTGAAGATTGGGCCAAACTCGCGAAACTTGATGATGGAATATTGTGTCAACAAGTGGGGTTTGTACCGCCCTAGAACATAAATAAATAATATAAATATTATTGCGTAACGATATGTAATAAACGGTACGCAAAACAATAAAAAACTGTATCAACTTTCCCAATCGACTGGCAATCGTCATTCACTAATCAATCAATCAATCAATCAAGACCAGATCAAAATCATTATTTTAACCAGATAACGAAAAAATATTGAAATGGAGACCAGCTTTTGTTTCAAATCGTCACGGTTTGATTTTTATCACATGCATGTACCAAAGGACGTGAGTAGCAGTGATTAAAAAGTCTGAAGTAACAACGACGAATGCAACAAAGTGCACTGCATGTGCATGACATGATACGATTGCATTATTAATTATTATTTACTGTCCGTGTGGCCTGGTCAGTTTGACCTAATTTACTTACTCGCCTCTTAAGTAGGGAATTTGCCAATTAAAACTAAACACTCACCAAAAACGGGCAAATAATGCGGGACAGCTCCCACGATCGGGAATGAGCTCGGGCCAGGAATATCTTTAAGCGTGCGTTGATGTACGGCCGACGCCACGGTGGCAAAACTTCGCCGAGATGCGAACGACAATGTGGACAACATTTCACGTTGTTTTTTTTGATAAATTCGAAAGAAGTGTCAAGTTGTAAAATTGAAAGGGAATGCGAATACTTGGTAAATAAATAACTGCGGCCGAGCAAGTAGTTTTTGTGGCCTGGTCCGTCCAGAATTTGGGGAAGAACTAACTGAAACTATTTCAGCCTGTTTGTTATCATCAGAATCCAATCCAGTACTGAGAAAAGGCTGACTGACGGTCGGCCACCTTTGACTTTGACATTGACAAATAATTCTTACTTTCATTCCCGTCACAACTGGACAAGATTAAGCTAGGATCCATCCTTCCACGTTATTTTATTTATTTATACGTTATTCTTGAGAAATGCACCCCAACCCAGGGAAGGTTATTTTATTATACACCCCAACCTAGGGAAGGTTAGAATTTATACAAAAATAAAAATATCAGTAACGTTTACGTACCAAGAAATATCACCTAAATGTAAGTAGGAGACATCCATCCATATTTTTATTGCGTTGGGCTTATACATAAAGATTTTAAAATATTGAATAATGTGCGTACGCGAAGTATTTAGTGGAATTTCGAAAACAAATACCATTTTCTCGAACTTTCGGGTATACTATTCTGCTTGCACTCATTTCCAAGAGTTTACAAAAAATTGAAACATTTTCGAAAATTGGATTCTGAAAATCGGATTTGTAATTTTGGAAATAAAAATTGTACTAAAATTGAGATAAGTTAAAAAATATTTAACCATTTTGTTAAACAAAATGAGACGAATGGAGATGAAAACTATTTAATTGTAAGCAGGAGATATTCGTAATTAATTTAATTGCGTAGTGCGCACAGATTAAAAACACGTGGTAAATTAAAAACTGCACGGTTGAAAATAAAAATTGTACCAAAATTGAGATCATTAAAAAATATTTAACCATTTTGTTAAACAAAATGAGACGAAAGTTAGTTAAGAATCTCAACTTGAGATCATGGATGGATGGGAAAACGTGAGAAACCACCGAATTCATGTCATGTGCTCATATCCGAACCAAAAATCCACCACTGAACTTACTAAAGTGAGTGAATGAAACGCAAAACAACAACTTTTTTTGCTGTAATTTTATCCACCTCGATTAACTAATTGTTACTTAAATCCACTTAAAGTAATAACTGCGCTGGAGGTGGTGAGCTGATTAATTATGAGGGAGTGACGACGTCGACGACGATAACATCATTATCATTATGGCAAAGTCGAGTCGTTGGTGGCGACGATTTCTGGCCGAGCACAAATACGGTGTCGCCATTGGAACAGGAGCAGCTATCGGTGCTGGGTGAGTGAGAGTTATCTCGTGATAAGCAAAGTATTGATGAGTAAAAATGTACATTTATTAATTAATTCAGAGGGACGTTGGGCTGCATTTATTCGCTCAAATGTAAGCTTCAAGAGACCGTTCCAGCCGAAAGTAGTCTTCTCGACGGCAAAGATGTGCCCTATATTTATGCCGTGGACCCAGGTGGGTGTGGTTTGGTGGTGGTTAATTAATGAATTAATAGAAAACTTGTAAGTTAATTGATCACAATTTATTGTTTGGTTTGATTAGAAGAGTCGAGCGCTTTCTTGAAGCAACATTTCCCTCGTTGGTGGCCAGTTAGTTTCATTGCAAGACCTATTGCTTATCAGCTATTTGAAGATATTAGGAAATCAATTACTCAGATTAATGACGACTCGCTTAGAACGTTTGCCAAGTTTTCGTCCTTATTTGGTAAGGTGGCATTTACTTGATTTTAATAATTATTTTTATCATGACCTTAGATTTTGTTTGTGAATTTTATAGAATCTGAATGTAACCACTTTTCGATTTGCATGGATCTCAAGACTGCTGTCGCCCTTGCACGATGCGGAGCAGATCCTAGATTATTCATTTCGCCGAGAGTGATTACAAAAGATCATAAGGTGACGACACGACTTTTGAGTCAATTGACATGGTTCTCTTTGTTAGTGATGTAGTTTCCTTAATTTTTTAAATACTATCTTTTGTTGGAATAGGACTATTACGGTAACAAGTTTCGTCATTTATTTTCCACCCTTCCAAATGAAAACATTCACGCTACGTTGGAGAGTTTGATATCGCGAGGCCTCAAGCAGTACCATCCTACCGAGAAAGAACAAGAAGACAAATCATTGGTTAGTTTTCTTATGACTCCACTTGACAAATTTTTAGGACTCGATAACTCATCGTCGAAATCAGCACATTTTTATTCTGCTCTGGGAATCCATTTAAAATTCTGGACGACCAATTTGTAGAGCAGCCAATTAAAAAAATATATGCTCCACAGTTTGTCAGTTTTTGAAGGAGATTTCAAGTTTAAGAAGCCCTCAGAAAAGTTGCAACTCATCGAACCTGGCTTAAAAAACAGAGCCATTCCATTAATCACCTTACTGAGGACAAATTCGTCGTCCAGAATCTTAAAATAAATTCTCAAAGCCGAGAAATGATTAAAAATGTGCTAATTTTGACGATTTTGGTGATGAATCATTTGAGTCATACCTCCTACTCTAAGTAACGCATTCATTGAGTAATTTTTATTAGGATTACTACACCGGATTTGAATCAGATTTCCACCTGTCACAAAATCCCGTCAAAGAAATGAGCGAACACGAATTTTTGAAGATATGCCTTCTCGGTGTCGTCAGTCACTCTCGCATTCGTGAGAGCATATCCGAGCTTCTCTCGCAAGATATACTTGACCTGCTCGTCGTGATATCACGTGAGTATCGCGACAGCGTGGATATCATGTCGCTTGTTCTTAAGGTCTTGGCGAATATATCCTGTGACACTTCGTCCGCCCAATTGATCAAAGATACCGGTACGAATTCCACCAACTCTACCAATTTCCCTCTACCACTTTAAATATGCAATTATCTACTTTTTATAGGTTGTCTAAAAATCCTCGCGATATACGGCACTTCGCATGACGTTAGATTAGCTCTTCCGGCAAAACGTGCCCTTCATAATTTAGACCGACGCGGTACTAACTCCGTTCTTCCACCAGGAATTTACCAACTGCATCCTGAATTTGGTTGTGATGATTGTTCTTCTCAATACGACATTGTCTTCATTCACGGTCTTCTGGGTGGTATATTTCGTACCTGGCGACGTCACGACATTAATCCCAGTAAGCGGTTCGGTCCATTTAAATATAGCCTTATACATATTTGCATTACATAATTAATTAATTACTAATCTCTCTTTGATCAGACAAGGACTTTTCCAAGACAGACAAGGACGAGCATGAGACTAGAATGTCCATCTGGAAGGCTCGCATACTCGAACTTCGGAGCAAATCACCGGTACAACACAATAACAATTGCTTAGGTACACGTGCGACTGCATGGTCAGTGGTGACCCCGTGTGCTAAAATATTACCTTTTTTGTTGTTTTACTGATTGATTGATTGGATTTCTCTTCCCAAACCAAACCTTACGTGCACCAGCTTTTGTATAATCCGACCCCCATCGCTAATCCAGGTTTTTGAGACTTGCTACTTATCATGATTTACGAAATTGATCATTACGATGTACAAGGAGCATTTCCATTCTTAACGGATATCATTTAATTAATTTTTCTAGACGAAACAGTGGTTTATCCAACTCGCAGGACGACGGAGGATGGTCAAGTTAAAATAGATTGTGAGCAGCTTCCATTAGAATTGGACCAAGAAATCGTTTCTACCCCGACGCAGTGTTGGCCGAGGGACTGGCTGCCGACTAACTGTCCCAAAAGTCGTATCATAGGAGTAGACTTTGAAAGTTTTGTTAGTCGCTGGATGACAATTTGTCCGATTGAGACGGCAGAGTGAGTTGATGCATAAGAAAAAAGGTAATGATTTCGTACATAATAAATCATATCGTTTTCAGACGTCTACTAAAAGACAGGAGTGCAGAACTTCTCAATAAATTACAAGATATTGGAATTGGACAAAGGCCCGTTGTTTTTGTGACACATTCCATGGGCGGACTACTCCTTAAAAGTTTACTATGTCAAGGTAGGAATTAACAAGGATTGATTCGATATTACGGGTTCACTATTGCTAGTTGTTTCCAATGAATATAATTACATAATTGGTACATTTTAGCTGCCGATAGTGATGATCCGGAAAGACAAAAGATTGCATCCAGTACAAAAGGTGTCGTATTTTGCAGCGTGCCTCACCGAGGAACCGACATGGCTGTGCTAAACACTGCTCGACGTTGGCTATTGTTGCCTACTGAAGAGATAGATGAATTGTCAGACGGTAAGAAATATACATAACTTCTTTTACATAAAAACAATAATTTTACTAATTTTAGAGGACAAGCAGCTCACAAATCTTAACGAAGCCTTCATCGAACTAACAAATCAGCATAATTATAAAATACTCAGTTTCGGAGAAGTTTTAGAAACTCGGACCGGTTTGGGCATGCAATTCAAATTGGTACCGTTTTATTCATCCGGTATGTATGCATTATTAAGTTAACTGTTAATTAAACTGTACATGTTTTCGTAAAATCATAATCTGAATCACTCACTCATACGTTTATTATTATTGCAGACATTGGTATTGGTGACTACTACCCACTTCGGTTGGATCATCTAGGAACATGTAAGCCTTGGAGTAGGTAAGTTACATAAGAACTTGCGTTTTTAACATAGAACTCAATGACTCATCGCCAAAATCGTCAAAATTACATTTTTAATAATTTCTCTGCTCTGGGAATTTATTTATTTTAAAAATCTGGACCGCACCAATCTTCTCTACAAGTTTGCCGTCCAGAATTTTAAAATAAATAAATTCCCAGAGCCGAGCTGGTTAAAAATGTGCTGATTTCAACGATTTTTCCGATGAGTCGTCGAGTCCTTCCTTAACACTTGAATCCATCAAGCTTCCAATCAAAATCATAAATATCATATCTTCCAGAGGGTCTTTCTTGTACGTGAAAACGGTGAATTTTATTAAATCCGTGTGCCCCACGTGGACTCACCCTCCAGCGAATCAACCCTCCGTTAACCTCAACCCCGTTTCAAATTCTACCACCACTACCAAGACGAATTCTGGATACTTGAGCTACGCAAATTCAATCATATCTGTGCTAGAACCCGTGTCGCATTTATATGACTGGATTACCAACATATTTTACAATACAGACGACGACAACTCGTCTTCTGGTCCCCTCCATAAGAATAATAATAACAATAATAATCACGATAATAATGGCAATCTCAACAATGGTACTCCTTCTAGTTCTAGTCCTAGTCAATCAACCACAACTGCAACTACTGCTGGTGCCGACCAAGTCAAACTGAAAGAACAATAAAAAAAACTTTACATAAATCAAATCGTGTCCTGCAATCGTAATCCTCATCCTTTCATTCACTCCTTCTTGATGACGACGATGAACTAAACTTACCTGATTGATGTGCATACCTTTTTATACATCCATCCATCCATCCACCTAGATTTTTTTTAGCCACATGCCAGAATATATTTCGCGTGACGAGATGCAAACTGAACAGAACAGGTTGGCATTGTTAAAAGTTAGTTAATTTGGCAATGAAAACCACTTCCACTTTTCCTCCAATGATTTTTTTACTACCGCAAATAAGTGATTATTATTATGTCATGCGTTATTTCTGATATGCAGGCTTTCCAATTAACACACGACACAATATATGTTCAATTATATTACTTACTATATACATACATAAATATGTGCATACATCCGTGGACATGCATACATCCACAAAAATTTTGAAGAGAGCGAGAGATAGACTTTCATTTTAGTCCGGATTACGCAACAATGATGATGATGAGTCCAAGTTTAATAGTGAGCTGGTAGTGGTTTCATTTCATTGTTGCCGATGGTGTGGTGTGGTTAGTTAAGGCATTGTCAATTGTCTGGGTCGGGGTGTGATTGAGTCGTGTGGTGATCATTGTATTGTTACGAGAAGTGTTTTTTCATTTAAGTAGTTGCACCTGCAGGAATTTTAATTAGTCTTGAGTAATTAGTAGATAGGTAGTTAAAGTTAATTGAGATTTGTGCATACTTTTGAAAAATCGGTGCAAAATGGAGCCCCGCAAGGGATCATTTACCATCCTGGATTATATCATTTTCCTCGGAACTTTGGCAGTGTCCATGCTTATCGGAGTGTACTATGCGTTCATCAAGAAACAGAAAACAAATGTAGATCTACTCGTGGGTTCGTAATTATGAGTGGAAAATATTTATTGCGAATTTCGAGTAAAAATCTAAATTATTTCCTTCAGGGGGGAGAAGCATGCCAATCATTCCGACCAGCTTGGTAAATAATTTGCATTAGAAAGTGTGACATATTTTTAGCAAATATTTATTTATGTACATATGCAACGCCATTTGTTGTTATTGCAGAGCTTATTGGCAACTTATATGAGTGCAATTCTTGTCCTGGGTAAAATACAGGAAGCTATAAATAATTAATTTTTTTGCATATTCTGCAGTAAAAAAAACACAAACTTATGCAGGCGTTTCCGGCGAAATTTATGCGAATGGGACGCTAATTTCAGAAATCATTGTGGGAGCAATGTTCTACATTCCCCTCGGAGGAGTCTTGTTCCTCCCGACGTTGTACCGTCTCAGGCTCACGAGTGCGTACGAGGTCAGTCTCGGTCACGTGCAGATCGCATGTCCCATAAAACAATTAAAGTTCACCCTTTATTTCTGCAGTATTTGGGCATGCGGTATCAAAGCGAAGCTGTCCGGCTGCTTGCCACTGGAACGTGTAAGAAGCCTTAATACAAAACTCATCGCTTAAAATGTGGCACTAATTAATTACTTGAAACACAGTTATCGTACAAATAATCCTGTACATGGGTGTGGTCCTGTACGCCCCTTCCTTGGCGCTCAACGCGGTCACGGACTTCCCGATTTGGGCCTCCATTGTAGCTGTAGGAGGTTGCGCAGCAATTTACACGGCCATGGTAAAAAAAATAATCGGCACTGAAAATTTGACCACAATTCTAAAATTATTTGGTCTTGTCATTATTTTCAGGGAGGTCTTAAAGCCGTCGGTCGGTAAAACAGTATGCAAATTTATGTTGGGTAGAAATATAAAATTTATTTCCGGCATTATATATTCACCACAGTTTGGACTGACTGTTTCCAAATCGGTATGATGTTCGCTGGCATGCTCTCCATAATTATTCAAGGTTCCATAAACGTCGGTGGGCTGGGAAAGGCCTTCTCCATTGCGAATGACCATGGACGGATCGAGTTCTTAAAGTGAGCATAAAAAATAAATACATTGACGGCGTTTTTCTCTTGAATTTATTTACGTCTTGTTTTGTTTTCAAGTTTTCAAACGGATCCGTTCGTCCGTCATACGTCGTTTGGCTTGTTCTTTGGTCAAGGTGTGTTCTGGCTGTCAAGTTATGGCACTCATCAAACCACGGTGCAGCGGTATTGCAGTATGGATTCGCTCACAAAAGCATTTTGGTGAGAATTACATATACTCTTTGGCTTAAAGGAATGGATGACTCATCACGAAAATCAATGCAATCAACAAATTTTAAACCTTTTATTGTCTCTGGGAATTTATATTAAAGCTCTGGACGACAAATTTGTTGCCAGTGAGTTGATTAATAGAATGACGGTGAGTTATTTAAGCCAGTTTCGATGAGTTCCAAGTTTTCCTCTTAAAGTTGAGATCTCCTTCAAAAACTGTCAAAATCTAGAGTGTATGTTTTTTTAAAAATTGGCACCAACGACCTGCTTTACACACATGTCATTCAGAATTATAAAATGAAGCCGAAGAAATTATTAAAAATGTGATGATTCGACGATTTTTGTGATGCGTCATCTAGTCCTACGTTTATTTTCCATGCAGGATTTAAATGCGACTGTAATCATTTATTATCTATTTTCAGGGCCCTCCTCTGTACCGCACCACTGGTTAGTACTTACAATTAGATTAATTCGTGCAAAAAAGTGGGGTTAATTGTACATATTACAAATTTTTGACATGTATTTATTGCAGGTATCATTCACCATGTCGCTCGCGGCGTTATGTGGTGTCGTTATATTTGCGAATTTTGCTCACTGTGACCCCATCACGCTCGGGTTTATCAAGAGGAATGATCAAATTGCGCCGTACTTTGTGTTGGAATATTTATCTCCAACTTCTGGACTGCTCGGACTTTTTATAGCGTGTCTCTACTCCGGAGCACTTAGGTGAGTGGGAAGAGTTGAGGTGTAATTATGTCAATAAGTCACTGGAGTTGGACAGCACTAGTCTTAGACGTGGACCAAGTTCAGACATAAAAACAATGCACGCAATGCTCATTAAAAATTATGCATGCCTCACTAACTGACTTGAAGACAATGGATGCCCAGTGTTTACGACTCTGGTTCAGTTTTGACAGTATTTTTACAATGGCATAATTCCCATTTGACATGATCTTCCTTACAGCACGGTGTCCTCCGGGTTGAATTCCTTGGCAGCCGTGACATGGCAGGATTTCTGCTCTAGAATCAACCATTTCAAAAAGATGACAGAAATACAGCAAGGACTTGTCACCAAAATTATAGGTGGGTTCTTTGTCTCGGTTTTTTAAACGACGTTACGAAATATGAGAAGATGAGTAATGCGAAAAATATTGGGCATACTCATGTCAAACAGTTGCAAAAATTTTGCAAGGATTACTAATACCAGATTTTGAGTATCCAGTGTTTCTCTGTGGTTTTAACCACTGTCCAAAATAGCCGTCTAGAAAAGGTTTTAACCAGTTTTGGACGTCGGAAATATTCAAAAGTGTCCAAAATAGGAAATGTTAACAAGTTGTTAACTATAGAATCTTTCGATTATCCGTTGACATGTATATAGTTTCCCATTAATTTTGAGCATTTTGTTATGTAACACGGCATGGTTTAGAAAATTTCTTAATTTCTCACAAGAAAACATGTTAAAACAAAAGTTTTTCGTACTTTTGTGGTATTACACACACACACCAAAATACTCTCAATTAATGGGAGATTGTATATATGTGATAGATTGGCAAAAAGGTCGAAAGAACTTGCATCTTTTCCCCCATTTTCCAATGTTGGACGCTGTTGGACAGTTTTAGGCGTTTTTGGACGTCGAAAACGAAACATTGCAAAGATTATGAATACCAGATTTATTTTTTTTGCATCTTAATTTTCCAATCTTTTATCAATTTGCAAAACCTGACGTAACTGCACCCAATGAATTTTAATGGAATTTTGTGAAATGCGACACGCTGTTTGGAAATAGTATACTCTTCTCTATTCATCCTCACCTTGTGCGTCCATATATGTAAACGCATATATTCGTCTCGTTCATTGTCATTATCACAGTTTTTGGCAGTGTTTTTTAAACCACATAATCACTCTTTAGTAAATATATATGACCTTCATTTCATAATCCTTTCAGGGACATGAAATCCTGGTAATGAATGCATCATAAGTTAATGAACAAGTGTAAATTACATGATTAATTATACCCACGTTTTTTGTTCTAGGTTTTCTATACGGAGCTTTAAGCATAGGGTGAGTGAGACATGGCATCTTACAAAAATAATGATTTTTTTTACAATCTACTTTTTTTGTTTTGTCAGGATGGGATTTTTAGCAGGAAATTTGGGAGGAGTGCTAAGCGCCGCGTTGGTCGTAAATGGGGCCGTATCGGGTCCACTTCTAGGCGTTTTCGTATTAGGAATTATGTTACCGTTCACCAACAAATATGTAAAATATGCAATTTCTCTATATTTTGGGTAGTGTTGCTGATGAGTTCTAAATGAGTTGAAGATGAGTTGGCCTTAAGTCACCAACTTGTGCAATATTAAATTTTTAAGCATTTTTGGACTCCAGGATAAATTTAGGATGAAATGGTGCAAATTTCAAATGCATACAAAATATTTTTTTTGAAACCAAACTAACATAAATAGTTTTAGAAATGAGTTTTAGTTTTAGTAAATGAGTTTTAGAAAAGCTGAAATTTTCAATTTTTTATTTCATTTGAATTTATGCCATTGCACCATAAATTTATCTGGGAGTCCAAAAATTCTCAAAATTTCCAACTTGTACAAGTTGGTGACTAGTTATAGTGAATTTAAGGCCAACTCACTTCAACTCATCGGCAGCACTAATTATGGGGAAGAATAATCAGTTATTTTTTTAAATTGGATAGGGTGCCATCATAGGAATGTTACTCGCACACATCGTGACGTAATAATCTAATTCAAAAACATCAAAAATTTCAAATTCTGCAAAAATTAAAGATTATTTTTCCTCCCTTCAGACTAGGAATTGGTGTGGGTGGCCTACTCTTAAAAGTACACCATGCCAGTCTGCCCTACGCTATTGACGGATGTGACAACGCCACGCTGTCCAGAGTGTCCAATTTCACAGAGATTCTTCTAAAACATAGCATGCAGAATGTTACTGCTCCCTTACATCCGACACCGTCCGAAATGTAAGCTTAATTTCTGATCATTTTTTTGTAAATGTGAGAATGTTTTTTTTTTAATTTAGCGAATGGCCCATGAAGATCTTTACCATTAGTTATCTCCTCTATCCGTTGATCGGAACGCTGATCACGGTCATTGTTGGATCTCTTGTTAGTCTTTGCACGGGTAATAGTAATAATAAAATTCTTACAATGGAGGTCCAGCTTATCCTCTCCTGCCCCTTAAAGTTGACAAATTATACACTTTCCAAATTTGCTGCGCATTTTCTCCTCTTCAGATGCAAATATCCGCCAAATGCGCCCATTGGGAGACCGTGTCTTTTGCAAATTGCATACTAATTAAATTTGTGATCGATTGACATTACTTGGGTCAAAACCGGAGAGCATACGCTGAGAGACCTCAGTTTTTAGTAAATCTTGACTTTAAATGTGACCTAATTTCTCCCAGGTCCCACCCGGTTGACCGAGGACCAAGAAAAGTACACCCACCCAGCCATCGTTTACATTTCCAAGAAGATATTCCCCTCAGAATCGACCAAAGGGAACCACCACACCCAAACCCAGTCCTTGCCACGAGTCGAACTTCACCATTACAATCAGAATCACAATCATCTTCATCAGTACAATGGATACATTTCACCGTCACAAAATGAGGCCTACTTTGGTCCCGTATTACGACGAGATGGTCACAACCATCCCGCCTCCAAAGAAGCCTATGACAATATGGCTTTCCAGAAATTTTAATTTTTTGAAATATAAGTACATACAACAGATTGGTCAATTGAGTAATTTTTTATATTCAATATTCATTAATTCAATGCATCAAATTTCAGATATTAGTGAATTAATTGCCCAAGTTAACACAAAATTTTTATTTATTTTTTTACACTTTTCAACTTAAAGTCGACACATGCATACGCACGCATTATCCGCATTTGTAAAATATCTAAATTTAGCCCATTTGCCCTGCATTTCACGTCGTAAATTTCTCCAACAAAACGTACAAGATTACGAAAATTTACAAAACCCACACCTATCCATCCATCCAACTGAACAACTTTAACGCATCATAATCTTTCACATCGTTTAAAACCTAAACCGTCAAACTGGTGGCCCACTTGGCGGATGCGTTGCGTTTCTAATTAGCACGTACATACGTTTCCTCCGTCATTGTGGCGAAACGAATGAATGAAATATCTGGGAAAAAATGCTCCAGCAAAAAAAAAACAATTAAGTTTCAAACTACATTTTCACCCAACATTTCACGCCACGTTAAAGTTTATTTCCAAATAAATCACGGAAAAATGAGCACACCGTTAAAAAATTGTAACAAAAGAAGCCACAGTCTTCTTGTCAGTTCATAAAATGCGATAGAATAGAGTCGTCTTCTTTGCAAAACGGGAGCATTTTTTAGCCCCCCAAACTTATATTTTCTCAATCAACACTGCTTTTCTACATACAACCAAGCGATACGTCGTGTGTCAAACAAACATAACATTCACTGCACCAAACAAAACAGATTTCGGAGCATTTTTTACGACTTTGTGTGCTCTGAATGCGTATCTTTGAGTTTCGGTGGTGGAGGTGGTGTCGCTCCGCTAAAAATGTAGTTCATCTACACCAAGCAACTAAATATGTACGGCGATGTCCATGTAAATAACTATGGATGGATGGGGCCTTTATAGTTGCCGAATGAGTGACGCTCTCTATACGAACGTATTCATTGCCTTGTCAAGAAATTTCGTCATGTGGTCTTCATCTCGTTTTATTTTATGTTGTCGACTACAATTTTCCGCTCAGTTCGACAATTACCTTTCCCTCGGGAGGAAGTGATTAGTAGAGATTTGTAGGTCACACCTTATCCGTCCACGTAATAGTGGACGATATGTAGTCGTTAATTCTGGTCGAGTTAATTAATAGAGTAATTATTGACACAGCATTAACTTACAATTTTCCCCTGTCTAAAAATCCGTCACGAACTATATTCCTGAAATCTCTAATAAAAATAAATAAGAACTGAGAAAGCAAACGAGTGATACGTAAACTCCGTGAGTCCAGCCAAGTGACAAGGTCGCCCCGAAATACGGGCGTCGCAAAACCAAAACTATAATAATATCATCACACGTATTTACATACGCAGTTCAGTGGTTTGTTTTTTTCATGCATGATTCTGCATGATGCATGCAGCATGATAAACGGAATTACGTAATGATGATGCCTATCCGTTCTTCGTCTTTATAACGCGAGGGGACATCGCCATCAATACGACAATAGGCTCAAAGTTCTCGGAGAGAGTTGGTTAGTTGGTTAGTAAATAATACAATTTTTGAATTGTACTTTTGAAAAGTAACGTCAAGAAATATGTAAATTCTGCATGATTTACATGGTTTTGTAAAATTCAGACTGAAAAATTATACGAAAATTATTACCAAAATTATTACCAAGTTATTACATATTTTACAAATTAATTAATTAATTGAGTGAATCTAAAGTAACACTTTGTGCATCAAGAAAAAGGCTTCGTGATATCGTGATTTTGATACCCCGTTAAATTGAATCATTTAACTAGAAACTTCCACCCTCCACTCGACTACACGACTCAACGATCCGATAATAACCTGCTAAATCATGGAGGAGTGTTTGAAAACGTTGCAACAAGTTGCAAAAACAACGGATCTGGATGCCGATTGGTTCACAGGATTTGTACAACACTGGTAAATATACTTTTTTTGTTTTTTACGCATTTTTTTACTGGGGATTTCCACCACTTTGGTAATGTCATCCATGTCATTTTCATGGCGTCATAAAGAGATAACTTTCCAGTAAGTGTCATCCTCCCACCCCATTTGTCTTACGGGTCTGTAAACAAATTAGTCCCACACATTGTCAGTGTTTCGGGTGGAATTAACCACGTGCGAGAAATAAGTGGTTTCTTGCAGCTATTTTGACCTGCAAGAAATGCAAGGCGCAAAAAAATACGCACCGGGACGCATACTTCATACGGCGCGTGGCTGGATGGCGCATATTTCTTGCACTTTCTCCCAGTTTCTTGCACCTAGCATTTCTTCCTTTGAAATGCAAGAAATGCAGCAAACCCGCAAGAAACGAAACACTGGTCCCACGCTCACCATGCAGTGGTTGTTGTCACTCTGGATCATTTTCCTACACCACGAACGCGTCTATAAATTCGCTCTTATTTGATAAACAAACCGCATTTATAAACCGATCTTGGGGTCGAATCAAGTCAACATTTTCTCACTAACGGTTAACCCAACAACACAATAGAGACGATTTGGTGTGAATCAAATCCACAAAGTTCATCACGCTTCTTTTTTCTAAAGAATGCTCTTTAACAAAAAAAAAATCTTAACACTGTCCAACTTTTCCAGACACTCGTTCGAACCACAAAAACTGTTGTATACCGTTGCGAAAGACGTACATACGTAAACGCATAAAAAGTGGAAAGTAAAGTTGTTCGCAAAAAAAAGAGTAAGATATAAATGAACGGGTTTAAATTTAGCCCCTGATACGTATGTACACATAGTCAGTCAGTCATTCACGTAATAATTTCCCACGTTGTGCATATCCTTGCTTTTGTTGTTTTAACTTTAACTCAACCACCAAAATTATTTACGAAGCGTGATCGATTTTCGAGCAATAAATCCGTGTAAAAATAAACGTTTGGAAGGAAAATAATGAAATTTTTATTCTCTTCCTAAAACCTCCTGACCATTAAACCGTAAAAAGGTAACCAATCATCATCATCATCATCGCAATTCTGAACATTTCCACTCGAAAAACAAAGCGGAAACGAGAATATAGTTTGGCACTGGGGTGTCTTATCCCGTTCGGAAGTGTGGAACGATGTGGGAGAGAGAAGAGTGAGACGCTTGAGCGTCTATCTCTCCTTATCGTTCAATTTACTGTACTTACTTATCGTTCGCTGCAACGGAACGCTCATCCGCATTTTGACCCCATCCACCACCACCCGGCGTATAAGATATGTATGTATATTCATCATGATGCACATACATAATTATCCCCACACCACCCGCTTCGAGTTTCGAATCCGCTATATTTTTGTTATGAGTAGAAATCTGATCAACTTCCAATTTCAGGATCCGCATGCATCCAGCAGTGTTTCGTTTCTTGCGGGTTTGCTCCATTTCTTGCACAGCAAAGAAATAAACTGCAAGAAATACGGGGTGCAAGAAACTGCAAGAAAGTTCAATATGCGCTATCCAGCGACACACTATGAAGTATATCGACTGGACGTAGTTTCTTGCGCGTTGCATTTCTTGCAGGTCAAAATACCCGTTAAAACCACTTTCTCGCCGTTATTTCTTGCAAATGGTTACTTTACACCCGAAACACTGGTCCATAATATGCAATGATACATTCACACTTGTACTTGTCCTATGGGGGAGGCATAGCTATGTGGATACTCTTCGTGCTAATATCTTCACCAGTACTGAAACTATGTTTCATTATGGCGTGGGATTTTTTTGCCTTTGCAAATACCGCATCACAAACTGGCTTCCATTCCAATTTCATTCTCGGCTGCTGTATCTTCTCGTGTGTCTCTCTCGATCTCTTTAACTCCTCGCCTCGTTTCATTGCACTATTGACTTGACATCGAAGCGGTTGCTGGGACAAGAAGCGTTCCTTGCTTCGCAAAACTACTAGAAATCATTCCTTCCTTTACTCGATTTCCACAAAAAAAAGATTGCAAAAAGACTGCAAATTATTATTGTCTGCAAGGTTAATTGTGAGTGGGTGGTATGGTGGACTGACTGTTATTTGATGATAAGCATCTGGTCCTCAATTGTGTACCTTATACGTGACTCTCAAGATTGACGGGCGGCCGTCGTGCGCACTATTGGCGCAAGGCAGCTCAACCTAGAATTTAAATTGACTCTTGTCTATCTCCTCTGTTTTGTGCATTTCGCAGAGAATGCACTCCACTCTCAGTGGAAGCAAATGTATGTGCGGAAAAAATAAAACATAAATAAACAAAGAAAATGGATCAGCCCGTTTCATATCGTCCGTGAGAATACGCCATGTTATCCCAGAGCTGAGAGAAAGGTTGCTAAATATCGAAAGAATCCAACATAAATTACCCAGTGCCAAGTTTAACCCTGAAATCTCGCCTTCCCATTACTTTGATTTGCTACTCTTCATTTCGACACGATGGCGACGTGACTGCAACACGGGAAAAATTAGGTTGAGGCCTCGCGTCATGAAATATTTTACCGAAATGGAGTAATTGCATCCAGATTGTGGACTAAATTCGATCCACTACTCAACTTTCTGTGGACTCCATTTCCATTTGAGCCGAGAAACCGACCTTCTCAAAATGTTTGGGTTTCTTTTTAAACGAAATAAGAACAATGCTACTGCTGAGAACAATAAGAATGACGATGCGTCCGCCAAAATGCGATTCTTCTCCGTTAAAGATAAGAAAGGTGGTGAACAGTCGGCTACTCTTCCTGGTCGCGGAAGTACGAGTAGCACGACTCGTACTTCCTCGGAGGACACTAGTACCCGATCTTCCATCGCCATGTCGGTCTCCTCCATAAATTCGTTGTCCCCTTCGGGCAGCAATGTTAGTCAAAGTACGAGTAATAAGGATTCCGGCTTTGTCGACCAGAACCGTCTCAACTTGTACTCGTCGTCATCGCCCAATTTAATCATACCCGAGTCAGACAAGCTGATCGTGAGTTTCGTCCCCACCACGATTTCCGATGTCCTCTCGGACCACAACCAAGTAGAAGAAGACGATTGTGTCGGTGGTGTTGATGTCATTCAGTTCATTGACGATCCACTTCCAGATGAAATGATGGAAACAACGACGACGATGTCGCCATGTGTCGACAACGACAAAGTTCAGGATAGAGGAGAAGACGACTCAGATATTAAGTGGGGTTCTGATCTCATCATTACTTATTATTACATACACTGTAGTTTACTGCATAAATCCGTGCCAAAATTTCCGACACAGTTTTACCCTCTTATTTTTTCACCAGTAAATATACCCAAGTCAACAATACTCCTACAGATAAGAGGGGTACCTACCTCTCTGCCTTATCACTGCATAATCGTCATCGAGAAAAATCTAACTTGCAATTAAAATAAAAACAGTTTTTAACTCTACTAAAATAAAAAGCCAAGGTTGCCATTCATCCAATCCACAAAAACCGTCATGTAAATAGCGTAGTCGTATCTCAGACGAACTCACTTTCAGAGAATCCTATTTTTACGTCGTCATCCTTCCAAACTAAGCTTAACTTGAGTAAAACGGAAGTCGGGTTTTAACCACGTTAAATAATACCACGTTTGCAGTTTGGTTGGTTTGGCTAAAAAATCTTGTTCTGCTCTCCACTTGGCTTGCAGGAGACAACTGAAGGAGGCCGAGAGAAAGGCGATGGTCCAACTTGACGCCATCAGATCAAAACTTATTTCGAAAGAGACGGAATTAACGCTCCTTCAAGCGGACATCAACATGCTCGCGGTGGACAGGGACAATAAATCCATGGACGTGCAAAGTAAGAATAATTTTAGTAATAAATTTCTGAAGAAAAAAAATCTCAAAATTTTCCTCCCCTTTTTTCAGCCTTGACTGGACAGCTGAACATGCTCCAAGCGGAGAATGACCTCGTTTTGAAACGTATACACGAATTAGAGGAGCAGTTGGAGGATTTGAAATCCAAAAATGGCCAACTTTCGGACGAGCTGCTTAAAAAATCTGGTAATAAATTTCCATCACTTTTTTGGCCATGTTTTACACAAGTTTTTTTCCCAAAATTATCCATTTCGTCGTTAATATTTTTGTCGTCCTCGTCTTCTTAGTCGTAATATTTTATGCGGATTAGTAAATCTCGACGTGACAGATCTTACTTAAAACCCACACGCGACACATCATATGATTCATGGCATGTTCTTTACCCGTCTAAACTTAGATCTTGTCTAATCCTTGACGTGACGAAATATTGATTTATTTCAGAGCAACTCCACTCTCGCCAGACGCACGACTTGACATCGCACCACCACCAGTGTGACGAACTGACCAAGAAAATATCCCAGCTCCAAGACACCATCTCATCCCTCTCTCGACAGAACACGGACCTCGCCAAAGGTCAAGACGTGTCTCGAAGGGAGAAAGAAAGTCAGATCAAAGCCCTCCAAGACGCCTTGGAGGATGCGCTCGAAGCCAAAATCAAACTGCAGACGAAATACGAGAAAGAATTGCAGGACCTGCAACAGTCTAATTCTTCCTTGTTGGATGACTTTGAGTGGAAATTGCACCAAGTGGAGTCCACTGCGAGGAAAAAGTTGCTCGAGAAAGAAAAAGAGGTAAAAATAGGGAAGAATTGTGACCAATTCGCAAAAAAATTACATTTTCATGATGATAATCACAACTTGAAATTGCAATTCACAAAAAGTTATGACCAATTCGCAAAAAAGTGCGATAAATTCGCGAAATATTGTGATAAGCAGAAAAATTGTGAGGAGTCCATAAAAAATTGCAATTCTCAAGGTGACAACCACAACTAAAAATCACCCTGACCATGACTTGATCTCAATGAAATGAAAACACGCCCTTTTCCACGATATGTAGACATCTCAGTATTCGGTCCAATTTAAATTGCTATTAAGTCTTCAAAATGAATCGAGTCAGGCCATTTCTTATTTTCTTTCTCGAATCGACACTTGGGCCGAGTGCCAGGTGAATTTGAGCCAAAAGATGCAACATCACGTTGCCTATATATTATATTATAGTGCAATAATGCTGGTTTGGTTTGGTGTGAATGGATGAATGGAATTGACGATTGACTAATAATCTTTCTCTTCTATTTTCTTTACGTCAATTCGTCCGTGGATTTATAGCGTGTAGTAAAAGTCATATTCAGCCGAGTGACAAGACAACCCGGAAAAGGTGACAATTTATGGCAGAGTCTTATACTTGACGTTACGTGATTATCATGGTGATCGTGACGATGGATTAGAAGAATCGCTCTAGATTTTAGTGATGCATTATGTATTTACAAATGCAGTAAATTTAGGAGTGGGCAAAATACTGTCAAAATACGGTATTTTGATCTCCGTTCTTACCAGGGCTGTTGCACCCACAGAATGACAAAAATCTGGGTGGAGAAGGCAACAGTCATACTAAAATGCAGAATTTGTGAAGAAATTAACTTTTTATCCCTGTCAAAATACTTAATTTTTAGAAATTCGAAAACCAAGTAAATATTTTGACAACGATAAAATTCGCAAATTCTGCATTTTCGTATGACTGTTGCTTTCTCCACGCAGATTTTCGTCATTTTGTGGGTACAACACCCCTGGAAATCCAAACCATTTAGAGATCAAAATTCTGTACATTTTGAATAAAGTTTTGCTCAGCTCTGTAAGTTTGTTGTCCCCATTTTTTTTAGCTCCAAGACCAAATTACCACCTTAAAAGCCACCTCGTCCCAAACGTTTACCGCAGAAAAACAAGAACTTGACGCTGAGAGGGAGAAACTACGTCTAGAGTTGAGAAAGGTGAGTTCTCCCATTTTTTTACCTAGTGACAATAAACTTTCGTCCTCAAAAACTCCCAATTTCCTGTCCTCTCAGGTTGAACATCTCAAATCCTACGAAGCGGAAGTGACTCAACTTCGCGGTGTTACGAACGAGCAGCAAAAATCCATCCGGTCCGCAGCCAGACAGCTCGAGCAGTTTAAAACTAATGAGCGATTTATGCAGAGTGAAATTATCTCGCTAAAGTTACTTTTAGAAAAGGAGAAATCCCACTGCCAAGTGATTACGAGTTCGACACAGAGAAGACTCGATGCCCAAGAGCAGACTGGTTTGGATCAGTTATTAAAACAGAAGGCAGAACTGAATGCAAAGGTATAAATGAGGTTAAAGTGTCTGGGCGATTATTGAAAATATTGAAAATTTTTGACCCATTTTTTAGTGGGAAGATAAACTGAAGCAGGAATGTTCCCGTGTCCAACAAGAGTTGAAAACCCTTCACGCCGAAGAGACCCGTCTTGCCGTGGAGTCCATGAAGGGACGAAAAGATGAGGAATTTACGATCGCGAATGAAACCTGGAGCAGGACGAGGCAGGACTTGATTAAGGAGGTTGATCATTTAGTTTCTTTTTAGTTTTAATTTAGTTTTTTTTTTAATAATCTCGTCGTGCAGATTACCAAACTCAAGGATGAAATCAAAACGAATGAGAACGCTCATCAGAAAGCAATCTCGAAAGCGACCACGACCATTGACCGTGACAATTGGGAGCTACGACATAAAATGGACAAAATGCTGAATGAACATTTAGACGAAATCGACACTATCAAGGGTGCCCATTCCGAAGAGATGGGTACGTTTTTTTCAACATGACAATCAAGGTTTCGCTGTGGTTGGTGGTGTTAGCCACCCAAACGCTAACGTTACCCAAAGTTTTGGACATCGAATTTTGGACGTCCAAAATTGAAAATGAGGGAAAATGGTACAAGTTCTTAATTAATAATTGAATCTTTCGATAATCCGTTGACGTGACGTGCATGTAATCTCCCATTAATTTTAAACATTTTGCTGCTACACGGAATGGTTTAAAAAAATTACAAATTTCTTAAGTAAGAAAACTTGTTATAACAAAAGTTTTCCTAATTTTGTGGTATTACACACCAACCAAAATGCTCAAAATTAATACGAGATTACACATCTGTGCGTAAATTGACAAAAAAGTCATTAATAAAGAACTTGTATCATTGTATCATTTTGCCTCATTTTCCAATGCTGGACGCTTTTTACGTCCAAAATTATATTGTACGTTTGGACGTTGTCCTTTTGAACTTCCAAAAAGAAAAACTGATGCCAATTAACTAAACAGTTTCTTTAATTATATAATTAACTAACTAACTACTACAGATCGGTTGAGGAAACGATACGACAACGCTCTCGTCCAGTTGGACAAACTAGAAAAGAAAATAGAAGACTACGAGAGGGCAGCCGCGTTATCTGCCAATCTGACCCCCGGGTCGTCCTCCCTCCTGGAGAAGAACGACTCCGGAATTGCCACCACCTCGAACAAGTCCTCAATTCTGGACCACACCGGAAATGTGATCAGACTAGAAACATTTACATTTCTTTAAAACCTTTAAACTTCCTCCCAATAAAAAATAACTGAATAGTTTTTCTCCACACTGTTCACAGGGGGACGAGGACTCGGACTGTTCTTCCTCCGAGGAACAGAGTGACGACGAGGAAGACGAAGAAGAGGAGGAAGAAGAGGAGGACGACGAAGAAGAATTCGAACAAGCAAAGTCAAACCATATCAATATTTCCGAAAATAAAATTTTGGAGCTGCGGGAAGAAGTTGCCACGCTGCAAGACTCGATTGACACGTTGACACTTAATCTCGTCCAGAATGACGACGATGATAAGCCAAATAACAACAAGGACGACAAAGGGGACCTAAACGCTAAGGGGACCCCGATTTTGGTCAAGGACTCTGACTTCTTAACCATCACGGAAGAAGCGACGGGCGACAATTCGTCATCTTCTTTCAAATCGACGACAGAAAATGAATCCTCGTCCGCCATTTCGGACACGGACAATGAATCTGACGAGTAAGTAGGACAGCCTGTCACTGTTCTTCGCACTGCATAAAAATATTTATTATACTTTTACAATAAATTAAATAATAATTATGATACGATAGCAAGTAGAATATTAAATTTACTCCGAATAAAAATATTTTCCGGTTCTTTTTTGCGCAAAGCGATGATGCTAAATATAAAACAAATTATGACGAATTTCCGACTTTTTTCTCCAAGATTACTATTATTTGCATGCTTCCAGGGATTACTTTATATTGCCAAGTTTTTCTTACTCTTGTTGTTGTTCTTCCTTTCCGTCCCAATTTATATACGATACAATTACACAAGTACATACATAATTTTGATGTCACATTTTAAATACAACTATATTTCTCTATGTTACACTGTATATACTGTGGAAAGCTTCACCACTTGCACATTTCAGATTTTGATGTCCTTTGAATATTTTTGCAGTATCCGATCAGTGAACAAGAACCCCCGAGCGTTTCGACTCCATGGCCACATTTTCACCCACTACACCCACTCAAAGGGGCATAAAACACGAAAATGACCATATTCAAAAGTCACCAAACATCCAACATTTGAAAATTCTTGCACCATAATACTCCCAGCTATTTTGAAATGTTGAGTATTCTTTTAAATTTCCTGTCTCTAGTCCAGAGGTCAAAGAAATCAAAATTTCCAAAAAATTGAATTTGCCATGAAAAGGTACTATCTGGACGTAAAATGACGCAAGAATTTTCAAAATCTGAACAAAATTTAATTTGTGATGGTTAGAACCAGTAAAATCCAGTAAACCAGTTTTCGTGTTTTTGGCCCCTTTGAGTGTGTACAAATGTGGCCATGAAGTTGAAACGCTTGGGGGTTCTTGTTCGCTCACCGGATCCTACAACATATCCAAAGAGGACACCGAGATCTGAGGGGTACAAGTGGTGAAGCTCCTTCCTGAGCGTACTCGGGTAAATGCGTAATTGATTTTCAAAAATATGACCATAAGTTTGCAAAAAAATCAAATTCTCTCGTCACATGTAAATTACGAGATTACGTAAATATTCATTTATGCATTGACGTGAGTACGCCCAACGACATTTTCCTTAAACATTTGTGCTTATTTTTTTATTTTTCTGTCTCCCTTTTTTCCTTCCAGCTTGTCATCATCATCACCGTTTTTCTTGATTGGTGGTGTTGTTGTGATGATTCCAGTTCTTTCCTACATAATTTTCCACTCGATCCTGATCGTGTTATGGACATATTTCCTGCTCATCCTCCTCGTCCGTACTTTACGACGACGACGACGACAACAACAACCACCACCACCAGCACCACGAAGAGGTGAAGCCAAGACAGAGTAGGAATAATTATTGATTTGTTTTGTAACTGCGACTCATTTCCAAGGCTCGGAAACAATGGAATTTTTCATGGAATGCAAAACAACCTAGGCTAAATTTTGTTATGTTACGAGTGGAAGCATAACTTCCGTGAAAGGATTATGATTTTTTAACTCTTGTTCGGAGAAAGACCTTTAAAATATAAATGTACGAAGTGAACCCATTTTTGTCTCCTGTTGTGCTAGATTTTTTGCATGTGAACGAACACTCGTTTAATTTTTTTTGTTACAAAATTTTCTTAGCCTGTCTTGCTTTAGTTGTTTTTACGTTTACAGAATATGTACCAACTGGGAAATAGGTGTGATGTACCCGTACGTTTAAATACATGAACCCTTATGTCCAGACGTGGGCAAAATACTTTGTTAAAATACAGGATTTTGAGCTCCGTGGTTTCTAGTCCAAGGCTGTCAAAATACTTCATTTTTAAGAAACGTACAAACAATGTATTTTTTGACGACGAATTTGAAGTTATTTTCATCACAAAACCTGCAATTTCGTAAGACTGTTATTCTCCATGCATAGTCTCGTCTTCTTGTGGGTGTAACAGCCCTGGACTGTATTTTGACAAAGTATTCTGCCTACCCCTGCCAACCCCTATTTATGTCGATATTATTATATATGCGATTATATAGTTTTGTTAGTCATGTTTTTCCAGTGCTAAAAAGCATGGAATGTAAAGTGGGTCTCGTCTAACTTACTATTGCGCAGCTCCATTTGCAAAAAAATGCGTTAAATTACACACTAAAACCAGTAAAACCATTGTAATGAGCAATAAAACAATGTATGGCATTTATTTCATCAGTGTTTGTTGAGTGTAAAGTATTTTACTCTTTTTTCATGGCAATTTTCATGTCGTCACGTACTTGTTTAAAGGAAGTTGAAGGAGTGGGTAAGCTCATTATTATGGAAATGTTTTTAGAACTTATTAAAATGGAGTGTTGAAAGGCCAGTATTTATGATCCTTGACCCAGTCCAAGTGACACCCGCGCCCATTGCAGTCAAAACTGTTGATCAGCTCCATATCCTCGTGGGTCAGTTTGAAGTCGAAAATGCTTATGTTTTCCTCCAGTCGGGCCTTGCTCACCGTCTTGGGGATGATGATAAGGCCGCGTTGTGCCTAAATAAAAGTGGGAAATATTAATTAGTGGTTAATTAACTAGTTAACAATTTAATGAATAAGATAAGCATGTTTCACTACTTACATTCCACCGGAGAATAATCTGTGCCGTACTTTTCCCATATTTCTTCGCAATCGCTTCCAGTTTAGGATCCGTGAGCAGATTTGGATCCGTGGGTTTGGCCCATGGACGATCTGTGAACAAAAATTTGATGAAATGTTAAGTGTGGCGTCGAATCATATATTCAAGTAAAACATTTTTATGGAACGAGACGAAAATACGATAGAAAAAGAGAGACGGACCAGACCAGACTTATTTTATAAAGTACCTGGAGAGCCGAGAGGGGAATATGCCGTCACTGGAATGTCCTTGCCTTGACACCATTCAATCAACTTGGACTGATTTAGATATGGGTGACATTCGACCTGAATCCGAATTAAATTTCGATTAAAATTTCGTCCTAGGACCTAAATATTTCTTGCTCACCTGCAACATTGCCGGTTTGATCGTGCCCTTCTGCAAGACCCGCTCGACCTGGTCACTGTTGAAGTTTGAGAATCCGATCGCCTTGGTCTGTCCGGCGCGGACGGCGGCCTCCATCTCCTTCCAAGTGTCCAAATAGTCGACATCGCTGTACATGAATTTGCCATCAGCGTCCTTGGGGAAAAGTTCGCCGTCTTCTTTGTACCCCATCGGCCAGTGGATCAAGTAAAGGTCGACGTAGTCAAGACCAAGGTCAGTGAGGGTCTTCTTTATCCCGATGGGAACTAGGTCGGGACGATGAAAAGTGTTCCACAACTGTTAATTTGAATTAAAACATGACATAACTATTTACACAAAATATACATACAAATTTATTATCTTTACTACCTTTCCAGTCACGAATAAATCTTCTCGTTTGACTACCCCCTCCTTTATCTTGGTCGCGATCGCTTGTCCCACCTCGTTTTCATTTTGATACGCCAAAGCACAGTCGATCATTCGATAACCGACGTCAATCGCATTCTCCACAGCGGCCCGGACTTCACCCGGCTTTGACTATAAAAAAACACAAATCAAAAATTAACACCAGTCCTTTCAAAATTTCATTAAAAAAAAGAAGATAAATCCCCCCACCTTCCACGTTCCAAGTCCAAATGCCGGTATTTCCGCTCCATTGTTCAACTTCACGGTTGGAACTTTTGCAGCCATTGTTACAAAGAATCGTTGAAAAATGAAAAACGTTTTCCCCAGCAAAGATTTAACCTCCTTTTGCATCCAACTAGTCTGACGGACTGAATCTCTCAATTGATTCGACAAGTCGTTACCACAAAAAAGTTAAACTTATCAGTTGATATTATATCCATACATAAAAATCGGCTGTTTGTGTCTCTCTCTCGCTCGGCTGACTGGTTGGATTTATTATATGCGTGTACTTATGTTATTTATTGCATACTTTTACAACTTGTTACACAGTTTGGGGCTTAGGTAGACTGGATCTCAGCTCAATAATCATCACCACCACGATCAGTTCAACAATAAAAATTAGCCGTCGTACTTGCCATATTTCCAGTCAACATGCATGCAGGATTGAATGACTCGGGTCGTGATCTCGCCCATTTCACCTTGAGCATACATAAAACCAGAAAGATAACATAAGTAATGTATGTATACTTGTTTATGCATATGAGCAGACTAATTAAAACGATGACACTTTTACTTATAAAGTGACACTTTGACACGTTCGGGTGCAAGAGTCAAATATTTTTTGCACACGACACCAAGTCCCATTATTCAAGTGGTTGGAGAAAAGCGTGACTGATAAAGATCCCCAACCAACCATTTTAATCTAAATTTTGCAACTGTTTAAAACAATGAAATGATAATGGGATGATTTCCATGAAAATAATGATGATGACGCTGCCACCACTGCGAGGAAGTTACCTACTGAAAAATGCAGATGATGCGAAAAAAATAAAACCGAATCCTCCGACTCGGGTTTTTCTCTATGCGGTACGTATGTTCCCACCTCACTTTTCCGGATGGATATATTTCTGGACGGTACAGAAGTCGTCCTCGTTGAATCAATAGGACGAGCCATGCGCGTACATTTGTGCCTACACTATTCCACATTATGCGGGGTTTTGTCCTGTCCTACTCGGAAATATTTCAGTGGGACAAAGACCAAGGCGACGATTTTTTCCTTTATTTAGCTCCCATCTCGTTAAAATAGAAATTTCCCCAGAAATATTCTAGAACAATTCGTAACCAAATTGTAGACTTATTAGTCACCAAAATTATACTACCTGAATCCGTATTTTCTCATATAAACGTTGAAATTAAGAAAAGGAATCTCGCCATACGCTGCATAATATATTTCTTTGTTGCCCGCATAATAATAGTAATTCCATCGTCACGTCACTCGCACTCGTCATGATTAGTCCAGAGTTCGAATAGATAGGTGCATGGATATCGCTAATAAAAATCGCTAAACAGATATATCGTACATAATTTAGTAACACAATTATTGATGGAAATCTACAAATTTAATGAATAAACGAAACGAAATTCATACCCCGGAAGCATAAAACGTTACATGGTAACTTAGCTCTGTGTTTTTCGTGGTGGGAGTGGCGTTGCATGTTATTACTTATCTCTCATTAAATGTGATTCTAGAATAGCTTATCAAAATGTAAAATATAGCAGATTTTGTGCGAAAGACGAGGTGAAAAGGAGTGAAAAGTGCAACAATTGATAAATATGGACGCAGTATAAAGGGTGCAGTATTTCGCATCATCTCGCCAGTCTGGTGGACAGTAGATCTTCGTGGAGGCTCAAATTGTCACCTGAATTTGAAAACCAACCAACTAAAAGTTAATCACGTTAATAATTAATAATAATAATGTTATCCTGTCGCCCTGCAGTGTCACGCATAATAATTAATCCCGTGCTTCAGTGCAAGTGTGAAGAAATCAAAATGAGAATATTGTTATTGACGACTGTGTCGTTTTCTTCGGGCTATTTTAATTCTGTTTGGAAGTGAAAGTTGGTTCGTGCAGTGGTGCAGGTGCAGTGTCTTACGCAAAAGTAATAATAATAATAATACACGAATTACTACGCATCGTCATCATAAAAATATTTTTTCCAAGTCGACCCATTTTATTTCCATCCCGTTTTACTATTTTATTTTGTCGCAAATGAATGAAATTTGAAGTCGAGAGATCAAGAATTTTCAAAGAGAACAGGAAACGATAAAACATCAAGAAGAAAAACATCCCGTCACGTGGAAAGTTGGTTGGTCAACGGATTTATTGATGCAGGCAAAAGTTTATTGATCCGGTAAGTCCCCTTCACTGTTTTTTTACCATCTAGATATGTCAACATATGGATGTCATGTCACCGCTTAATCGATGCGAGTACAACGAACTTGTGCGCACTTTAGGCAACAATTCCTGCTAAAAGTGGAGACGATTTCTCAGTTTAGTTTGTGTTTGTCTATCGACTTCCTAAACTTCGGGTGAAATTTGACCCCAAGTGGTTGAATAGTTAATGTAATGCATTCATTTATTAGCAGCGAGAGAAACGGGGTGTACATATGAATGACATTCGACTTAATTGTTGTTTGTTTATGGCCTGGTTGTTGGTATATATATAGCGACACTTGGTATTATTGGGGAAGCATTATGGAAATTATGTGTCCACTCTGGGGGCCAATTTCCTGGTAAATTTACGTTGTACAAACAAACAAAGTGCGATGGTGAGGATATGTAATATTCCAGTCCTTACAAGTTCAATTTATGTATTGAGGCACTAAATTGCATAATAAGCATTATGTCAGTTTCATGACTAAAATATTCCTATCGTCTCAATTTTTCCATATCTGAAAGATCCATGATCAATAATTCCCTCTTCCTCAGTGGAAAAAATTACATTAATTTCTAATCCTCAGTTCGAAATCCGGCCAAACAAAATTTGACACTACTTCGCAGTGCGATAAATTTCCTCTTATTCCGTATTTACGCTTATGCATATTTATACAATTGACCTATTACTGCCCAGTCCTCATCTCATGTTAGTCGTGAGAGTCTAAATTTTACTGAATTCTCACAATGGAATACAGGACCTAGCTCAACATTATGATGGATTGACTCACCAAATTTCTAGATAACTACATACCCAAAACATAAACCAAATTGTGAATGAGATAATTTACTTTGAAACCAGTTAGTTTGATTTTATTGCATTTTTTTCTACACACACAAGTACATCCATACATAAACTTTATTACGTAACGTGATTAGATAGATACTAAATATCCCTGTATGATTGTCCATCCATGTTATTCACCTTATCATCCCCACCACCACCACCACCACTTGACTTCAATTGAATAACTAACCTAACTGACGGCTTTTCACAAAGAATAAGTACTAAAATCATTCCAAACATCTGCATCAATTTGTTTTTAAGGTCTTATTATTCTTCCCTTGTTGTTTTTTTAAGTAAACTTATTATTTGTTTCGCCGTCTCATCCAGTCCCGTGCCAGGCCAGCCAGCCAGGCAGTCAGACTGATGATGATGAGAACAATGTAAGAACAATATTTAATGTCCTTTCGTCCCGACCAGATAAGGATAATGGTGGACAAACAGTGAAAATAAAACACAATTTAAATTAAGATGAATACATTGTAGTATTATTATTTATTTATTATTAAATATTATCTTCATATCACGCACGGTACGGCACGGTGGATGGAACATTTATCGATAATTATCGCTCTTTTGTTAATTTACTACTTAATCCTCCACACACTATTGACGCCCTCGTTCACCTCCACCTCCACATGCATGCAGCCATCCATCCATCCATAAACCCGAGGAGGATCAGGTTGACCACGACCCACCAGACCAGCAGTTCAGGGTGCATGTGGCATAGGGCGACGAGGATGAGGACGACGATTGTTCAGTCAAATCTGGTTGGCCCCAGCCCAGAATAAAAAATATAAGAAACAGTTCATCTACTTTTTTTAAAAAAGTGAAAAGCAACTTAGGACTTAAATTTCAATTTCAATGAACGAGAACGAGATGGGACAAATATTTAGAAATATGCCAATTAAACGGGTCGAGAAAGCAGAGGAGGAGGAGGGTAGTTTGCTAACTGTTAGAAAAGTGTTTCGTGCTCCGATTAAAAACTTATTAGCGATACGACCATAAAAGTGTAAAGTTTAGTGGACAAATTATTTCTCAAAGAAAAATCGGAGCGACACAGTTTCAAAATTAAAAAAAGCATATAGGTACTTGCATATACACACCAATCCTGAGAAACTGGTGGCTGAATTCGCATGAAATATAAATAAAATCATGTAAAATTCCACCACCACCGCGATTTCTTCCCGTACACGGACTACGGAGCATAAATATTTGTTGAGCAAGACCACTTTCTTGCAGGCACAATCGCACAATTGTGAGACGCCTTCCGACCAAGTAGCACCTCAAACCAGGCACTTTCTCTCACTTTTCTTACATACGGGCAAAAAAATCACGGTGTGTTCCACGTGCAGGAGAGAACGTGGACGTGGACATGTAACCTTAAAGTCGTGAATACGTACACTAATTAATCCTTCTTTTCAGAAACCAGAAACTATGGGCTCAAAATAAGAACTCAAAACCGCCCCGAATTACTAAAAATTTACCTGAAGTGAGTGAAAGTGAAGTATATTTAGTTATAATTTGTATTAACTCAACAAAGAAGCAGTCCGAAGAGCATTCATTCCATCAGAAAATAAAATACTGCGGTTAATAAAACCATAATTCTTCTCAATTATGTCTCTTATTTCCTACCCCACAATCGTCTCAATCTTCCCTTCGCAACGCAAAGACTATTACAACAACTTTTTGTCCTGACGAAAACCAAGCTCGTTCCCCTGTCCCAAAGGAAGAAAAACTTTTGTGACTATCGAGCAAAAGTGAAAAGCGCCACCCCACAACCACACCCACCCCCGACGACAAAGTTATAAATACCCCTCTGCCAAGTAATAATCCTTCTCTCCTTGCACGATGGGATCTTCATCATCGGTCCGCATCATCCTGCTCATCGTGACCTGTGTCCTCTACCCGGTTGTAGATGCCCGTGAATTGTACACCCCGCAACAACGCCACCACTTCCTCCAGGAAATAGTGCCCATCACTCAGCCCTCGCCCGATGCAAATGAGGCCAACAAGCACCCGACCAGCACGGAAGACAGCACTTCTGCGGATGATTTCTACCCGAGGCAGGATTTGCCCTTGTCTTCGGACGAGTTTGACGGCGGATCGGTAGAAATTGAAAGGTGAGGAAATTTGAGAGAAAGTCGTTAATTAATTAGTTCATTCATTTTCGCACAAAATGTTTACAAATATGGGACAAAGTAGGTGAGAAAGTGCATTTTTTCCTGACCTGACGTAACGCAATGACGGCTCAAATTACATTACTGGTTGATTGATAGGGTTTATTAAAAGTTTCATTTAATCTCGTGGCATATGTTTGCGTGTCACGTGTCATGACTTAATTTTTTATCATTTTTGGTTACATTACATTACTCACGCAAATAAAAATACCCGTTTCGGAGTTTTAGCATGTTTTTTGTAAATTCCATTTTTAAACGTGTAAACGTGTTTACGACCTTGTTTGTGTTCAGGATATCAAATCTATTTGTTCAATGTGACCTTCTAAAAATGCCTAAAACACGGCAAGTTCATAAATTAGAGTAAAACCACATAAAAATCTATTGTACATATTTTATTTAGCACTTGTACATATGTTACAGGCCGTGAGTGAGGCGACACCACATCACCAAATTAAATTGCATAATATGTAAATGCATATGTAAATATGTGCGAGTCCAACAAGCTTCGTGAAGCCGTGACGAATTTCATTCCTTGTTTACAATCATGACACATTAGTAAAAATAATAATCGTTAATTATATCCGCGCATATAGAGCAAGCTTCACTTGATCCCCATTATATTCTCACAGTGATGCGTGAAGCTGGGATTAAATTACCTCCGGAATTATTACCTGGTGCACTAAATAATAAAGAAGTCGTTCATTCGTGCCGATGAATATTCCCGACTCCATTACGTTTAATCTCCTTAATTAAACAAGAAAATGAGATAAAAATATCTGTCCAAAAGTTTAAATCATATGAATCATATCCAGAAATAACTGGTTTGCATGCGGACGAGGATAGATTGAACTAAATTAATGCAGAATTTGTGACATGTTATTGTTCCAACGAGTTATATGTTGGTTTGTGATAAGTAAAATGTGACGACAATTTGACAGACGTCAGGTTAACCTGAAATAATGTAAATATGATGTATGTAAAATCTCCACTAATTTAAATAAAATGTCCCCTTAATTTCAGTCATGGCAAGAAATTGTTACCCCGGACCCAGAAGGTCATCCAACAGCAGATTTTGCCGTCGTCGTCATCGTCGTCGTCACGTCAAAAATGTGACTGTGCTACGCAGCCACCGGTCCACGTGATTGGAATGAGTTTCGAGTATGAGTCGGACAAGAAACGTGTCGAGTATGACGACTCCAGCTCGCCGCACATTTTGGAGGGGACGCCACTCAAAATCCGACTTTATGGGAGGTTCGACGACACGACTTTCTTCAAAGTGTCGAAATTCCATAAATGTGATGACCCCAGTAATCGCGAGATGCCCGTCAAAGTAGGTCAACCTCATCAACTTGCTGCACAATTCAGCATTTGCATAATTAATCAAATGAGACAGATAAAAATGCATGCATCTGATTTCCTCCATTGCCAAAAACTAAACGTAAGACTCGATGGCTTATCGCCAAAATGGTGAAAATTAGCACATTTTTAATCATTTCTCAGCTCTGGGAATTTGTTTTAAAATTCTGGACGTCAAATTTGTAGTCAGTAAGTTGACATGTTCTGATTTTGGCGATGAATCATCGAGTCCTACGTTAACCAGTGGTCAATTTAATAACCACACGATTGCCTTGCCACCTATTTACGCATTGTTTGACCCCCCAGGTCACCAACATCGCCCCCACTGGGACCTCCGCCATCGTCCACATCACCCTCCCCCGCTACGGAGAACTTGACGAGATCTTCATCTGCCTCAACTCCTCATCCTCGCCCAGCTTCGTTCGCCAAGGGGAAATCGTCCTCGATGGTGAGACGGCGATGCCCGAGCCCTGGTTGGTCATCAAGCTGTACAAGGCGATGCTTCCCCTGTGGCTGCACTTCCTCCTGCTCTCCACCCTCCTCGCCCTCTCCGGCCTCTTCTCCGGCCTCAACCTCGGGCTCATGAGTCTCAACAAGACCGACCTCAAGATAATTATCAACACTGGCACCTTGGACGAACGCAGCTATGCCGCCGCCATTGCACCCGTATGGACCATTTGCATAATCGAATTTGTCTCAAAATTTAATTATTTTTTAAAACAAAATTCATTTCTTTAATTTCTATTAAGCATATTTTCTGATTCCTTGCATTGTAATAATTGACAAGTAATAAACGGGCAAATAAATAAAACGCAGGTACGAAATCACGGCAACTTCCTCCTCTGCTGCCTGCTCTTCAGCAACGTTTTGGTCAACGCGTCCCTCACAATATTGGTTGACGACTTGACATCGGGACTCATTGCAATTATGATGTCAACCCTGGCCATCGTAATTTTTGGGGAGATAATTCCTGTAATTATAATAATATAATTGATTTTATTATAATTAATAATATAATTAATAAATATAAATATTAATTATTATTAGCAAGCGATCTGTTCCAGACATGGGTTAGCTGTTGGAGCGAAGGTGAATAATTAGATTTTATTCGGTTGTTTCAAAAAAGAAATTACAGTTTGTTGAGTTGACGTGAATATCTTTTTGCAGACCATTTACGTCACAAAGTTCTTCATGTGCATCACTTGTCCATTGGCGTATCCTTTAAGTAAGATTCTTGACCGGATATTAGGCGAAGAAATTGGAAGTGTTTATACGCGAGAAAGATTGAAGGAATTATTACGGGTGGGAACTCAATTTCTAGTAATTTTTGCGGAATTTGTATGAAAATGTGTTAAAAAATCTCCATTTTCTCCAGGTTACGAAAGATCATCACGGTCTGGCAATTGAGGAAGTTGGCATTATTTCTGGGGCATTGGACATGAAGACTAAAACGGTTAGTGTGTAAATACATACACTCAACTTCCGGTTTCTTCTCGAGTATTCGAACAACTTTTTCTCTGTGTCTGCAGGTGAAGGACATTATGGTTCGACTTGAATCCGTTTTCATGCTTCCGATCGATGCAGTCCTTGACTTTGAAACCTTTGCTTTTATCGAATACCAAGGTAATTACTGTCGCTCAATTATTTAATCAATAGTCAAGATCTCATGGCTGAGTTTTGTTGTAGGATACTCTCGAATTCCCGTCTACCAGGAGGACCGTTCCAACATTGTTGGGCTACTCAACGTTAAGCAACTCACTTTATTGGATGCCAACGACAACATTCCACTCAAAACTGTGATTGAGTATTATCAGAATCAGTTGTTCTTCGTGTTTGAGAACGCACGACTGGATTACATGTTCCGCACTTTTAGAGAAGGTCAATATTTACGATCAATATTTTGAAATTTCCAAATAATTCGAGAACTTTTTATTAAATCTCAATTTTTTTCATTCTAGGAAACAAGGGCCACATGGCGTTTGTCCAGCAAATAAATGACGAAGGCGAAGGCGACCCGTTCTACCAAACCATTGGTCTCGTCACGTTCGAGGATGTATTGGAGGAACTTCTACAGGCCGAAATTATGGATGAGAGCGACAGTAAATAAAATAATTAAACTATAATTTACACAAATAATCAGGAATTTCGGAATCATTCATTGTATATTTTTATTTTATCCAGTCGGAAAGCAAGAAGCACGCTTAGCCCCCAACAACAAACGCGAACCCATAAAACCATTCGATTCTAAGCGCAAACCAAAAGTTCGTGTCGAAATTCCAGCCCCATTGGCGTTGGCAGCTGTCCAATTTTTGAGCACAAGTATAAAATTTAAATATTATGGAAAATTAAATTGCAAAATTATAAAATCCTCGTCGTTTCGTTCCCACAGGTGTCGAACCCTTCAAGAAAGAGTGGCTTTCCGTCGCCATTCTGCAACGGCTCGTTCGTGGGTGTGCCCAGTACATAAAAATGCCAAAAGATAAGGGGAATCAGCACCTCCCAGAGATGTACCTTTACGAATCGGTGAGTATCAAGTTCCCCAAAAGAAGGAAAAATCGTCCAAACTTACACAAATATTGACCTTACGTTTTCACAGGGCAAGCCATCCGAGTATTTCGTCATGGTTTTGGAAGGACGCGTCGAGGTTACCGTCGGAAAAGAAAACTTGACCTATGAAAGTGGCGCATTCACAACGTTCGGGAAGGATTTCTTTATCTCAGAGTTAGCTCAGGAACGTAAGTACTACTTTTTCTAATAGCAATGGCGTATGCTCTCCGATTTTGATTAAAATTGGTGTCAATCTCATGCTGCGCAGAAAGTGGAGCCACCTCGCCAACCCCGACCTCCGAAAGGGGGGATTCTTCCTGCTCATCATCACTCTTCAAACCGAAACGACGCACCTTTATCCCCGACTACACGGTCCGCGTGGCGACTGACTTGCACTATTTAATGATGAAGTTCAGTGCCTACAAGGCCGCCATGCTGGCCACGGTTATCGAACGGAGTAACGCCGACCCGTCCAAGATTCAGAATAAAAATTGGCGAGATGAAATTGACAAGGTTCGGAAAGTTAAATTAGAGTAAAATTGACCACCCGTCACTACTTTTTCTGTCTTCCAGGTCTTGGAAAGAGGTGCAGCTGGAGAGGAGGACAACACGTCAGAGTCAAGTAGACGGCCCCGCATGTCGGTAAGTGATATGAAATAATTGCACATAAATTCGCAAAATTTGAAATACTTGGTAAATAAATATGGGCAAAATATGCATTAACTTAATTTTACACTTTTCCAGAGAGACGAAAGTTTCAAAACCTACAAATTCGGTACTGACACAGAACCAGCGAGCAGGAAAACGTCCCTCGTCGCCATAGGGGAAAATAACGGTGGGATTCATAGCGGAACGGGTGCCTCTTCCTGCAACAGATTGTCCACGATACCCGCATCAAGCAACGAAACGAACCATAACGGTCGAGCTCATGGAGAGGATGCCGAAGAGACGAGCAAATTATTGTGAATATTTTTTTTAGTCTTGGACGATCGTCACAAAAAAGTGGACAGATTTTTATTTTCCATTTTCCAGAATTTCACTTCATTCACTTGACTAACACGGATAAACTTTTGAAAAAAAAATCACTAACTTTTCTCGTCATGATTTCCAATTGCTCAAAAATTGAAGGCAGCAACAAAATATTCACAAATCGATACAATTTGAAATTAAAAATAACCAAAAATGACATGTACATGACCTTCCCTCGTCACCATTAGTAAATAGATTGGCAACAATTGATCCGTCTTTTTTTAAAGTTGCTGTTCCTTTTTCCGTAATTTTTGTCTTCCAACCTTTTTTGTACTGGAAAAAGTCATATTTTTTGTCACAATGAAAATGCGAATTTAATTTCCATATTATTTTTTTGCTTGCTTTAAAAACTCGAGAGGCAAGGGTAGTAAAATCGAAGCTCATCCATCACATTTTACAACTCGTTTTTTAAAAGATTTTGTGTATGTACCAATCATCATCAGACTGTTTTTTTTTATTTTTCATATTATGATTTCGTGTTATAAAAAATTCCAAATAGTCAGACTTTTTTTCTTTAATGAATCGTGATCTAGTTAATCATCATCGTCGTGTATGTACATTATAAAGCAAAGTATATATGTATTTAAATAGCTGGCTAGTTAGTAAATACATAAGGCCACATTGAGAATATGTAAAAAGTGTTATGTATTTATTAGGAAATAAAACAAATTATATATTAAAACATTATCTTTGTGGGGAACATAGGACTCAAAATCAGCACATTTTTAATCATTTCTCATCTCTGAGGAGTTATTTTAAAATTCTGTGTATTCTTTATTTTGGTTTAAAATATTTACGAATATTTTTTTTCATTCTTAACCGAATTACAGTTCTCTGATCTTTGAACAAAGATTTACGTGAGTAAATAATACTGTAATGAACGACGTGCATTGTGACATGTGCACCGTCAAACGTGGAGTTCAACTTGAGACAAACAATATTAAACTAATTGGATTGATTTGGGTCTTTAATATTCTAAAATCGTTTGCAGCAGGATGCTCTCGGAATTTCTAAGTAAAGGTGCGATAAGAGGATTAACAGAACACAATGTGAAAATTTATAATATGTATTGTGTACAATTTCGGCCACATTTTTCAACATTTTCAAATCCATACATACATAAATAAATGAATCTTAGTTAGTTTACTTAGTTCATTTTTAGTTTATGTAGCTGTAAATATTTATGAAATCAAAATTTTGCAAAAATGAGATTAATGATAGAAAAAGACTAAAATGTTTCTAAATTTGAGCAATTTAATGCTCTGGTGACGGTATAACGAAAACATGGGTTTTTCCATCTTTTGACCCTCTAGGAAACCTTGGACTTGACAATAATGACTCATCCAGTTTGTCCACTTATTTACATATTCTCCCATGATGCAACTAAACGGGATTAAAATCCCCACATTTCCCAACCTATCCTCTATTTTAAACCAAGGACCACAAATATGCAAAAATACTGTGCAAAAAAAAATTCAGCAAAACCATAACTTAGCCCCGTGCATTCTCTGATATGCAAACACTGTCTTCTTCTTCCTTGTGTTTCTTCTAGGCAGACTGACGACGGCTCTTCTTCTACGCAGGTATAGGTTTCCTATCTACTTATTCAAAATTTGTTATCAAAATGCATGACTTTCTACTACTTGCAAGAAGAACGGATGATGGAATATGCAATAAGCTCCTGTGCTACACATACATCCATCAAACCATTAGAGTTCGTGTCACTCAAATAAATAAGTTGACTTGGCTGGCCTGTTATTCTCCCAAAAGAGTTTACCAGATTACCCGAGCTGTGACTTGAATACTCCTTTTGAACAAAGTGTACATGAGGAGACGATATCTCTCCCACGATCCACTCTGAATTATAAATTGTTCCCAATTATCCATCGTGTATTAACCAACTCGCTCCGGTTAAGTGATACGTAGGCTCCTTAATCCTCACTTGACTCACTTCTTCACCCACACCGACGCGACATGGTTGACACGCCACTCTCGTGGAGAAAACTTTGCAATTTCTTCCCCCGCATTTTCGCACTACTTCTTATCCTCACGACGACGGGTTTTATCTCACCGGTCACGCCAGCCTCCGTCCAAGCCGCGTCGTCAAGACTGGAGAATCATGGCATCGAGTCGCATCCTCACCCGTTCTACGCGTACGGTCACAATGAGACGGATCGAGTGAGCACGAATGTCACCGTGATACAGTTAGAGTCAGGTCGTGATCATGGGGTGGACGAGGGTGACGAGGAGTCGTCACTTTTGGGGAGGGATGACCTCCTAGAGTCGTCCCTTGGGGCGGCGTCCCTCTTCCCAAGGGTACACGCCCTTCGAGTGGAAGAGTCGACCAAGCCGGTGACCTATGAGAATGCCGTGTCTGTAATTGTGGCCGAGTCGGAGGCAGTGATTCGCCTCTTTGGGGAGGGATTTGGACCAAATATGGTCGTCAAGTTTGTCACTGATGTGAGGAAAGCGGGGTCGGATTGTGGTAAGCGGGTTGTGAATAAATTGATGAGAAAATGACGAAATCTAGGGGTTTTTTTACTAATTTTTTTATACAACAGATTTCCTGTCGTCGACGAGGTCATTTGTGGTGCGTGATTGTCTAAAAAAAAATTGTGAGAAAATTTGTGACTAATTATTTTTCGTTTTTAGATTGACCATCCACTCAACGACACGATCCGACATGATAAGAAGCGATACTCTGCTACTGTTAAAATTAGTCTGCCCCGATTAAACTATACAAACCAGAGGTTTTATCTTTGTGCGAAGGATAGTGGTACGCGTGAGGAGGTTGTGCTTTCTGTTGTGGGCGAAATAAATGGGTTGTTGCTAAATACGCAGATTCGACGCCATGGGTGCATCAAGGGACGGAGGAGTTTGTCTCGATGAAATCTTCCGTTAATTGGCTCCCACTATGGGCTCACATTCTCCTCCTCGTGACACTTCTGCTCTTATCGGGTCTCTTTTCTGGCCTCAATTTAGGTGAGTTGGAGTAAATATGGAATGACATTAATGTTAACAGATTGTCTTATTTGTACTCCACTCAGGTCTCATGGCGATGGATATAACAGAGCTGAAAATTATAGAAAAAACGGGTAAAGTTCCACAAGTTTTCTTCTTATCAATCCTACATTTCTTAGTACATACCAATGTTCCGTTTCTTGCGGGTTTGCTACATTTCTTGCACTGCAAAGCAAGAAGCACAAGAAATGTGAGGTGCAAGAAACTGCCAGAAATATCCAGCCACGCGTCGTATGAACTTTTGCAGCGGGGCATAGTTCCTTGCGACTTGCATTTCTTGTGGGTCAAAATAGCTGCAAGAAACCACTTTCTTCCCGTTATTTCTTCCAAGCGGTTGCTCGCACCTGAAACATTGCCTACTTTTCGTAATACTAATCAGTACCACTTAACAGGGACGGAGAAGGAAAGAGCTTACGCCAAAACTGTGCAGCCAGTCCGTCATGCAGGCAACTACTTACTGTGCAGTATCCTCTTCGGAAATGTCATGTTTAACTCGACCCTCACCATTTTATTGGACGACATTACCACGGGACTCATTGGTGAGCCTGTCATTAACTAAATATGATAAATTAAATAGCATCAATATTGACACGAAAATTTCAACCCCCCACAATTAAAAGCGAAGCAATATGCATCAAGTAATCCCCACCTTCTCCCCTTTAGCCGTTATCACTTCCACGCTGGCCATCGTAATTTTTGGCGAGATTTTGCCTCAGACATTCTGCTCTCGACATGGTTTGGCTGTGGGAGCGAAGGTATGTAAATAAATAAAAATCCAGAACAAAATTATAGGTTGATATGTACGCTAATTTGTCTTTCCAGACAATTTATATTACAAAATTCGTCATGTGCGTCACTTGTCCATTGTCGTATCCTTTGAGTAAACTGCTCGACTGGATATTGGGCGAAGAGATTGGAAATGTTTATACGCGAGAAAGATTGAAGGAATTATTAAAGGTGCAAACTCAGTTTGTAGTAATTTTTATGAAAACATGCTAAAACATCTCAATTTCTCCAGGTTACGAAAGACCATCATGGTCTGGCTATTGAGGAAGTTGGCATTATTTCTGGGGCATTGGACATGAAGACTAAAACGGTTAGTGTGTAAATACATACACTCAACTTCCGGTTTCTTCTCGAGTATTCGAACAACTTTTTCTCTGTGTCTGCAGGTGAAGGACATTATGGTTCGACTTGAATCCGTTTTCATGCTCCCGATCGATGCAGTCCTTGACTTTGAAACCTTTGCTTTTATCGAATACCAAGGTAATTACCGTCGCTCAATTACTTAATCAATAGTCAAGATCTCATGGCTGGTTTTTGTTGTAGGATACTCTCGAATTCCCGTCTACCAGGAGGACCGTTCCAACATTGTTGGTCTACTCAACGTTAAGCAACTCACTTTATTGGATGCCAACGACAACATTCCACTCAAAACTGTGATTGAGTATTATCAGAATCAGTTGTTCTTCGTGTTTGAGAATGCACGACTGGATTACATGTTCCGCACTTTTAGAGAAGGTCAATATTTCAAAATTTCGATTTCCTAATAATTTTAAAACGTCTTCTCTCTTACTACTCAATTTTTCAATCCATAATCTTTCTCCAGGAAACAAGGGCCACATGGCGTTTGTCCAGCAAATAAATGACGAAGGCGAAGGTGACCCATTTTACCAAACCATTGGCCTCGTCACGTTCGAGGATGTATTGGAGGAACTTCTACAGGCCGAAATTATGGATGAGAGCGACAGTAAATAAAACAATTGAATTAAAAATTTCCATAAATGATCAGAAATTTCAGAATTATTTATTGTCTTTATTTTGTCCAGTCGGAAAACAAGAGGCCCGTTTATCCCCCAACAACACTGACCAACAACAACCAATTAAACCATTATTCAATTCGAAACGCAAGCCAAAAGTGCATGTCGAAATTCCAGCTCCATTTGCCTTGGCAGCTGTCCAGTTTTTGAGCACAAATCGGAAAGAATAAATATTTATGTAAAGGAAAAGTGTGCACTTTACTTGCACGATAATAACGATGATAATATTCCAGAATAATTTTATTACTTGAAAAAAATACAATTTTAGTCTTAGACAATGCAAATCTGGTCCAGATTAGTTAGTCATTTGATCGATCGATGTTGGATCAACGACGAAAATATAAATTGTGATGGGACAAGAATAATAATAATTAATAATAATGTAGCAATAAAGTAAATGATTTCTGACACGAAGAAAAATACGTATGTACGAATCTTATCCGAATTATTGATTATCGCGTGACATCCATCATCTACTTCTTGGGGACGTATGATTTCATGGTGTCACTCATAATGGCGATGGCCTGGTCCAGCTCAGTCTGGTTGATGGTGAGGGGTGGGGCAAGGCGGATAATGTCGCCATGCGTGGGTTTGGCCAGGAGTCCGTTGTCCTTCAGGCGAACACACATTTCCCAGGCGTCGAATTCTGTGGGTCAAAATCAAAAAAAGGTTAAGTTTTGAACAGAGATGGTCAAAATACAGTATTTTGAGCTCTGTGCTTCCAAGGGTTTGAATTTCCAGGGGTGTTACACCCACAAAAAGACGAAAATCATTGAGAAGAAGTCATACAAAGATACACGTCTTGTGAAGAAGTTAACTTCTTATCGCTGTCAAAATACTTTATGTTTAGAAAATTCTGAAAATAATGTATTTTGATAGCTCGGTTAAAAGTTAATTTCTTCAGAAAACCTGTATTTTCGTATGACTTCTTCTCAATGCAGATTCTTGTATTTTTGTGAGTGTAACACCCCTGGAAATTCATACCTTGGGATGAACGGGGATCTAAATGTTGTATTTTCGCAAAGCATTTTGGTCATCTATGATTTTTGAAAGGTCGTCTCATCTAATTTGCATATAATTATGGATGCATTACCTGGTGCAACCACTACTGCGTTCAAGAGCCCTTTTCCTCTCACGAGTTTGACGACGGAGGATGGCAATTTGGCCAATTCAGTGCGTAATACTTGACCCATCTTTTCCGCGTTTTTGGCCAATCCTTCCTCTTCCATGACTTCGAGTGCGGCCATTGCTACCTTGCAAGCGAGTGGATTGCCACCATAAGTCGAACCATGCTCTCCAGGTCGGATGCACAGCATGACGTCGTCATCCGCAAGAACAGCAGAAACCTGTTCGTGGGTCCATCCAAAAATTAGTATTCAGCATATGAAGAATGCATGCAACTAGTCAGCCGCTCTGTCAATGTGACCTTGGCAATTTATTTTTTGCTCAAACAAAATCTGGAGGTGTGTCGGTCTTAGAGACCAATCCACTTATCCCAGTCTTTCTTTTCTTGTTTTGCAGTGCAAGAAATGTAGCAAACCAAGAAATGCGAGGTGCAAGAAATATGCGCCATCGAGCCAAGCGCTTATGAAGTATATCGACGGCGTAGTTTCTTGTGCCTTGCATTTCTAGCAGGTCAAAATATGTAGCTGCAAGAAACCACTTTCTTGCCGTTATTTAGTGCAAGTGCTTACTTGCACCCGAAACAATGACTTTTCATCCTTACTCACCGGTAGCACACCACCGCTCAAAGCCTTCCCCAAAATGACAATGTCGGGGCGAACATTTTCATGATCGACGGCCAGTCTTTTCCCCGTGCGGGCGAGTCCGGTTTGCACCTCGTCCGCAATAAAGAGAACATTTCGCCTGGTGCAGATGTCCCGGACGCCTTTGAGATAACCGTCGTGTGGGACGACGACGCCAGCCTCGCCTTGAATCGGCTCCACCATGAAGGCGCACACAGTCGGGTCTTGCAAGGCTTGCTAAAATTGGGAAAATTCAAAATGTAGACTTTTGTAATTTAAAAATATAAAAAAAGTTTGCAAACGTTCAAATTTATCACTTCAATGCTTGACCCTAATATCCAACGTCAAAAACATGACAAGAATTTTTATGAATTTTCAAAATAACGACTAATTTTTCCAAAAATTGGTACAACATTTTCTTTTATCTTTTCTATGCATGTCTTGATACGCATATGTAACAAAATATGTAGCGTTCGAAATATTGACAAATAAAGCAAACTTCCATGCAATCCAATTAAATTAAAATGTAAGATTTTTTAAACTTGAAAAACGTAAAAATTCCCGTACCTCCAAAACCTCCAAATCGTTATACGGAATGATTTTAAACCCTGGCATGTAGGGTCCAAAGCCTTCATAGGAAACGGGATCTGTCGACGCTGAAATTGCGGACATCGTCCTTCCCCAAAAGTTGCCCTCCACGAAGACTATTTTCGCCTCATTTTTGGGAATCCCTTTCTTCATGTAGCCCCATTTTCGGGCCAATTTGCACGCCGTTTCGCCACCTTCGACTCCTGAGATACGAAGATATTACGAATTATGACACCATGCATCATTAGCGTAATTAAAAGTAAGCACGAGACTTTTTTCTCTGCCTCTCTGTTTGTTCATACAAGTCAATTAGCACCGCTATAAATGCTACACGTCCTTGAACTTGCTTCTTCAACGAACAAAATAAATTTGACATTAGGCAAAAATGAAATATTCAACCTGTTTAAAATACAGATTAGTGAAGTAAATAGATGTGCAAAATCTGACGCGTAGTAAGATTTTTACACCCTTAAGCAAGCAAATAGTGAGGAGGAGAGCTCATTAAGTAAGTCAACTGAATTTTCTATGTATGTATACACAATAAGTAATTGTTTCGTTCTTCACTTGGAAGAATAGGGAGAGAGTTGCAGTTTATTTATAAATATTTTACGATCGACAATTAAATATTGGTTAACAGGATGCCCAACTCCTTCTTATGCAGGGATGATCATATTTCACTTTATGTAATGCAAAGCAAATATAATGGTTTTTCAAAGCAAGGGAAACGTGCATGAATAAATTAAACCGAATAAACTGATGAACAGAGGATGGATATGTAATTACGAAAAATCGCTGAAATATGTATTTCATATTTACGAAAATAGACGCCAAAATATTTGCGAAATATGTACGAAAAAACATAAAAATAAGAATTTTCGACAAATTTGTACTTTTGAATATATGATAATGCTCTGGATTTTTTGTAGTCAAATTTCTTTGAGCAAAAAATTTTCGTCTCGTATGGTTGAAATATTTATAAAATATATGTATTTTTGAAAAAAATTTGTGAAAGACTTCCGTATTTAGCGGAAATATTTATGTCTAAAAACCTAGAAATATGTGCCAATTACTGCCAATATGTAAAAATATTTTGAAATTTTGGTGATCCATGCGAGTTAGGGAACACGGTACAAAGTTTGACCTTCGGTCGTCATCAAAGCTTAAAAATAAATACATATCCGCCCTCTGCTAATAAAGCGATTAAATTAGGAATTTCCTTTCAATCGAGTAATCCGAGACGGAGGATTGTTAAGATTATGAAGGAATGTCAATGTGACCCCCACATTTTCTCACCCGTATTCATGGGAAGGACCTTATCATATCCGAACAGTCTTGTCAAGTACTCCTCATATTCGCCCAGCACGTCTGAATAGAACGCTCGCGACGTCAAGGTGAGAATGTCGGCTTGCTCTTTCAACGCGGCGACGATTTTGGGATGGCAATGGCCCTGATTCACGGCCGAGTAGGCGCTCAGAAAGTCGAAATAGCGTCGTCCCTCGACATCCCAGACGTAGACGCCTGGAAGGAAATCAAACCTCAAAGTCAGTCTCAATTTCCCCACGAAATTTGTCTTAAAGAATAACCTTATCAATTTATGTCTCACCTTCTCCTCTGCACAAGGCGACGGGGATGGGATGGTAATTGTGCGCCCCGTATTTTGACTCTCTGTCGAAAATCTGTTGTGGTGTTATTTTCGCACCAGACGTGGTTTTTGGGTGAGACGTAGCTTTTCCTCTCTTCAGAAAAACACCACTCCCACCAATCTCACTTTTCAGCAGGGTTGAGAAGGAGCGAATCATTTTGATATAATCAGACTACTTGGTTGACGAGGTGAGACGAAGAACGATACAGAACCTGACGGACCAATGGACTGGAACGAAATGAGCGATTGTTCAGCAAAGAGGGCTCAATTATAGATATGTAAGTGCGATGAAGACGAAGACAAAACTTGGTCAACTTCTTTATCCAGCAGCAGAAGCACAGTGAATTGAATTTTACACGTACCGTCCCGTGTGTATTAGTTAGTAGTTCACCAACAAGTTAGTTTATCATAAACAACGACGAACTTGGGACACTTTTTGCGTAGTAGAAGTGCAGTGGTAGCACGGTAGTTAGTCTTATTAAATTCGGGTATACTCAACTCTAATGATATTTGTTCCTCTTGTTTCGTTTATTGTCCCGGTTTGCTCTTTCTGCAATCGTTCGTTTCCTTTAGGCATCCGTTTCTCGGGACATGAAAATAATGCGCAACTCAATCGTCTTTTGGTCCATTGCCCAACTTTTAATGTTTTAGCTGGTGCATTATATAAGCGAGTGTGTGTGTGTATTGCATTCCAGCCAGGTAGATATTACTTTACTTACTAGGATGTCTCACAGCGTATGCTCTCCGATTTTGCCCAAATTAGTGTCCATTGGTCACAAATGTAATTAATACGAAATTTGCAAAAGACATGATCTTCCTATACGCAAGTTTGGCGGAGATATTTGCATCCGAAGAGGAGAAAACGCTGAGTATATTTGGAAAGTTTAGCATTTGTCAACTTTACTGCGTGTTTTCTCCTCTTCGGATACAAATATCCCTTCCAAACCTTCGTATTGGGAGATTGTGTCTTTTGCAAATTTCACATGAATTAAATTTGTCATTGATTGTCACTACTTTGATTAAAATCAGAAAGCATACGCTGGGAGACCTTTTGGTAAGTACTAATCCTAAGTAATGCATGTATAAATGCCAGAATCAGTTTGACACATATTATGCCTCCATTCATTATCTTAGGTAAAGTTAAAGGCCCAATTTATTCCCTAATTATTCCATCCATAATACATACGCGTACGTGTGTCAGAAGAGTCATAAGTAAAAGAATGGTATGAACTGAAATGTACAACCTTCAGAATGGAGGAGAGAGTTCAAACAGAACATAAAAACTGGTATCCAGTATGCATATTAAATTAAGTAATTAATAATACCCAACATTTTTTAACTTGTGTACATGCACCGAGCAGTAGCAAACAAGTAAAATATTCCACTCGCCGCCCACAGAATTTTGCATGCAACAACAATTTAATTGCTTAAGCAGATTGGAACTTGATTTCGCGTCCAGTCCACACACACTCCAGTGACCGAGTGGAATTCACTCTTAACAGGATTTTAGATATTTCAGGGGACGAGAAAGAATAAAATTAAAACAGGTCGTACATGTGGATTTTAACAGGTTGGATGCATTATGTAGTGAAAAGTTGCTCGATGAAGATTAATTAAAGGTAGATTTTTGCACTGTATAGATTTGCATTTACATAATTTGGTTGGTGCCGAATTTTTGTCCCAGTAAGGAAGAATTATATAATGTTGAATTTGGTTAGTTAAACGTATGTGATTTGTTCATGCAATGCAATATTTTAGTGACAAATGAATAACAATTCAAGGAAAATATTTTCATAAACTTTTCTAATTTTTCCGTACTGATGGAGTTTTAGGATTATTATTAGTGTCTTCAACTTTAAAAGTACCTAACTTCTTGGCTTCCTTCGCTTCGCTTTTCTACCCAAAAAGTATAAACTTATTGTAATTCGTTCATGCAATATTTTACTGACGAATGAATAACAATTTAAGGGAAATATTTTCGTAAACTTTTCTAATTTTTCCGTACTATTGGAATTTTGGTATTACTATTAGTTTCTTGAACTTTAAAAGTACCTAACTTGGTCTCCTGTCTCCTTCGCTTTACTTTTCTACCCAAAAAGTATAAATTGCTGATAACATAAAGAAAACAGTAATTGTTCATGTACTCGACATTCTCGTCCTTCCTAGTCTGCTTAAAAGAGACTTAATTTCGTCTCAACTTTCGTCTCACTCATACATTGTCATTTAGAAAATAACCATTTTGCTACCTGAAAAGAGACTTCACTTATGTCCTTCCCCTCTTATCTTGTCATGAAGATAAAGTTGAAAAACATTTTCATACGATGCACAACTCATTCGAGCATTTGGGTGATGTGGTACACAAGTCATCGTCACGTAGAATGTGCGCGAACTGAGAGATTGGTATTGGATTCAGCTCAGCCCACGAGTAGAAAACTGATTCAAAGTTAATTTAATAACTTTGGATCTTTGGCGACAAACAAATCATGGCTTTTTTCATAGCCTTCACCAGGTCACGAGGTGCGTGTGGTGTACCTGAGTTACCTTATCTTAACTAATTATTATTCTTACTTGTCTTTTTGTCTAATGTTCTAGTTGGCAGTTGCGCCTCCGTCGCCCTGAAGGGAATTCTCGGTGATGGGAGTGGTGCCTTTCCCAGATCCAAGTCCACCCTCTCTGTCGGCAACAATTATCAATCCTTCCTTTGTTTGGGAGAAGGAGGAAGAGCTTTATCTAACATTCAGTTGAGCAGTGAAATTCAACGCGACTTTACTCGAAGATGGTTCCACTCAACGTCTCCTGTCCTCCAGGATGAGAAAAAAGAAGACCAGAAAGACGAGAAAGACGAGAACGTGGACACGACAGGTCAAGTAGAGAATAAAACTGACTCGCAAGAAGAAGGTAGAGGTCGTGGTAAAAATCGAGGCTATTTAAAAAGCCGAACAAAAGTTATTCCGGTCGAAGTTAGCATTCGATATCTCAAAAGCCCCGGTATGTATATGTAATATTATACATAATGATCAGTAATAGGAAGTTAGCAAACCTACATTTTTAAAATTTCCGGAACTTGCCCTATCTCTGAGTTATTTCCGGAGCCGATCTTGAAATCATAGTGTCCTTTGAACATTTTTCATATTATGTCCGGAAATTTTGACCAAAGTCAAGAGATAGGGAAAGTTACGGAAATTTAAAAAACGTAGATTTGCTAATTTCGTAATATGCGTAAAGTTTAAAATAAACACAATTTCGGTTTTCATGCTTACAGCGTATAAGACAACATACGGTGACAACTTGGTCTGGGTCTTATACAGACGCAATTTCAAAGGACAATTTGCTCCAAAGAAGACTCGAAAAACATGCATTGTAAGTGGTGTGACATCATGCACTCAATTTAAGTATTATCCGTGACCTATCACTATTTCTAACCAATTCTTCCTCCCTTACTTAGAGAGCCGGCGAACTCGCTACTGGAAATCCCTGCCCCATTTGCCGAGATGAATATTTAGTCCTTCACCCAGAAAATGTAACTTTACTAAAACAGTTCATTTCTCCCTTCAATGGAGAAATTCTCAACTACACCAAAACCGGACTTTGTCAGATGCAGCATGAAAAACTTTTAATTGCTGTAAAACAAGCGAAAGACATTGGAAGTATAACTTTTGATATTCCATTTAGAGAATATGACTACTCAGAGTATGCCCATTTGTACGAGTCTTACAAGCCTTCTAAGTCTAATTCATAACTTTAATTATTTTGAAGTCATCTTATTTATTGTTTTTATTAGTTTTCCTTTTAATATACAAGTAAAGTATTTAATGAATCTTTTGACTCGTCTGGAAGGTCATTGACTTTCACCATTTTCTCTCCGCGGCGTAAAATCTCTTGTGATTTTTTGGGGATTTCTCCTTTGCCAATCAAATGTTCTTACCGAAAATTGGAGCAATTCTCAATGATAAATTTTGGATCTTCCGGTTTGATTAAAACCACTTAATTCCTCCCACGACATGTTTATACTGTTCCCGAAATAATGCATTTTCTCAAAGTTAATCATTCTCCTTGAAGCGTTAGTTGAATCGAAAGTTGTGTTGCATGCAATTGCGAATCTCAGATGAACCCACTGGTCTGGATGGCATAGAGAGCGTGGAGGAATCATTAGACGACCACCACCACCACCACCAAAAAACTGAACTCGGCTGAACTGAAGTTATGCAGGCAGGAGCGAGTGAGAATGCGAGTGAATCTGCAGCAGGAGCATCGAGGAAGGACTGCGAACATAGAAATAAATCCTCCTCGTCGTTCCTGTGCTTCTTCTTCACGGAGAGGACGGAGAGGCAAAATATTTGTTTACACTCATTGTCTCTCTCATTACTCGCAACGGCTCAACCCAACCAACGGTCCAGTCCTCCAGTCCTCTCACCGTCACCATCACCACCATCACCACCATCATTCATCACCACACCACTAGTAGTATTTAACTCTAATTAGGAAATTAAATTTATTCGCAATTCCACCCTCACCACGAACAAGTAGAAGGACAGGGGGTGGTGGTGGTGGTTACTGCTGTACTGCTGCTACTACTACTGCTGCTGCTGCTGCTGCTCGGACCGAGTGGGTGTGGAGGAGGAGGAGAAATCTAAAATTTTTATACATTTTTAACTAACGGCGACGCATCTCCGTCAAGAGAAGACTTCTTCATGCCTAGCTTTTTAGGTGTACCCGTCACGTGCTCCGTGAAGTGTTCAATGTTTTTAAGTGCCAATAATCATGCCGCAAAGCCTCTTCTCACATCATCTCAGGAAAATAAGACGTAATATATTTATAAGCTTGTAATTAACTGGGTTAATAATGGGGATGATGAAATTATGTACTTCTTTTTTTTCTCCAGGAATAGTATACTAGATGACGACAAGAACAAAAATCACAAAAAAGGGAAGAAAATCACAGACTACTTTCCTCCAAGGAGGACGAGTAATCGAAAAACGCAAGAAACTATTCGCGAAGAGAAACAACAACTCCTTGTCAAGTTGGTTTTAGACGAGACTGAAGATGGTTTACAAGTATGGAAGTTTCTATAATTTAGTTAATTTATTATACTATGGGCCCAACCACGAGGTATGACTAGAAGGACGAAGCACAATGTCCCTCAAGTTATAGCCGCCATTGTGGTTGCGCTCATGTATCGTCGTCGGTCGAAGTATAAAATCGGACGAGAAACGTGTGTTACAGATGTAACCGATTATATAACTAGGCCGACGATATACTTCAAAGGGGAAGGTCGTACCTATCGAATATTAGTTTAATTGTACTAATTTGTGGCTTGACTTGCAGGCTAAACGATTTCCCGGCAAGGGCAGGGGGGTCGTTGCCACGAAGCGTTTCCAGAAGAACGAGTTCATTGTCGAGTATGCTGGAACACTCATGATGGCAGCTGAAGCCAGAGCGAAAGATGCTAAATATGCTCGAGACGGATTCACCGGTTGCTACATGTATTACTTCTCCCACAACAACCAACAGTATTGGTAAGACATAAGCGATGCAGTACTATTTTCCTTTCTGGATCATCACTATCGTTCACTCACTAACAATCACTTTCTCTTTTCTCAGTGTGGACGCGACCGAGGAATCTGGTCGTATGGGACGACTGATAAATCACAGCCGTAATGGAAACCTTATCACTAAAGTAGTGGAAGTAAAGGGGAGGTGAGAATTTATTAAATATATATTTGTTTAGATTTTTTTATACGGTTTGATTTGAGGACTTAACTTATCAAATCTGTACTAGAAATTCTTTAAATATATGATGTTTAATATGATATACCATCATTTTAAATTCTAGTCCCAGACTGATATTCGTCGCTAAACGGGATATCGACGCAAACGAAGAGCTAAATTATGACTATGGCGATCGCAGCCGAGAATCCCTCCGTCACCATCCGTGGCTAGCGTACTGATAAATAAATAACAATAGTAATATTAAAATAATAACAAAGTTTTCTTTTTGTGTTTCGCTGGTGTGCATGCATGCTAGAAGAGGAGTGTGTGGAGGAAGAGGTTTGCTTGATGGCGACCAGTATTCGAACAATATTATGATGATTATTATTATGATTATTGCAAGAAGAAGAGCTCATCATTCATTGTTGTTGTTGTTGTTATTATTGTACTACGATGACGACGGCTACTACTATTACTACTTTACATACGGCACCTTCATAGAATCTCAAACTTTCAAACCTTATTTATTACCTATTTAATTATTAATTAATTGATCATTATTACTATTAGTGCTATTATTAGTATTGCTGTTAATTATACCCTCAACAACAGTTTTTATTAACGTGGTGCGAGCAGCATGTCCTCCTCCGCGTGCAGATTTTAGACTTAACTATTTATATACCATGACCTTAAAGAAAGTGATTTGTGCTGGTAATTGTGTTCATTATATTGCATAAGGGTAAGAATAATAACTTGAGGCGACGATGATGAAGTGTACTGATTGATACTACTACTACTACTACCACTACTGCTGATAATGATGATAGAATAATTTATGTCAATTCAAACCACAAGTGGCCTATGTAGGTCATGCATGACGTCGTGGCGTCAGTTAATAATACGATAATAATAATGATATAGAATAAATCAAAGCATCTCATTCGTATTTGTAAAAAATTAAAATATCTTGTCCAATTCCGACCATTTTTGTAGTCAGGTTCAATTGATGTATTAAGAATAAGGAAGCAAAAGAGTTGTAGGGACGACAAAGAGTAAAACAAAATAATATGCTCTTCTTTATACACAATACAACACATGATGTAATAATAAAATAAAAGCACCAAAAGATATTATACATATCAAATGTGGTAATTATTGTGTTTTAATGCCGCGACATCAGAGGATGCCGCTGTTGTTTTTTTAGTATGATTGCATCATTATTATTATTTCATTGCAATTAATAATGGTATTAATTGTACAGTTACGACTTTACGACTTAAACTACTGACAATGAGTACATTAAATTGTAGTTTCAAACGTGCTTTTGATATATCACATATTGAAAAAATCAATAGAAAGAGTGAGCTGCGATTAACGAAATATGACGACATCATCATTGGCGGCGAAAGACTTTTACTACTACTACTACATTGCTTGCTGCATGGCAATAATATTTTTTTCTCATAAAAATAACAAGCGACAAGAACGACATTCGGACACGAGTAATGCATAGTAAGGTGATGTGAAACATAAAAAGTACAAAATTTAAGTAAGTGTCACTTATTGCGGCGTCGATTGTTATAACGACGATTGCGACTGTTTTGATGTCTTGACTCTTGAAATTCATCATCGTCCGGATCCCTCCCGGACCGTCGACCTGTTTGGCAATCGCTTTGTTTGTTGGCAGTTGGTGGTTTTCTGGAGCCACCCGATGTCGTGAGATGTTCACAACAGGGCTGTGCTCGGTCTTTATGGCCGTGATTCTGAACAGTTGTCGTCACCGTAGAAGATGTTGGCACACGGCTTTTCAACTTTTGACCTCGTCCATTTCGTTGATCTTCTTGGCTTTGTTGTTGTTGTTGTGTGGAATAATTCCCTGCAGCTGAATTTGTCCCATTATTGCTTGTTCCTCCTCCTACTCCTGGACTTTGACTCTCATCCTCTGGCCCTCCTGGACTAGAAATAACGAGCATCTTTTTCTGTTCAGTGAGATCGATGATGCCCCCTTGACTCTTTTGCTTCTCGTAGAGCTGCTTCAACACCTGAATTTTTGTGAGTAAAATTAGATATGATACTTCCATTTTGCTTAAACTAATGTTAGTCTTATTTAATTATACTTTCTTCCTCCCCTCCCAATCTTGCAACACATTGGTGGCTGTTGGCACTGCTTTGGTGGGGTTGGTTGTTTCAGCAGCAGTACGAGACAAAGATGACGACTCCAATTCTTCAGAGGGTGGTGGGGATTCGATGAGTTTTTCAATATTTATGTCATCTTGTAAACATTCACGACAAACTGGGCAAGTCAAATCTTGCTTTTCTTTCAGGACCTACCAATTAACATTAAATTCATTTTACAAATCTGCAAATAATTTTTAAATGTATATCAATACTCACATTATCCGTTTCTTTAAACGTCGCAGCCAAATTTTTGAGATAACTTCCCAAACATTGTGAATGGAAGTGGTGGAAGCATCTCGTCCTGTAGAACACATCGAATTCGGTGAAGGAAAAGAGACAAATCGGACATTCTGATGCAGGACGATTGTTCTTGGTAAGAAATTCTTTGCACATGTCGACCAGCTCGTAAATCATTTGAGATTCCAATCTGTCCTCACAACGTGCCTTCATAGTCTTCATCAAGTCGTCCAACATGGAATCGTTGAGCCCTCGTGGATTGCGAAACAGGATTTTTGGTGGACACTTTGGATAGCTTTGTGGAAGTATGAGTTCCAGCGTTAATGTCACATAACGCGATTCTTCATCGTCAGCTGTGGCAGGGTACAAAATCATGGAAATTTGTATCTCTCCTTCCCTAATAGAGTGATTAAAATTACTTTCGTTATATATTCTTACACAAGTCATTAATTCTCAATGTTTGTTTACTACTCACGGAGTTTCGTCATTGATTTCAATCTCATTAAGAAATATAGCACTGAGCGTCTCCATCTCCTCGGTACATGCGCTAGAGAAAAAAATCAAATGAAATGATATCATCCCATTAATTAAGTAATAGGTGTCAGAGTTCACATACGGAAGTAAATAATAATCAAATAAATTACTATCCCAATAAATAAGACTTACTCTGTCGACATGTTACAAAAAAAATATTGTCCCCACAAAAATCAATCAGCTGTACTTCAAGTCACACCCACAAATCCAAACCAAAAACTTTCCAATAAACTTGTTAATCTACTTTTTTGTATGTCTTTCCTTCTTTTGTCAGCCAGCCAGCTCGTCGTCCTACAGATGACAGAAGGTTGTCTTGTCGTTGAGCAGGTTATTGTTATTTATTTAATTATTTATTACTTGCTAATTCGAGAATGGTATCAAAATTGTCTTAAAATATGTAATTCGTCCATCTGCCTCTGATTGTATTGCATATATTATTATTTCGTAAAGTTGGGCAGCAGCAGCACTTTTTATATAAATAAAACTACACACTCTGCCTGGAATGAGTGATGATGTGATTGAGATGTGCTGCTTACATTGCATTATTCCTGCCAGCAGCAGAAGGACGACTGAAATATGTACGGACTGGCAGAGATATATTTTGCTTGGTTTTTGGTAAGTGTATTGATGAAATTGAGAGAGAGAGCCCAGGAACGACCACACAAGACGGACTTTTGGCCCGTTGCTTTCTCCACCACTTTCACCACCACCAAACCAACCGATTCCATGGATGGGCAACAAACTTTGGCAAAATGTAGTGTATTTTGAGCTCCGTTCTTCCCAGGGTTTGGATTTCCGGGGGTGTTACACCCACAAAAAGACGAGAATCTGCGTGGAGAAGATAGCAGTCATATGAAGGTACAGGTCTTGTGAAGAAATTGGCTTTTTATCGCTGTCAAAATACCTTAAAATCATGAAAATAATGTACAGCGATAAAAAGTTAATTTCTTCACAAAACGTGTATTTTCGCATGACTGGCGTCTTCTCCATGCAGAGTTTGGTCTTTTTTCTGGGTGTAACAATAACACCCCTGGAGGAAATCCAAACAGAAGAACGAAAATCAAAATTTAGTGTATTTTGACAAAGTATTTCGCCCATCCATGCCAATTTCCATGCCCATGCGAACCAATGTGTTTTCATGGGAAGACCCACCAGCTCAGCAGCCTTTCTTTCTCTCTCTGCATATCATTAAATGCAGGGGAATGGATTCATGAAACTGTGTAGCTTTTATTATAATGAAATTGTCCCATTATGAAGCCCAATATCTGTGTCTCGTCGACGTCGGGATCAGTCCGTCCTGCCCCCGTCGTCGTTTCAATTCGATTTATATGTATATGACGTATTTATGTCCCGATAGTAATTGGATGACCTTCCATCTCCGTCCTTTACATACACAAGCCAGTCTTTTATTTCCATGCTGGACTGATATGATGGATGAGACGACGTGTAGGTTGAAACCATGTTTGGAGTCCATATTTTAGCATCCTTTGTTCTTCCCAGTTTCAGGTTTCCAGAGAGAACCACCACGAACGAACCTGACTTTTGATCAACAAGTAACTATAAAAGAGTAATTTTTATAAGAGGACGACCAAATGGAAAGGAGGAGGTCAGTGGCCGCGGAAGCTGTGGGGACATTAAGAGGTTTACATAACATGGGCAAATGATGGGGACATCGAATGACCATGGGGACATTGTTCCTCTGTCCTCACGCTTCCGCGGCCACTGGATGAGATACGGAGGATGTTCAAACAAATGTGGTGAAAGCTTCTTACAATATAATACGTATGTACGTATAGCTTGGTTTATGTTTGTTTTAATGTGGAGAAAGTAAGCAAGTAATGGAATAATAAGGAGAAAGCTGTCTTCTTGTCAACAAGAGCAGCGTGAGATGAATGCGTCATCATCTTTTTCGTGGTACGACTTCATTTCACGGGTTGTCAATTCAATTCAATGTATGCGATCCTTATATAAAACTGGTGAAAGTGGTTTGGTTGTGTAACTAGCAAAGTTTTTTTTCTTCCAGATTGGACAAAAAATGTCCTGGAAATAATGGCAGATATGTTGCTGAGAGGAGAAAAGCTGTTGTTTTTTGGTGGTTGGGTATTATCTAATAAGGTGTGAGCAGGTGTTGAAGTTCCAGATTCATGAGGCTGGATAATTAAAGAGAGTCTATAGACTTTACTTAATTAGCAATGTTGTAATGTCAAATTCAACTGTATGCATGTAACATGGATATAAACTGTGTTACAAAGATTTATGGAAACATTCACTGCGAAAATGAATTTATAAATTGTTTCCAAAATTTCTATCACTATTTTTCTTGTATTTCAGCTTTTATTTAGGGTATATTAAAATGTGCAAAATATTCTCAGTAATTTTGTATGACAAGATGAAAACTAAATATTTCTATGGTGCAGAAACTACGTAAACTTGGGTTTATTTTGTCACATAAATTACAAAAGGTCAATCAAAAATAATACGTTAACTTTGATTAGACTGAATTTAGCAAAATATAAGTATTGTGATGGTATGGTACTGATCTTGATTGATTTGCATGTCAAAAGTTAAAGTTTCATGGGAAAAATATTTAATATCCAAACATAACTTTGACAATGAAACCAGATAACCACATATTTTTCGAACGAGGAGTAATTATCTCAGGTTTTCTCATTTTTGGCGAAATATAACTTTGCGTGCAAAATTTTTGCAGCAATTAATTTTCAGTACATGAAAAAACTTACACAATTAAAGTAAAAACTACACCAAGTAAATCTCTCCCGTTGCCCGAAACTGCCGAGAGCGGGAGGTTGGAATCCAAAGTCGGCACTAAATAGTGGTCACTCAAAACTCGGTTTTTCACTCCGCTGCTGCCTGGGTTTTGCATTAATCCCATTAGTTTTGCAAATATTTCAAGAAATTGGAAACACTTTTTAAAGAATGGCGAATCGCACAGTGAAAGATGCCAAGTCCATCAAAGGCACGAATCCACAGTACCTCGTGGAGAAAATTATTCGGTCCAGAATCTACGATAGCAAGTACTGGAAGGAAGAGTGTTTCGCTCTCACAGGTAATAATTACTTCATAATCAATGTTTATCAAAATTTGCATTATTTTTATTATAGTCGGTTATATAATTAATTAACTAATTGTATCATATAGCTGAGCTCCTCGTCGACAAGGCTATGGAATTGCGCTTCATCGGAGGCGTCTTCGGGGGAAACATAAAAGTCACCCCGTTTCTCTGTCTGACCCTTAAAATGCTCCAGATTCAACCTGAGAAGGAAATTATTGTGGAATTTATCAAGAATCAGGATTTCAAATATGTTCGAGTTCTGGGTGCGTTTTACCTCCGACTTACGGGAAGCTCGTTGGATTGCTACAACTACCTCGAGCCACTCCTGAACGATTATAGAAAGATAAGAGTGCAGAACAGAGAAGGAGGTAAGGTTTCTTATATATTTAAATTGTTATATAATGCTGATGACGTAAAGTTGATCAATTCATGCTTTTTACAGTCTTTGTAATGAGCTATGTGGACGAATTTGTGGACGAACTGCTTCGAGAAGAACGAAGCTGTGACATTATTTTACCCCGGATGCAGGTATTTTTTTAATTAAACACTCTGCTTATTAATTGTACTGAAATGTATATAAATTAGTAAATGTTTTCCCTTTCTACATAGAAACGAACCATTCTAGAAGAAAATAATCAGTTACAGCCTAGAATATCCGTCTTAGAAGAGGACGATGACGACGATGATGACATGGATATGGAGGAGTCACGAGAAATGGATAAGAAATCGCCACAAAAGTCGTTGATGAGGCCACCAGTTAGTAAATCTAAGGACGAGGGGAGGCAAAGGCGGTCTCGCTCTGCAGAGTCACCCTCATCAGGTAATTCAACATAAATAGGTCTTTCTATAATGCTACCGTAGTCCGGGTGAATTAAAATATATAATTGGTGCAATAATTAGGTGAAAGGAGACGAAAGAAAGAGCACGATCGTGAAAAGAAACGGGAAGACCGACTCACGGAGCATAGAACACGAAAAGAGAATACGAGAGGGGATGAGGAGCACGATCGCAGAGGCAGAGATCGGTCAGATCGGCACAGGGATGACCGCAAGTCGGACAAGTATAGTAGCAGCAGCGGGAGTAGGGATCGACCACGGGAGAGGGATCGAGATCACGGGAAAGGGAGAGATGATTACCCAAAAGGCAGCAGGGACGAGGGTGGACGTAGCAGTCATCGCGACAGAGATCGAGACCGTGGTGAAAGTGATAATAGGCGAGATCGAGGAGACAGTGATCGACACAGGAGCAGCCGCAGATATGATTATTAAATAAACAAATTAATATTTAATTAATCAACACGTTTTTATTATTGCAAGTAATTATCATAAGTAATTAGTTAGTTAGTAAGTATTTCCTTGTCCTTAAATATATCTTCTTTGATACAGAGTGACACTTAAAGCTTTCTCATTATTTATCTTGTTTTTTTGTACCAAAATAGATTGTCAAATATTAAACAAATTTTCTATCTTTCCAACGAAATTTTCACTACGGTCTTTTTTTATTGTATACATTATTTACCTTCTAGTGATGATTTTCTAATTTTCTACATAAATATACAGAGTCTATACTAGTCTGGAACAATAAGAGAAAGCAAATGTCTCAAAGTCTAGTTTTTAAACGTGTTTATTGGGAATAATACAAACCAGACAGAAATCATGAGGACATTCCTCCTCTCGTTTGTCAACTGTCGTTTTCGTTATACCATTCTTGTCATAAACGTCCCTACAACATACGTAGTTACAGACATCGATGGAGTGCAGTACTGAAAATGGAGCTACTTACATAATTACACATACATGTACCTGTACTGATGCAACGCTCTACTAGACTAGCCATTAAATATTTTAAGCTTTCTTTTACCTCCTCCTTTCCCTACAATTTCTTATTTTACACTTATTTCCGGGTTTAGTTCAGGTATCCAACTGCATTCATCCAACCAATTATTCTATTTACTAGTTCACTCTCAACTCATCCAGACAAGGGGAAGGGCGATGCCTCGTATTAATTATTGCTGATTAGTACCTGTGAGTCACACATAAGTGACCAGTGTTTCGGGTGCAAGTAACCACTTGGAAGAAATAACGGCAAGAAAGTGGTTTCTTGCAGCTATTTTGACCTGCAAGAAATGCAAAACGCAAGAAACTACTACCGCAGTTATGTTCATACGGAGTGTTGCTACATAGCGCATTTTTTTGCACTTTTTTGCAGTTTCTTGCACCTTGCATTTCTTGCGTGGCTTGCTCCTCAGTGAAAGCAATGTAGCAAACCCGCAAGAAACGAAACACTGTAAGTGACGACTTTCTCCCATTGCAAACCAGACACTGTTGAAGGTTGACCATCCATCCGTAGTAAAAGTAATGACTAGTTGAGATTGATGATTGTGAGCGAAAATGGCTCAGAATCTGAGATTGTGTCTCATCAGGTAAGAGACTGCGAGGAGGAGAAAGGTGGCTGTGGAGGAGGCAAGTTGAGACGGAGGAGACCCATTGCACTCGTTTTCATTGCAACAGTGAAGCGAACTCAGCTCCTTGAATCCTTGCTGTTTCTGTGTCGGCTTGCTACCCAGTAGCTGTCCTGAAATTTAATACACACAATTTATTACCACAGTGTTAATAATTTTGAAGGGTTTCGCTGTGGTTTTAACCACCGTCCAAAATCCGTTAATGTACAGATGTATGCGTAATCTCCCATTAATTTTGAGTATTTTGGCCTGTCTGTAACACGGCCTGTTTAGAAAATTTCTTAATTTCTCTAATAAGAAAGCACGTGAAAACAAAAGTTTTTCCAAATTTCGTGGTATCACACTAAACAAAAGCACAATTAATGGAGTGCACATCTATGCATGGATTTACAAAAAATCGTTACTCAAAAAAACATTAATAAGGAACTTGTAACATTTTCTCATTTCCCAATGTTGGACGCTTTTGGACATTTTTGGATTGAACACGGTCTAAAAAGGTTTTGGACGTCAAAACCTAAACCCTACTAATTAGTCGACAATCTACTTAAAATTGTACCGGTATTTGTAACGTGTTTAAATATTGTGGAGAAGGTTTGGAGGAAATCAATTAAAAATGGTCTCATGCTTGTAACATGTTAATTGAAAGTTTGCCAACTTTCTCCAAATATGCATGGGGCCCATTAAAAATTTTTAGAATCTGAAATTATCACCCATTCTAAAACATACGGGTTTCTCGTTGTGCAACGCTTTCTCCTTCATTGTAAACGAGGAAGAGATCGATATTCCGTGGAGTACGTAATTGTAACCAGTTCCAAGTATACGGAACTAGAATTAAGGTGTTTGTGTTGTCTCCAAATCCAAGAAAGTCATAGATTTATAATACGTTTGCATGGTAAATAATATGGCCACGACGGACTCCTGGTCATTTCCCTCTTGCTCATAAGTCCCAAGTTGCGTGACCGATTCTGCTTATCGAATTCATAATCTCGTCATAAATGCTGTCTATAATCGCTCTCCCACCAACTACACCCACCAACCAGCCAGTGAACCAGCAGGTTAACTCTGCTGCTCTCACTTATTATAGAGAGAGGGAGAGGTCCAAAGTAAAGAGTCGCGCAGTTTGGGTCACTTTCCTTATTTCTGCAAAATCTAGCAAACCTTAGAATGCAATGAAATGGACCAACCAAACCATGTCCCACATATGAACCACCTTTCGCCATTATGTATGCAGGCATACGTATAAACTCTGTTTGTTGTGCTGATGACTTCCGAAAATCGGCCACAAAATCAAACTCTAACAACGGAGGTCTCCCAGCGTATGTTGTCCGATTTTGACTAAAACCAGTGTCAATTGATCACGAATTTAGTTAATATGAAATTTAGAAAAGACATGATCTCCCAATGTTCAGACTTGCCAGAGATATTTGCATCAAAAGAGGAGAAAATGCACCCGGAAGTTGACAAATTTTGCACTTTCTAAATTTACTGCACGCTTTCTCCTCTTCGGATGCAAATATCTCTTATCTCTTCTCCCTACAAATCTGAACATTGGGAGATCATGTCTTTTCCAAACTTCATACTAATTAAATTTGTGATGGATTGACGTTAATTTGCTCAAAATCTGAGAGCACACGATGGGAGGCCTCCATCGTAAAACGAACTTTCTCAATTTTTGGATGTACCTATGTTCATAGTGCATTGAGCTTCCTCCTTATATAAGAAAATCCTTTTAGCCAAGAAGAAAAAACCTTGAGGAAGTTTCTACCCATAAAAAATTTAAGGTAATGAGTGCGTGAATTGACACTGCCAGTCCCACGAGCACGACCATTAGCGACTTTGCGAAAAATTATAAATATGTACATACGAAGGTATTCACTTAGGCGGCTCGATACGTAGGTATCAGAGTGAAATGAACTGTGAAATATAAAATTCTGCATGTCAACAACTCCGCATTTCATCAATCGGCCTTCAAAAAATTGGCGTTGTTCATCCGATGCGGAGACACATGTGGACAACCAATCTGGTAAATGATGTAGGCCTCGCGAAATGCGAAACTGGGCGCAATCATTACTAACTCAACCAATTTAGTTAATTATCAAGAAAATTATGACACTCTACGCATGCACCAACCAACCTATGGGCCATTTTCCACCTTAATTGTCATCTCGATATTCCACCTGAACGAAAATCGGGATACCATCCTTTCAAAAAATCTCTTCAAACTTCTCTGGGCGTTTCACCAGCAGGATCGCGTGACTTAATTAGGACTCGCTCAACAACCAGTATGACCTACTTTATGGTCAATAAGCCACCACTGAGAAAGGAAAACCAGTGCATATACCATACGCGTATGCATATACTTTCCATGATGATGAATATGACGGAGAAAGTCTTCTCTCTCACGACTTGATTTATGCACCCCCAATAATAACTTTACTTACTTTTCCATGTAAATCCTTCATTAATGTGGAAAAAATGGTTAAATTGACAACTCACGTTTTTGTCTCGTCCTCCCGTCCGGATGGCTGATGGCACGACGGGGGCGTTGAGTCGGGGGTGGAGCGGGGAACTGATACCCGTCCCGGCCCCCACATTTATTCGCGTCCCCACAAGTCCGGTCAATCACGCCGTTCTCGTTCACTATTTTCTAGCAGAGGGAAAAATTACCGATAATAATATCCAGAATAATTATTTTTAAGTATGACGCCCAACTTACGACACAACGCGCCGTGCTTTTCGAACATGTGACGACGTGGGACGCGTTAAAGGTGGTTTCGCAGTCGCGACAGACGTAGCAATCGAGCGCGGCGTGGGTGGAGGTGGGGAGGATGAATAAGATTCCGACCACACAGCAGCCAAATCCGACGAGGTAGACGTGAACAGAATGCATTTTTTTGCAGGCTAAATAGTTGGAAAAGTAAGGTTCACACGGAATTGTGGCACCCAGACTCCAAGAAGAGACGCTGCTGCTCCAATCGTGCACCGTTGATGACTGATGATGAAATGAAGGAGGAAAAGTTTTGGCGTGGTGTGATATGGAATGGACGTTCAATCAAGTATTGAAGGTGGAAAGCAAAACTGCTAACTTTTCAACTGGTGGGGAGGCATTGGTGCTCAATCCAACGTGCATTTGGGGTGAGTTCAAGTAGTCTTTAACAAAAAATGCCCTCAACCCTTCTCGTGTCAAGCATGGCGTGGCGTGGAGGCAATCGTTTTCATTTCAGTTACTTTCTCCATGAAAAGTATATTCGTGGTGGTGGTGGAGGTATATGGTCACATTCGTTGGGCACAGGCCTTCCTGTCTGGTCAGTGGACCCCGTCAGCTTTCTCCCTCTGTTCATATGCAATGCGCTGGCTTCTTCTTTGGAAAAATGTAACGTGCTATTTACAGGTTCCTTCTTTTTAAAGAAATCTATACCACCTACATACTTGTTTCAAGTAGGTGGTAGGTTGCATTTCAAGTAGGTGCTAGGTACATTCCTGTGATTTAGAATTTCAGGTATTCATTCCGTACTTGATGAAGGCAATATCCACATTTATAGTGTCTCATCACTATAAATACACCAATAACGACGAAAAATTGATTGCGAGTCCGTGGATATTTGCGAATTTTCATTTTTATTTTCAAAAATCAATAACTCAGATTACAAATAAAAACATTAACTATTCATGCCTTGAGAGAGATAGCCATAGACGTATTTTAGCAACTCAATCTTCAATCTGCGCAAGACTTCTTCACCAAAGAAACAAGCTGGCCAACGTGCACTTCAGAAATCATTATTTTTTATACTGTTAATTAATTTAAGCGAAAATTAGGGTATATATTATTTGTAAATACGATAGTATTTCGAAAATCGTCACCATCTTAAGTTACCACAAACTAACCTAATTCTCGTCAAAAGTAAAATATTTAAAATTAGTAATTTTTAATCATTTTTGAGGTATACAATACAAAACTGCTTCTACTAAAAAAGCCAGGATTTCATTTTCATGCAAATCTGGCTTGCATGTGAGTCGTTCTCAACAATGGTGAAAATTCAGAAAAATTCTCATTGGTTGGTGGTGGTTGAGTTGGCCGTTAAATTGCGAGTCAAGCAGCGTCTCAGCTCAGTCGGATTCTTCACCTCGTGCTCTACACACGACTTTTTTCGTCTCTCTCTCACCGGAAAATAAAATAAATTTTCAACCAGTTTTTTTCTGTACCGCGAGTCAAGACAGAACGGAAAGGAAGTCTCGGTCATCCAAGGTCTCGTAAAGGGTAAGAAATCAGGTCTCGCGTGATTTTGACCCTGACCTTTTTATTTTTTTATTCAGTTTTTTTATTGAAAGCGTGGCGATCCGTCCTTAGTGTAGTTAGAGCGGGTAGAGGGCGACTCTTGTCCCTCTGCGTGTCTCAGAGTTGGTTGAATGGAAAAGTTTTTTTTGACGAAGAGATTCAAATTAATTATTGTGTTGATTTTTTTTACTCGCAGATTATTCAAATTTTATAATGTCGCAGAAGGCCGAAGAAGTCAAAGGTGCTGGAGCGAATGTTGCGAAGAGCGATGGGTGCAAGGCACAGGAAGAAATAAAGCCATACCCAGGTTGTTGGGTTGACGATGAGTTTAGGAATCAAATGAGAGGTAGAAGAGGAGGTCGCGGAGGGGATTGGAAGCCACGAGGCGGTCGCGGTCAATATCAAGGATCAAATGGCGGTCGCGGTCAGTATGTAGAATCTTATGGCGGAGTTCGTTATTACGAAAGATCCGGAAGAAACCAAACCAGCGACAGTCAGGTCGCTAAGGAGGCCAGTAAAGCACCAAACAACAGGAGGTACAATGGACGTCGATCACCATTCGGGGCCAGAAAGGGACAAGCCAATACTACTGGTGTACATAAGAAGGGTGAGGCACAGCGGATTGCGAAAAAAGTATCAGGTATTGTTTTGACATTCTTGTTGGCTGGTTATTATTACAATTTGTAATTTACAAAGTACTTAGTTTGTTGATGAATTGTTCTTGGTGAACAGCTACTAAATCTAAATTGTGCAACTTTCATCAAATGTATTCGTTCGAATTTTGTAGTGGGAGGATCGCAGGAAGCTACGGATGAAGAAGGGCCAAAAAAGCTTCTCGTCCTGTTAATGGATTGTGTACTTCCTAATGAGTTCGACGATGCGTCGAAGAAATTGATGGCTGGTATTCCTATATCATTTACAAAAGTCATTAGTTAACAAGGAAACATGGGATGTTTTAAAGAAGTTTTAATGATATATTTAATGCAATGACAGAAATGTTGGAATTGGAGAGTGACACGGATAAAATACCGGAGGAGATGCAGACATTTGAAGAAGCCGTTGAAACATTCAAGGCTAGCGTTAGAAAACTTGCTGCTGAGCATTGCGAGAATTTAAAGGAAATCAATAAACTGACTGCTGCAAAAATTAGATCGGATTGCAGCACCACCGTGCGATGGGTCAAGCAGTCGCTTCGAAATGTATGCATAGTTAAAAAATACAAAAATTCTTATTGGTTTAAATGGTATGCCCAACTAACTATACATAATTTATTTTTGTGAAGGCGTATGCAGCATCGCGCTTGGAAAATGATCCCTTGGACCCCCAGCAACTGTTTCCTGCTAAAGGCAAATGAACATCGCCTAGTAATTAATATATAATGTAACACTACACTATGATAATGTATATCATTGGCTAATGAGCTGTTTGTAATTTAATTTGTAATTGAGTGTAGTTGCGAATGCAAGTGTATCTTGCAAAATGAAATTCATTGATTGATTTTATGTATCTTTTAATCAGGGTAGTTGAACTTGTTTTTATTTTACAGCTAATTTGTTATAAATTAGAAACCAGTTTGTATTAACTGAAATTTACAGAAAGTTTAATAAAGGATTATGTACTTGAATTGTAATGTGCAATTGAAGCAAACTAGTCATTTGATTGATTTCAAACAAGTAATTTGACCAGGTCTGATACACCCCGGCTCCTGTGCATCCCATTAAATAAGTAGGATTGCATGTCACAGAAAACAAAGCTCTTTTCAAAGAGAAAGAGCAATATGCAACGAGCGAGTTTTTTATTATACGATCGAGTTTTGAACTACTTATGCTCACTTTTTGAATCCGTCATTTACGCTGACAAAGTTATTGTAAGTACGTTCACAAAAGTGGGCTCATTTGCTGGTTTCGAGTGTTTCTGATTTGAGTATATATCAGGAAATAGTTGTGAGAATTGAAGGTCTTGTACAAAAAAACAAGCAGGCCGCATTTGACTTGATGACATGTTATCAAGGTGAAAGTTATGTACGTGATGATGACGATGGTTCGAAATATGCAGTGCAGTATTAAGTAACTAGGCGAGCGTGTTACTGACTATTTGTGTGTGTACTTGGTCATCTCAATTATCCTCTCCTTTCTATTTTCCTTTGTTTGCAACTTTCACATTTTTCATATTCGTGATCATGACGGAGAACGAAAGGCACTCATTTTCGCGTGAGAAATGAATCAATTTATTCTTCCGGAAATTGTCTCGGCCTTGAATGGCACCCACCCAAGTGCAGGCACAAAAAGAAGACGGAAACATGACCAGACTCCATTCCGCCAAGGAGTAAAAATGAGGAGGGACCAGAGCTGGGATAATCCTGATTAAGGATTATGGATTTTAATCCCGGATTATGGATTATTAATCCATAATCCGTAATCCGGCAATGTGAGTTTTTTGTAGATTAATCCCAATCCATAATCCCGATTTTTCTGGAATTAGAATTAATCCGGGAATAATCCCACTTGATTTCATTAATCCATAATCGTGATTACGGATTACTAATCCTGATTAATCCCAATCATGATTACTAATCATGATTATTAATCCAGATTAATCCAAATCATGATTACTAATCATGATTAATCCAAATCATGATTACTAATCATGATTATTAATCCAGATTAATCCAAATCATGATTACTAATCATGATTACGTATTCATGATTAATTCTCAATCAGGATTACTCAGTTCAATTCCCATAGTTCCATTCATCCCACAGTGTAGCTTGAAGCCTCAAGTTCTCACAATGTTGTTCTGTCAGCTACCATTTGAAGAATCAACATGTTCTCGCTGCATTGTGCTACATACATATATCAATTGAAACTGGCGTCATTTTTATGTGAAACCACGTAGTTGAAATTCTTTGCGCTAGATATGGTGTAAAAATCATTAATCACCAGATTAATCCGGATTATTAATCCATAATCCCGAAATTTTCAGAATTTATGGATTAATCCAGATTAATCCTGACATGAATTAATCTCACGGAAATAATTTAATCACAATCCACATTGTTTTGTGGTTAATCCAATCCATAATCCTTAATCCACCCTCAAAAACCAATAATCACCCAGCTCTGGGAGGGATCTTGAGGAGGGTTGCGGCTTGAAATCAGAAATCGACAACAGAGGAGAGAAAGAGAGTTGAGACCAATAATTTATGATTGAGACCCAATTCAACCCATTGTTCAGATTTGATTCATATTTTTTTAGTGGAAATGGAAAATACTTAGTTCCGCCCAACAACCAAGCATCCATCGAATCCGGCAAGAATTAATTCTTCTTCAATAAAAGCACTCGCTTAAGTGAGACTTTTTACTATACATTATCAAGTCAAGGCATATATAAGATTGGTGATAAGCCATGCGCGTTGTCGATACATACATGTAAAGTTTGTCATGTGAAGCAAATACATGTACCTGACCTTGCATGAACAGGATGGATGTGTGCATGCTGCATATTTTTATATGAAATTTCTCTCAATTCGTACGGAAATTATGCATGCACAAGAACTGCATATGAACCTACATTCCGAATCATGCGAAGTAGATTTCCATATTCGATCAACCTAATATTCCCATGATAAAAATCCTATCACAATAAGGATGCAGAATTTAATTATCAATTAAAATTATCAGACTTACATAACCCGAGTAAAATTTTGAACGGCTTTCTTGCAGAAATTTTGCTCAATTTTTTCCAGAAACACTTTAAGCAGAGCGATTTGTGCAGAAAAGTACACATAAAATTATGCACATACCGTTCTGCAGAATAAAATCCATAGAAATTTTCTGCATCATTATGCAAACAAAATTACGAATACAATATGCATCGAGCTTTTGTCCACGACAGTAATTTCTACTCGGAAATTATTAATGATTCGAATCAATTAAAAGACCAGAATTATTTTGAATATGAAGAATATTTATTTACTCAGTGGCTCAAGTTTCTTGTCGGATATATCAATCATTCCCGAGACATTATCATGTATGTATTTTAGCAGTATAATATTATTACTATTATCATTATTATGAATCCTCGGATAGAAATGAATAATTTTTTACAATTATTTCTCCCTCTTCGTCATCTCCTATGAGCTCACAACCCGACCTCTTTCTAATTTTGCGTAATTTTCCGCCCTTGATAGGTTGCGACGACAATAAATATTGCACTCATCTCAAAATCCGACATTATTATCGTAACAATAATATTCTTATATTTTTTACAACTACTTAACCCTAAGAATTGTATGTAATAACAACAAGTACAAGTGGATAAGATAATAATACGTAATAGTATTTAATTGCATAATATTTTATAATAAGTAGCAAGTAATGTATTTCTCATACTTTTTTATATATAATAATAATAATAATTAATAATAATATAGTTACTGAGAGACCAGACAACTTCTGGTGTTGTTTGTCGGTACGTGTGGATTGGATAATTATTATGTATTGGATTATGTCGTGGACTGACTACATTGCTTTAAATTCAACTTGTACGGCGTTGGCTGACTGAATTAGGACGACGTAAATAGGTGTGAATTGTGTAGTTGTAAATGATTTTCTCTACCTCTTTATCATCTATCCTCTAGTTATTTAGACACCGGCCATTGGTTTGGTAAGTAAAATGCTTATTAAATAAGTAAGTAAATGAAAAATGCGGGACCAAAATAAACCCATCCGCAATTGAAACAATAATTTGCGGAGACAGATTATTTTCACTCAATAAAATATTTGAAGGAGAGAGCACGAAAAAGAAAGAGTAATGCTTAAGGATTAATTTTTTTCTCTCAAAAGAATAATTAAATCGGTTTGTTGACAGAGAGTACGGAAAAAAACTTGCGTATTTACACGCGATCATGTTTAATTACATAGCGATAAAATTCACACTGGGTGGGTATTAAAAGTCGGTCAAATAGGTGTGGTGTGGTTGGTTGGGGGCATAATATTTTTTTAGCTTGCAACTCTAACACCTTACGTAATTAACTAACTAGCTAACTTTAGGTCAGTAGTGCGTATATGTATGTAGTACGTAGAGAAAAAGTGAAAATGAGAAATGTCACGAATGTGGTCAGACATGCAGAGTATCTGTTAATATATGTATACGTTCATAGTTAAAAGTACGCAGAGTGGTTGGTGGTGAGACTTTAATAGAATTTGAGACGAAATTAATGTAGAATTCGGTGACTCATTACCAAAATCGTCCAAATCAACATATTTATAAATCATTTCTCTACTCTGGGAATTTATTTTAAAGCTCTGGACGAAAAATTTGTAGGACAATTATTGGCAATTTTTTTAAACAGATACACTCCAGATATTTTGACAGTTTTTGAAGGAGATTTCAAGTTTAAGAAGCCTCCAGAAAAAGTAGAACTCATCGAAACGGGCTTAAAAAACTCAACGCCATTCTATTAATCAACTTACGGACTACAAATTTGTCGTCCAGAATTTTAAAATAAATTACCAGAACGGAGAAATTATAAGAATGTGTTGATTTCAACGATTTAGGTGACGAGTCATCGCGTCCTACATTAATTAATGGAGGAGGAGGATAAGAGAGAAGATCATTCTTCTCTGGATGGATGGGGGCACTTTTTTCTACTTTGTTAAATATAGATATGAGGTATTTCAGTGTCTTTTGCATCATTATTTTTCCCATTCTCCTGGCCTTCAAAATATGACGGGATTAATAAGTAAATATTTTGTTGGTATGCAAGAAATGACATGCCATTCATTATCTTTTTCATAAAAAAGTGGAGATTATTGACGAGTTTGAAATTGAGATTCAATCACCTTTGGAAAATTGTATCACACAGTCGGTGATGGTGGGTTATTTGTGCATGATTATTATTACTTTTTTGGTGAAAGTTTTTGCATTCATTTCTTATTTCCACATATTATTAAGAAAATAAGTCGGGACGGGAACAACGGGACAGAAATGATAACGATGTGAGCCTCTTGTTATTATTCTTCTGTTTGGTGTGCAGGAGATGGAATTCAGAGTCGATCCACCAGATTTAAAGCATTTTCTTGGATATAAGTACCAATCAACATCAACTCTGAACTAAGGATTAATCGACTCCTACTTGTCTACTTATTAGCGTCGTCGTGTTAAAATACTGAACTAGACGAAAGGATACCTACACCTACATATTTACCTACTTGCATACCTAATAATAAGTAAGTTTGACTTTGCATTGTGATTCTTCTTCTCATTGTCAGTCTGCAGGATGGGTTTTGGTTTGTATGACTTTCTCTAATTTTTTCTATCACTATAAAATGTCTTTGAATACAAATTGTGTGAACTGATGAGTGAGTGCCACTTTTTCCACGAGGAGAAGATTGCATAATAATAATGTAGATAATATGTCATCATGTCAATGTCAACAGTCTTTTCTACCTATTTTTGGGTACCTACCCCAGTTCCTCATTCTGTATTTCTTTGTATATTGCTGTGAGAAAAAGTAGTGGTCACCTACACACGCACACTCACGCACACAACACATCTCTCTGTCTCGTCTCTACTACTCCGGAATGACCACAGGAAGATAAAACGGAAGGCAAGGTTTTTAGTTTTCAGTAAAAAGTAAAACTTGGCAAACAACACACAACTATTACAGGACTCCAGCATGGAATGATTTGTCACTTCTTCGTAAAATCTTGAGTAATAATGAACAATAATCGTTGCACAATTCGGCCACGTCATTTGGCACCTGATTAGTAGTCACACATTATTCCACACTCCATCAAAACCCGCCGAATCCGAGGGGTCCCAAGTCCTCTTGCCGTAGATGGAAGGGCCGTTGAGGGTAGCGTTGTCCCATTCCGGGTGATGGGGCGGATGACATGGCGTGCCCTTGCATGTACGGATTTTGGGAGGAGTAGGCGGACGAGGAGTAGCTCGCTGGGGACCCGTATGCTGAGGGTGGCAAGTGGAGGGAGGAGCTCGTGGGGGGACCGTGACCATACCCTCCTCCCCCCTGGTACTGGCTGTGGTGGTAGCCCGTGTAGCCGAACAGCGATGGTGAGGGTGGGTAGGCAGAGCTGAGCGTGTTGTTGAGAGGAAAGCTCGAGCCGAGCTCGGACGCGTAGTAGGGTGATGTTGCATAGTGAGATGCAGCAGAGTAACTCGACGATGGGGGAGGAACATGATGACCGTATGGAAGAAACCCTGTGGAGGAAGATTCGCTCACAAAGTGACCCATGGAGCTGGGGAGGGAGGAATTGGAGAGAGAGGACATTGAGGCTTGTGCGGAGTGCGAGATGAGGAGGGACGGGTCAGACACGATGTTGTGCCCAGCGTTGGCCTCAGCCTCGGCAATGCTGGGGATCTGATCCACTAACGACTCTAGACCGGAGAGGGACTTGGTGGTTATGTCGAGACATTTCTGCTCGTAAGATTTTTGTTCGTAGGAGGAAGATTGTTGTTGTTGGAGTTGCTGTTGGCGCTGAGATGGGATGGGAGGTTGCTGCTGCTGCTGCTGTTGTGCTTGGGATTGTTGTTGTTGGTAGGAAGGTGTTTGCATAGCGAGCTGCTGCTGCTGTTCGTCTTCTGAAAAATTTAATAGTATAAGTATAAAAATTAAAGATTAAGATTTATAAAATTACAAGCATAATTTATCCATTGGTTGGTAACTACCTCTTGAAGACGCGGCAGGGATATAGCTTTGAGATCTATTGCTGACATGGTGAAACCTATTGTCGTACGAGGGTTGATACTGGGGGATTGAATAGGATTGTTGCTCATGAGGCTGGTGTGCATCCATGACGCCACTGTTGGACTGGTACAGGTTACCACAATTGTTGGTCGGCTCACTGCCACCACCGTGCATAGAATTGATAACTTGCTGTTTATTGTTGAGGTGATTATTCAGGTCTATCGAGGGGTTATTTCTGGACATGGAAAGACTCTCGAAAACAGTCTCAGTCTGATTATTATTACTATTGTTGTTTGTCGTGGCCGTGGGGGATGGAGGGCACGACCCACAGGAGATGGCCGCACTGATTTCGGAAGACAAGTCGGACTGAGTGGTGAAGGAGTGGTGGGAAGGGGAGAGGCCGCTACTCCCTGCGTTCGACAGGGACCCATTCTCATCCCGACGACACCGATCTTCGGAACTGTTACTACCCGCCGTCCCCGTCGAGTAGCCACTACTGATGGAGGATGCCTTCTGCTGGCTTGACAGGATACTGGCCGCTGAGGGGATGCCGCCACGTTCGTAACCTCCATCAACACCAACACCACCACCAATACCACCACCACCAACACTAGTTACTCCTCCTCCTTTCACCGACGCCTTGTTATTGACAGGTGTTGGGTGACCTCCGTCTTCCGGTTTCACCTTCTTTGGTCTTCCTCTCCTCTTCCGGAGCGGTTCTTCTCCTCCTACTCCACCACCCGCTCCTTTCGCATCGTTATCTTTAACGTTGATCCCACTCTGCTTGAGTACCTTGGCCGCTTTTGAAGAGTCACCACCACCATTCTTCTCCATTCCCTTCCTTGGCCGGCCTCTCTTCTTTTTGGCTGGGTTCACCGGAAAACTGCTGTCCCCACCGTTCGTGATTGACTCACACTTGTTCTTCCCTCCAATCCCGCCGCCTTCACTCCCGTTGGGCGAGTTGGTTTTGCTGGATGACTTGGGCTCATGGAAAACAACTTCACTCTCGTCAACTGCAGAGGCACAGAAGCATAAAATTTGTCAATTTGTTAAGTCTACAAATGAAATTGATCAGTAGAGTACTCACTTTCCGAGATCAACCCGTTCAAGTAGTCGCGAAATTTCTTTAGTGCCATGTAAAATGGAACCTTGTCCGCGGCCCTGGGTAGCTAAAAACGTATAAAAATATTTAGTCGTCGTAATCATTTATGATGAGCAGTAATTAATAATAATCGAAATGCTAAACTATTACACGCTCGACTAACTAACTAACTAACTAACTGCTGTTGAATGAAATAAAAACTCTATTACCTGAGCACAGCGGGCGCTCGAGGAAGGCATCACCCATATGTACTGCAAATTAGCAAATGAATGCAAATGTACTCGATTATAAAACAACTGTGGTTGATTTTAGTTGTAATAAATTTATGATTATTACCGTATTCGTTCCATCCACAAATTCCGATTGGCGTCCGAATGGAAAGTCCTTCTTGCCAGAAAACACTTCATAGATAAGTTTTCCATTGAATACTGCAATCTTGGGTCGGAATTTTTGTAACTTTTCTAGCAGAATTTGAGATCCTTGCTTTATTTCGCGCCGCGTCAAGTCCGCACTGCCTTTGGTGGGGCGGGCGACCATGTTTGTGAAACCGATGCCGTAATTTATTAGACTAAAATCGTCATCGGCGGAGAAAGGTTCTGGTACTAGACCCGCGAGGTACATGCACTTCCCTGCAAAATAATAATAAAGAAAAACCGTAAACAAATATGAGGACAAGGAGGAGATGAAATTTGTCCCCGGGACACTAATAAACGTGTATCACGTACAGAAATGGTTCCCAGGTCCGGCGTAATGATGACCTTTGTAGGCTGCGAACATGCCAGGATTTATACCGACCTGTTAATCATTAAAAAAAGCTCGCGTTAGTAAAAGTAAAATCCATTCATCCCTCCAGACTTGAATCTCGTCCTTTTCCTTACAATGATTATGTCCAAATTAGAAGCTAAGTGATCTGGCAGCGTACGTTGGGACACTTCTTCCTCCGTCAGTCCGTTAAAACGGTCTTGACGCTTCCTCTCTTTTGCGTCCAGCTTGTCATCCACACTCTTAGTCATGGGCGTCTCGCTGAATTCGGCATTCCTAACAGGATAAAGAACCATAATGAGTACTTGGTTTCTGACCAACTGTGATAACTGCTAAACTTAACGTTCCCATTCTTGTTAAGATGGCGAAATCGTTACGGTATAATGAGATCGAGAGAATGCAAGTATGTATGCATAAAATTATGAGCAGAGTTGCGAATTAGTTGCCTCTCATCCCGCCCCTATTCCTTCAAGGTAAAACCAGGTAGGGATTACAAGTAGGGATGCTATAGGAGCATATACTACTCGGTAACTCGGTGCATGGGCTGCTTGTGTATATGCATGGCCATCCATTACTCATACAACACGTATGCATAATGAGGTTCACACACAGCGAATATAATGCCACCCATGCGAAATTATCGTGCTTCGAGTGGATAATGTCACATAACGTCTCTCTCACCTCGGGTCGGACTTTTTCCTCCTTCCCCTCTTCTTTGGCTGTGGATTGACCGGATTTCCACCCCCACCACGGTCACCCCCACCATTGATACTATTATTATTGCACATATAATCCATACTCGGCATCTCATCCACAAAACTGTACGGGTCACCGCCATACGGATCACCCCCCATTTTCATCGACCTCGCGTGTGGATGTTGAGGGAGGTGTTGTTGTTGTTGTTGCTGCTGTTGCTGTTGGGGATGCGGTTGTTGGGGATGTCGCATTCCAGGGTCAAAACTATGATGATTATTCGTCGTATTATTCCCAAAACGGTCCTGATGTGGTCCACCTCCTCCTCCTCCTCCACCGCACATTACGTCCAAACACGTCTCGTACCCGTCATCCGCTGGAGCTTCAGGCTTTCCCATGCAACTGCAATTCATAGCATATTCACATCGTTAATACACATTTGCATTGTTTTTGAACCTGAAATTATTATTCTCTCATCCTTCTCATCATCATCATCATCATCATCATCTCCTCCTCCTCCTCCTCTTCAACTTTGCCGTTTTTTGCTCGCTGGTGCTCTCTGCTCTCCGTCCCTATCCCACATTCCTTCGGTTCACTACCTTGCTGTCTCGGCACACCGTATGTGGCCCGAGGCTGAATGGGATGAAGCAAAGGAAGACGAAGAATAATGAATAGTAGTGCTTCTTCGTGGTTACAGAGGGAAGAAGTATAAGAAAATCTTGTAAAGAATGAGACGACTAGGACGACGACGACGAAGGGAGAGAGGATTGCAGGTGAGGTGTATCCTTCTTTTTTATTATTTGGGGTAGGCGAAGCGCTGCTGCTACATGTACCCTCATCGCTTCGTCGTCGTCCGCATGCATGCATGCATGAATAAGCCAACCTCTTCTTCTTCTTCTCGCTCACTGCCTCAGGTGGAGAGGTAAAGTAAAATTCGGTAATTTATTTACATGTGTATTGTGTGTATGGATGTGAGTGAGTGAATGTATTATTATATTATGTATGTGCATGTGGAGATATATATAGGATGCAGCAAGAGGAGAGTAGACCAGCATCTTCTTCTTCTTCTTGACACCAAGTCAAGCATGATGCTGCAGACCGCAGGTCTCGCAATATAGTCCTCTCCCTTCTAACAAGCTTCTTACGGGGGGATGTATGTATAATGTGTGTGTGTTATTATTATTCCTTTATTCCCACCACCAACTAACAACAACCATTCCATTGCGAGAGAGTTGAATGGATGTTGGATGGATAGATGGACGACGACGAAAAGTCCTAATAATAGTGGATGGACACACTCAGGCAGAGGGCTAAAAGCTAAAACTAACTAACTAACTAACTACACATGCACGACATAATTATTAACAGGCAGGCAAAGCTAAGAGGAAAGCAAACCAACGCAACGCAACGTGACCATTGACCATTCATTTCAGCCAAAAAAACAGCATCACTCACTACCAACCAATATCCAATTATTGTATTGAACTTTGTTACACACGGATGGATGGTGGAATGGAAAACATGCATGTCCAGAATTGGGGAGGAATGACGAAGATAACAAAAAAAAGTATAAGCGGAGGGGTAGAATATTTTCCAACCAATCTGATGTGATGATGATCTTTGTAGTATTTAGCAACTTTTTTTTGTACCACCAATTTGCACAAAAATGACACCTATCCATAAAGTTTATAAAACTTACTATTTCGAATTGTCCATGACTGCTGCTCCGTCCATTCCCAGCAACTTTGCCGTTTCTCTAAACAGTGTCGCAACTTGCATGACAAGCTGCAATCCACTGGTCCAAGAATTCTGCACTATTCTTGTGCAGTCTCACTAATGATGATTCTGATAAGCATCACTCATCATCACAATCACAACAAGACAAACATAACTCGACACAACTATTCAAAATGTAAAACTGTAGGCGATTTCGATCTATACATACACTATTATCTGGCACAGGTAATCTTTTTCACCACTCTCCTCACGTGCACTATTAGCGTGATGACCATTGTTACAACTTTTTTTTCAACTGGGGGGCACAAATTCTAGTTCAATTTCAATTCTTCGCCGTCGTCGTCGTCGTCACACCCACCGTTTTTTCACGCCAAATTCACCAGTGGAACTCTTGATGGTGGTGTGTTCGGAATGAAATGGATTTTTGGGTTGGTTTTGCCTCTGTTTTGTCCTCTCTTGTACTTTGTGCCAGTCTGAGGAGCGGATCTGTTCTGTTTGGCAGCTCTCTTCTCTCTCTCTCTCCTCGGCCTGCTGGCTGGCTGGTGAGAGAGGAATAAGTAAAATGTAAAGAAGTGAGTGAGTGAGCTAGCTCGACTTGCACAACTATTGAGCAGCCTGAGAGAGAGAGGCAGGGGATAGAGTCAGACTGATCAAACTGTTGCGACTGCCGGAGACTTGGATTGAGACGCGAGTTTCTATGTTATGTACATTTATTTTCCTATTATTATTATTCTTTTTTTTTCTATTAAGTGGGTTAAGAACAACAAGACTGGACCATTGTTGTTCGCGGCGGCCGCGGCAGAGGCGAGAGGAGGAGGACGAGGACCAGCAGCGGATTAGTTATGTGCATGAATTACGGGCGACTTTTCGGTGAGGATGTGTGTGTATTTTGCTTCTGCTGCTGCTGCCTCGTTGTTGTGAAGATTATGATGATGATGATGATGAGAAACTGTTTAGGAGTTTAGGGGAGAGAAGATGAGTGATGAGGGCCGAAATGGACCGAGTGTACTTCCGGCTGTGAGTTTATCTCTGTGTAGCTGCTGCTTGCTGCTGCTGTACTTCCACCATACCACGAGACCAATAGTACCAAAGCAATAGTAGTGCTATATAGTTACATACAGTACACACACTTCTTTTCTAGTCTTGGTCTTCCTCTCTTCTCGTCGTAGTAGTAGTATTAGGATGAGAATGAGAAGACGAGGAGGCAGAGAGAGACTTGAGTGATGTGCTTTACCCAGTTAGTTTATCTCTCTCTTGGCTGGCGTATAGCGACGACGAGCTGCACAATTCAGAGAGAGAATGTACTGTTAAACGTGATATGTTCAACAATGGCATGTCGTGAGAAAGTTCCTCGACGTATACGACGACGAGATAGAGCTGACGACGACCAACCACCACCACCAACCACGATGATGAGAAGGATGCAGTTTCTCTCATGCGAGCTCACTGGCAACAATGACCAGACCACTAGTCGACCTCCTCGATCCTTGAAAACGTCGCCACTACCGACAAGACCATTCCATACCATCACACGATCATATCACTGCTTTCTCCTGCACTTCTCTCTCTCCATGAGTAGTAGTACTACCACGATGACGACGACCACCACCACCACCACGACGACCAAGACCAAGTCTAAATACCAGTCTCGGTTTAGTCGTGCACTCCTCCAACCAACTTTCTAATGCGTCTCTTTGATTGCTCTCACAGCCTCGACTACTTTTATTGATCGATGGAGGAAGAATAATTGGTTAGAGTTGTGGAAGACTGCTATGCCGAGGCCTCATGCATGCACACTGCTCTCCCAGCAGCATAATACTCTCACATACGAACGACGACGTATGTCCGTAGATACAGACGTATGGGAGGAGGAGAAGTATATGTACATATATATTTATCTACATGCATACATACGTCGGAAGAATTGGCTCGACTTACTACTTCATCCCGTGCCTTGGTCGTCGTCTATACAGCGGGAAGAGGGGTATATCCGGGCGCTATAAGCATATGAGCGCATCTGCTCGGCGGCGAGAGGACGCTATGCACATTCGTAGATTGGAGTATCGGGTATTCTTTCACTCACTCTCTCTGCTTTCCCTGCTGCTGCTGCTGCTGCCCGCATTCACGACCATGCACACATCCACACACGTTCAGAGACGTACGTATGTACATGCAGGAGTGGGCTATGTGTACATGCACCAATACCCACCAACAAGGGACGGGCAGGCTGAGCTATTAGCAACCCGCAATAAGAATAGCTTGGTTCTGTAACTCCGGGCTCTCTCCCGTCTCCTTCCGCTCATCATCATCTCTCCGGCAAGGTCTGCTTGCACGACCATTTCGATGGATCGTGGTACTACATAGTAGTCGATGTGGTACTAGTCGTGGCGTGGCGTGGTGGTGGGTTCGCTCAATACCAAGAGGTCCCCCACCAACCAGCCTCGCAACAAAACCCTTTCATACCACGTATCTCTCTCTCTCTCCATGGGTTTCAAACGGATGACGACCGTCGTCTCTTTTCCAACATGCATCACCGCTAGCTGAGGCAGTTCAGTTTCTGCTGCAAGCCGTCGTGTACACGGAATGTGGATGGATGCATGCACCGACCAACAAACCACATGCATGCAGACCTTCTTCTTCTTCTTCTTGGTCTTCCTTTGTGGCCAAATAACTATAGCACGACCGGATGAGAGAGAGAGAGAGAGAGAGGTTGTTGGTGGGTTGGTTTGGTTGGTTGGTTGGTTGGGGAGTTGAAGATCATTGCGAAAGGGAGTATGTATGACGATGGGTGTTTTTGGTGTGTTGAAGGCATGATAAGAAAGCCCGACCGAGGACTAAATCCCATGGAGAGTGAGTGAGTGAGAGAGAGAGTTGGCTCAATGTTTCGATCCATTCTTCTCTCTGCTCCTGCTACTACCCGGCTTCCCCGATTCCCGAGAGTTAGAGTCAGCATAAGTATGGATGAAGTGAATGCTGGATGGATGTGCTGGACTGCTACGTTATGCCGGACGAAGGCTGAAAATCGATACCACTCCTCACTCCCACCAGGACGAAAAGTCGTCCTAGGATTCTCCGCAGTTGGACGGTTTCGATGTGGCGATGCTGCTCCCCTCGCCCCACCAAACATCCATTCCGCACAACTCTCACTCTCTCTCTCCGAGGATCGGATTTGGCCAAAATCTCAATTTTCTCTCCTCCTCCGCCTCTCCCGACCAGCTACTTGGCATCTCAGCACGATACCCGTACTACCATCCACCACCACCACCATCACGATATACTCGGCTGCTGGGAACAAACTTTCTCTCTCTCAACAAGTACCAAACTTTCCTCCGTTACGAGATGGCCATGCCCTTGAATTTTTTTTTCATCCTGGCCCGATAACAACAACGTATGTGTAGTTTAGTTAGTATTCATAAGTCATTAAAATGATGCTGCTACTGGTCCTCTTTTCAATAACCAGTTGAGAGACAGCTGCGAAAAGTACGACTTTCACTTTCTCCGCACCCTTCCCAACCACAAATCGAGAGAGAGAGGAGCTCCGTACGTACGTGAACTAATAAATTGAGCTCATTAGCAAAGGAGTCAAGGATGGACAGTGGTGTTCTGCAAGTCTCGGCCGTTCTGTTTCTCATATTTCTCGTCATCGTGCCAAATGGTGAGTGGTGTGACGTTTACGTGTGTATTGTATGTATTTTTTTGGTTCACTTATTGTATACACGTTACGACTTGTTATGTTATTAATCCGTAAAAAATAATAACAAATTATGTAAATACAGGTTGCACCCCAGGCACGATAAGCTGTTTCGTTTGCTCATCTCGAAATGGGAGCTATCAAGCGTGCGAGGACCCCTTTAATGCGGGCGTATCGACGTACGTGGACCGTTGCAAGGTGCCTAGACGAGGACACATTGGCGAATTTCCGGCACATTTTTGTATAAAAATCATTGGAGTATCATGTACGTACTGGATGCTTGTATCTCGATAGGCTACTCGATAAGCTAATTACATTATCTATTTGATGCGCATGCAGACAGCACCAACGAAAAAATTGTGATACGGAGATGCACCTCAGAGACGATGGATAAGCAATGTGGCCAGTTTCGCTTTGAGGACGACCTCCTCCGCGGATGCATCCTCACCTGCGACATGGACGGGTGCAACTCGTCCAATTTGCGGCAGAATTCGCAACCCCTCCTCTTTTTCACCTGTTTTGTGGCCATGTATCTCTTCCTTTCTTTCGGAGCGAGTTCAATACCTGCCAGCACGTCCTACCCTCAAATTAGGTCGTCATTATCACCGTCTCAGCTCTTAATTAGGCGTGAATCAGGCAGTGGTGCGATGTCACCCACGAATACAATGCAGCAATTATCAGGGGTTTATAGCAAGAAAATGCGATGCGACCACCACGGGTGCTGAGCTGTGTGTGCTAAAAAATCACAATTGATTTTCTATATCGTAGTAAATTAGTGCGAGTTAGGCAGTTGTTCAATTTCTAAATATTTCGCCGCACCCATTTTGTTATTGTATATGGCACAAGAACAACCAATTAACAACCCGATAAATACTTGTCCTAAACCCGATACAAGTAGATAAGGGTAGAGGTAGAAGAAATATCAAAGCATGGGGAATTTATTTGTAAACGAGGACTCGATTCAGCATATTTTTAATCAATTCTTCATTCTGGGGATTTATTTTAAAATTCTGGACGGCAAATTTGTAGGGCAGGCTTTGCCAATTGTTCAAAAATATTCACTCCAAATTTTAACGGTTTTTAAAGAAGGTCTCAAGTTTAACAGGCCTTGAGAAAAATTGAAACTCGTCGAAACTTGCTTAAAAAATCACCACAATTCTGTTAATTAACTTACGCACTAGAACTTTGTCATCCAGAATGTTAAGAACAATTCCAAGAGGCGAGAAATTATTTAAAATGTTCTGATTTTGACGATTTTGGCGATAAGTCATCGAGTCCTGGACATGACGATTCTTTACTAAAACTGGGGAATTGTATCATCGTATCGTAAAAACATTCACAAGAGTGATCAAAATCAGGTTCCAACAAATCCAATGAAATTATTCGCTCTGATAGACTTCCATTTCATCATGAGTTAAGATGTGAAGCAAAATTGAGACCATGATAAAAAATACAGTTCAACTTTTAATTCTAAACTATTTTATTTTTTCAAACCCAAACAGCGATTGTTTTAAAGTTACTTAAGATTGTCAATCAGTATTTAATAACGAAACAGGTATAACGGTCAGGTATTTAACGTTCTTCCAGATAATAATTAATTCGAATATGCAAAATATAAAATTCCATTAACATAAATACAACAAAACAATTACCAAATGAAAATTTTATCTCGAATTTCGTTGTAATTCAATAAAAAATTAATTAATTACTTATTTGATTCATTAATAAAATAATGAAGCGTTGCCAACTTATTCACAACCAAAAATGAGATTCATAAATTCACGTTATACATCAAGTTAGACAAAAATTTAAAGCGTTGTGTTCCATACACATTTAAGTAAAATTTGTCCGTTTGTCGTTCACTTCCTAAATTCTATTCGTACTCTATAATTATTTCGTAAGGTCAAAATCATATCATTTTTTCATTATGCGTGTCTAGTAAGTTTGTTTGTGCAAGTATTAAACTCAGGAATGATCACACTTGATAAGTAATTACATAACAACCCATCGTTATATTAAGTACACTTTGATATCATCATAATAACCTGAATATGTGCAAGATGGAAACCTTTAAACTCAAGGAACAATTAATTAACAATGGAGGTCTCCCAGCGTATGCTCTCCAATTTTGATCAAACTAGTGTCAATCGATCACAAATTTAATTAACATGAAATTTGCAAAAGTCAATGCGCAGGTTTGGCAGAGATAATTACATCCGAAGAGGAGAAAACGCACTCTAAAGTCGATAAATTTTACACTTTTCAAATTTACTGAGCGTCTTCTCCTCTTCGGATGTCAAACGTGACCATTGGAAGACCATGTCTTTAAAAATTTCATACTAATTAAATTTGTGATCGATGACACTAATCCTAAGTTGGTCAAAATCTGAGAGCACACGTTTGGAATTGTAAGTATAGTACCTGCCTAAATATTTTGTTCAAGGGTGAGAGTAATCCATAATACAATAAATATGTAGGTAATGAAGTACATAAGGCAATAACAGATATATAAATTCACTAAGTTAAAATCCAACCCAATTTTGGAAATGAATTCACAAATATTCAAATCCTTTAAGCAATCATCTCGTTCTAACCAATCAGCCTCTGTTTGTTGGTCACAAATACATACAACATCACAGAATCAATATCAAGTACAATTTTAGAGATCATATCACAAACAATTAACATACACATAATAACCGTTTTTGTATTCGATTCGTCCAGCACGAAATGGCAGTCACTAAATATAACGTACAGTAATGACAATTAATTAATAAGAGTAATAATAATATTTAGTATACACCAATTATCAATCAGCACTCGGAAAAGGCACCGCACCACTTTTTTCTTCACTAGAATCATGATATAATTATATGGCTACTAACGTTTCGTAATTAACCAAGTACTAAAATTCTGCATACACGTAGGAAGATCTATATGGAAGATCTATGTATTTCATCATTTGGAATGTTTCATTTCTTAATAATGGTCATTGTTTTTATAAGTATCAAAGAAAAACGTATTGTTTTCTGTTCTCAAGTAAATTAACAGTAACTTATGTCGCAGACTAATATAAGTAGATTAATTTGAGAAAGTGTTAAAAATTTGAGAAGACAACCCTACGTTTTTGCTAAGTTATATTTTTTTGCTACAAACAATTGTGCTATTATTTATCCCCAAATTGTCCGGAAGTAGACGCATTTTCTCCTCGTCGCAAGTCTCATGTTTAAAGCTTAACTTGAATCAGTGTATATAATGGACCTGATATGTGATTCAGAAGAGTAAACTTCAAGTTGTTCATGCCATCCTTGTCGTGTTGAATGTGTCCTTTTTTAAGTACATCTAGCCTTTCCAAGTTGGCAGCTTCTTTCTGAAAATTATTATGAACACACATGTAAATTTACCATTCGCAGTATATTTTTTTGCACAAAACTCACCTTGTGTGGAAGCATTCGGTAGGAACTTAGCGTTGGCGAGAGTCGAATCGGTTGAATTCCTTTGTTCGTGAGTCGTAGAAAGAAATCGTCATCCTCGCCACCCCAACCGTAAAAATTGTTGGAGAACCCATTCACAGAATCAAAAGTTTCACGCGTCATGGAAGTTGCTCCGCCAAATAGTTGGGGATAGAGGAGGGTATATCTACGTAGGAAGTCACAACAACTCGTGAAAACTGGACCCAAAATTTGTAATCAATTCTCTCCCAACTACCTGAACGTATTCGTCACAGCGCTCATGTGTCGCGGCAGCTTCGCACAGGAATACACGTTGGACAAGCTTTCTGGGAGGAGATCGACGTCGTGGAAGATAAAGCACTCAAGGCTGGGATCATCCCAGGCGGAAATGTTGTACCCAATGTTGAAGAGTTTGCCCCTGTTGAAAGGCAGCTCGTCCGTCTGTTCTATCACAAAAATCTTATAACTGATCAACTGGAGTTGGAGGAAGGGGTGCATGTAGAGCAAAAACTTTTTGAGCTGGATGCCCCTGTCTCGAAATGGAATTATGAGGGCGACGTGATGCACCGGATTGCAATCGGTAGGACCTACAGGTAAAAAATACATATGTAATAATGTAATTAATCATGCTCTATTATCCGTACGTATGTATAATCTTACGCCAAGATCCCCCGACTTGAATCTTCATCTCATCCGAGGCCGCCTTCTCGTCGAGTTCGATATCCTCCAAACTCCAAAAGTAGGGGATGTTTGGTTGGAAGTAGTTCCCCGTTTGGAAGCTAGATTGAAATGGAAGCAATGGACATGGTGGGAGAGAAGACGTCGAAGTGTTGTGACCCGTCCTGACCTTTGACCTTGTGGTGTGCAGGAGACGACCGTAGCCGGAGAGGGAGATGAAATCGTAGGAGGAGGTGGGGAAGATCTCGTTGAGCCAGAAGTAGGCGCAGTAGATGCGGAGGAGGAGGACGACGACGAAAAGTCGGAGGGGAGGAGGAGGCAAGGAATACATGGAACCACACCCACCACCCACGCTTATCTCTCCCTCACCACATGGAGACGAGGAGGTCACGTAACCCTCCGATCGATCCGCTGCTCCGGCTGAGTGAGGAAAAATGCTTGAACATCGCGCTGCGGTACAGAAATCGTCGGTGAACATGAGCAGGGACGACGACGGGATGTATTATTCAGATAAGGTGGAGCCAATTGTTGGAGCAATATCAGTTCGGATTTCGTGGAAGTTTTAGTGGAAAATGAGGAAACTTTTTAGTTTGTTAATAGTTCGAATGCTATATGTCATTCATCGTCAAGACATGAGTGAAAAAAGGGAAAATTGTCGCAAAGAAATGAAGACTAACTAATAATTCTAACCAATGACCAATTTTGAGCTTGATGGTGGGTTCAGTCTTATCCCGTCTGATATCTCAGTTTCTCACTCTAACATGCAATCTGTAATTAAGATGCTTTGTTGCATACTTACTAAATCTGCATTTTAGAGGTATTTACATATGTACATATGCACGCATATGAGTATGAATATTTATAAGTTGGGAAAATGAGACGCTGAGAATTCCAGTTTGCATAGAAAACTTTGCACTACTTAACGAAATTAATTAAGTCTGGACATTAATTCAACCAAGAAGATCCAACTGTACTAAATTATTCACCAGAGTTATTAAGGTCAAGTCGTATGTAGCTATGAAAACCATAGTAGTTAAAGATTGGCTTGACTTTATGACTGATGTATGATTTCTTGAACAACATGGCACGAATTTTTACAGCTATTTATTAATATGTCAATTCATCATAAATTAAAATGGGTCATTAAACCACAAAATTTTTAAAACGCTTTTCCACACAATTTTAAAAATCAATCTTCTTATTCACTTAGTTAGATTTGATGAGTTGATGGCGTGTAAACGTGCAAATTGAGTAACTCTGCTAACAGAGTTACTCAATTTGCATGTTTAAAAGCTCATCATCGTCATCATGTCTCCGTGGCGTACTTTAGATGGGTAATATCTTTAATCTGGAATTGTTTTATTGTGTCCTCCCTCATCCTGAACTTTTGCACTTTACCCGACGTCGTTTTGGGAAACTCCTTCGTGAACACGATGTACTTGGGAATCTTGTAGTGGGCGATCTTTAAAGGAAAGTAGGAAAGTTTCATTAAAATACAGTAATACACGAGGTATAACTCTATAATTTGCATGGGTGGACAAAATATTTTGACAAAATACAGTATTTTGATCTCCTCCTATACAATTACACAACCTCAAAATGACAAGAATCTGCATGGAGAATAATAGTCATACAAAATTATAGGTTTTGTGAAGAAATTTATTCACAAAACCTGTAATTTCGTATGACTATTATTCTCCATGCAGATTCTAGTCATTTTGAGGGTGTGCATAGGAAACTTCGAAGAACGAGATCGTTTTGACAAAGTATTTTACCCATCCATGAAATTTAATTACCTTTCCCTTGCAAAATGCACGAAGATCTTGATCCGTGAGGGAACGACCCTCCTTAATTCCAACCCAGGCAGCGACCTCTTCTCCCATCCTCGGATCTGGCACGCCAAAGACCTGTGCCTCCTGAATGTCGGGATGTGCATGGAGGAAGTCTTCCACTTCGCGTGGATATCTACACATAAAACATTCTTATCATATTTCGACAACTAATCCTAATTAAGTATTGTTCTTTCATATGAAACATACATATTCTCGCCGCCACGAATAATGAGATCTTTCAAGCGACCCACGACACGAGCATGACCACTGGGCAGCATCACGGTCAGATCTCCCTGCAAAAAATGACCTTCTTCATCCAATTAATTTTTTTCAAATGATTTAAATTCAGTTACCGTGCGGAGCCACCGGGCAGTGTCGATGGTTTCTTTCGTCTTATCAGCATCTTGCCAGTATCCAAGCATGTTTAGATAACCGCGGACGCACATTTCACCCTCCATCCCCAGCGGGACGATGCGACCCTCCTTGTCCACTATTTTGACCTCTGTGTTCTCGCAGGGGAAGCCAACCGTTTCTGCGCGAAGCTTGTCCGTGTCATCGGGCAGAGATTGGAACGAGACGGGGGACGTCTAACGTAACAATTAGAATTAATTAGCCTGTTAACCATACAAAATGGGGGAAAATTCTTACCTCTGTCATCCCGTAGCAACTGGCAACATTGTCCACCGTGTATTGTGCCTTCATCTGTCCGATCAATTCTTCCGGGCACACGGCCCCTAATCATATACATGATGATAAGTTATAGTAATATATGACAGCTTATCGACCAAAATTACTGTCTCACCTGCGGTAACTGCGAGTCGTAGCGAGGTCACGTCATGCTTTGGAAACACTGGGCAGTTCAAGATGTCAATATGCATCGTGGGTGTCGAGTAGAGGACGGTACATCTGCCAAAATATCCGTAATTGTGCAGTTATCTTATCTTCATCGCTATAATTATTTTAACGATTATTTACCTCTCCTGAGCGACCGAGGCGAGAATGTCGGGTGGGGAAAAGGCTGGTGAGGGATATACAGCCGTGGCCCCACTCACCAAACCGGCCAGCGTCCCCACGACGGAACCAAAGCAGTGGAAGAGAGGCACCGGGATGCAAAGTTTGTCCTGCGCATAAATATAAATTTGATGACTTGTTAAGAAAGATTTTACAAAATCCCACCTTTGTCGAGAATGAAAACCGATCCGCTACAATCATCCCATTGTTGACGATGTTGTGATGCGAGAGCATGACCCCCTTCGGATTTCCCGTCGTCCCCGAAGTGAACTGGATGTTGCACACGTCATCGAACTGGACGTGGGGCTCGACCTTGCGAAGAGCATCCTTCGCCTCAGACTGACCTCCACGAGCCAAGATTTCTTGAAAAGAGAAAGTCCCCCTGAACACAAAATCAGATATTCATAACAGATCAAATATGCATGTGTGTATCTTTCCAGCAGCCGACTAGACTAACTTTGGTGGTTTATCCGCCATCGAGACGACCGTCGTCAGAGTGGGCGCCCCCTTACTGTTTAGTCGACCAGGGTCACTCTTTTCCAGCTCTGGGATCGATTCCAACAACATGTTGTAGTAGTTGGAGGTCTTGAACTGCTCCGCCAACACGAGTGCTTTCACCCCCACTTTATTCAGGCAGTAGTTTATCTCGCGGCCTTGATAAGCAGGGTTAATGTTGACCTGAATGAGAAGTTGTTCGATGCCAATAGTCCGTAGGACAAGAGAAGAACAATATTTTTTAAAATCTTACAATGATAAGCCCCGCCTTCATGCCAGCCTTGTGGGTAAGGTACCACTCGTACGAGTTTGGACCCCAGATCCCTACCCGGTCACCCTTCTCAAGTCCCAGGCTTATCAGTCCTGCCGCTAATTGATCCGTCTATGATGAACAAACCTCAAAATAAAATCCATAAATATTTAAATCTTCTATTCTAACTCACATCGGCTTTCAGTTGAGCAAAGGTTTTTCTGATTTGGGTCGGTTGCGAGAAGATGACGCCGACTTGGTCGGGATACTTGGACGCGGTTTGATCCAGCAGTTGTCCCACGGTGAGGGAAGACAGGGGCACTTTTCCTGGCACGCTGACATAGCTGATAACACTCGGGGTGGCCTGGGTCACGTAGGTCCGACGCCGTGGGACGACGAGGGCCCGGCGGAGGACACGCACAGCAGTGGCAGCCATCCTTTCTCAGAGGTGGTGGGCTAACTATTTAACAACAATGGAAGAGGCCACAGAGACCACTGGCTGATTACCACCTGATCTAACCAAGGTCACCAACAAGAAGTTAAGTAACACTGCTGCTTGACTGGACAAGAGTGTATAAAATGACACGCTAACTACTCCTGCACAGCCAGTCGTAACTCGGCCAGTTTGAGTACAATACAACCACTCAGCTTGTGGACAGAGGCACATGTCATTTCATTATTTATCACAAATGCTTGCATATCACTCACACTAACCAAATAAGCCATCATCATCATAATCATATATTTACTAACACGCTATTCGTTTCGTTTAATCGAAGCATAAATGAGGCATACGAATTTCTGCCCAAGTTCACCATAAGCGCCTGGGTACATAAACAAGTACATAAGTTTATCATGAAACGAATTTTCACTCAACTAAAGTTTTATGCAAATTTAGTATGCAAACTGATAAGCACTCCTTCGAAGGGAGTCCATGTTTTCCACGTTTATATGAGTTCTTAAAAAGTATACCATGTACATTTTTAAATTCCAAGAAGAGTCACATCACGAAAGCAAATGTGACTGTGATAACTTGGAATTTTCTAAACCCATGTGAAATTAGCTCATTTCATTCTGCACAATTTTACTCTCGTGGTGAAATTTTTACCACAATGGCAATTTCATTCCGCACAAGTTATTCCCTGTATGTGAACCTATTTAGTTAATTAGCCTTTCGTAAATATGAGCTCATGCAAATTGGTGGCATTCTCATCCGTGAACAAAGACGAAGACGGGGACAACTGAGCGATGAAGCCCGCCCGCCACGAGGAGTCGAGGAGGGAAGCACTCACAAAGAAAGACGCAGCAGACACACGTGCTCGCCCAACGTTTTACTTTCCTTCCACTGCCAGCAAGAAGTCGTTGTGAGAATCTTGTCTTATATATCCCAGTTTTTTAATATTTCAATTTTAATCTTATTGAGCAAATTTGAATAAATTAGTGGTATTTTTTTAACCAGGAGTGAGGGTGACTCTCTCTAGTAGATAAGTAAAAAAGGTTAAAATGGAGGAAAAGGAGGAGAATAACCCTTTGAACCCAACGGTCTTGGTCCCTTCTGAGATGGACCATCTCGTAGTCGAAACTGAAGCTGCGGAGGAAGACGACAGTGGCGACGACACCAATACCACAGTCATCGACATTGATGACGAAACTTCTGACATGGTATATTCGTCTCAGACTATGGAGACCGGGTCTCCCGACAGAGCATCAGCCACCTTAAAAAATACTAATTATACCAATGATGTCGGAAAGAAACCGGAGGGAACGACAAAGAACAAACTGAAAAATTACGGGCGTACTCGCGTCGAAGTAGTAAGAAAAATTACACGGATAATTTTTTGCCAACTTTGCTACGCCCAAATACCATCCGTGTCGAAGTTCAGGATCCACTTGGATCGAGAACACAACATCCAGGTCAAAGGGCCCCCTCGCATCGTTGATGGTGATGATTGGTAAGATAACATGCTATAAAAATCATACCTTACTTTTACGTTTAATAACTTGATCCATTTCTCTATAGTGACAACGAGTTGACGATGAAGAATGCATCGGATGCATTACGACGTGCCGAGAACACCCCACGCACCACGGTAGCCCCCCCTGATTATCAAGATGACGATGACGATGAGTCATCCGATGATGCCGAATCTTCGGAGGATTCCGATTCTGATGACCAAGGGCAAGAATCAAATCCAGCAGAGTCGCAAGTCTCGACGGAGGAGTCTTATTTGAAACTAAAAACACTTCTCAAGAAAAAAATGGTGCGACAGGAGGCAAGATCACAAGATCGAGTTAAAAAATTGCTCGTGAAACTTGAGAACAATCAGACCAAGTACACACAGTGTAATACTTGCTGGATTGAGCAACCCGTGACTGGCATACATCAATATCTACGAGCGGAACATAAGAGGCAACATACAGATGGGGAGTTTATATTGTGTCAATTTTGTGGAATGAGCTTTTTATACGATTATTACTTGGAGAAACACTTGGAAGATTTGAGGTGTGTGGTTATTATTTATGATCAACAGTATACTGTTTGAGTTATTCATTGTGCAAGCTAATTAATTATTAAATATCTATTTAGCGTCCCCACCGTTCCTTCAACAATGTCCCCATTTGAAGCAGAAGATCTCCTCCATGAGACTCATTCTTGTCCTGATTCTGGTTGTGGTGAGATTTTTGCTAACCGAAAATGTCTACTTTTCCATCGGACAAACGCTCACGATCATTATCACCGATGCCCAACTTGCGAGAAAGTTTACATTCTGTACTCTGACATGAGAAAGTGAGTTGTAATTGAATAATTCATATTATGTGAATCATATATTTTCTTTCCATACATAAAGTGAGTTAGTTATGTACTGTGCGGGTGGAGCTAAAACCTATGGCCTCCTGAAGTATCTTGTGCTGAGACTAGGGTTTCTCGTGAATCCATCCGCACAGTACATAACTAACTCACTTCAAGTTTAATCCCAATCAATAAATTATTTTTCATGTAAACTATGACATTTTCGTTTCAGGCATATACAACGCGTTCATAATTATGAGAGACGTCTTCTGTCCTGCCCAGTTCCAGGGTGCGACAAGTCGTTTCCAAATCGTCGTGGAATTGCAACCCACGTGACTCAAGCTCATAGCGTCGAAGAAAAAGAAAAATACTTTACAAGCAATATCGGACAACCAAACAACAAAATTGTTAAGAAGACTGAGTCAGACGAAAACGCCAATAATGATGAGGACGACGACGACAAGAGCAATGTTGTCGCCAACTCTTTGCCACCAGAAATTATTGTCCGTCACAAATCACCTCAAACGTACTGGAGGAAGAGAAACGCAGAATTGGAGAAAATGCGAGACCTTCTCATCAAGAAAAACAAATTTCATGGGTAAAAACTGTCTCCAGTATAAACATTTTAAAAGTTTATTTTTGTTTTTTAACTTGTATCAAAATTTACTGAATTCTTAGACCGAGACAAAAATCCACGCCCATCTTACCACCACGCACTCCACTGCCCTCGCAAAAACAGCACGCATTGAATGAGGCAAACAAAGGAATTAACAAACCATTTCCTCGACAAGGGAGACGAATCTCTATAGACATGCCAAAAAAGAAACCCATCACAACACAGGGCTTTTTAGGTCTACGTTCCTCTATGCCACCTAGACCAGATCTTGCTTTCGACGACAGACGTAGGAAATTTCCTTCAAACAGAAATTTCACATTTATGTGTTCCTTCTGCAGTCGAGCATTCCGGTAATTATCTAATTCATGTTAAGTTTATGAATAATAATTACTAAACGTTGTATTTATCACTTTTCGCAGAACTGGCGCAGATCGCGATGCCCATGTGGGTTCCACACATCACTTTGATCTCACTCTAGAAAAACCCTTCATTTGCCCTGTGACTGATTGCGATAAAAGGGACCATGTTAATGGACGTTCGTTACTCGGACACATCCGTCGTTACCATCCACCTTCCGTCGACGAAGAACTATTTCTGCGTAGTATAGAAGAGGATAAATTAGCTGAGGCAGCAAATCCTTCAACCTTGAATTCTTCAGAGTCACCGTCTGATGAAGATGATGCCGACAATATGAGCGACGATGAAAATGATGTAAGTTCTGAACCGGAAGAAGACTTATCTGACGATGAAGAGGTCGAAGTAGTTCCTAAAAAACGAAAGCTAGAAAGCAAAAATACAAAACCGACCAAGAGGAAATTTCAGCCTTCATCACGCTCTACTTCTGGGGTTCGCCAACCCTTTAAGCGCACGGACATTAGCCTGTCCCCAAGCTGTGAACGACCCCAAGGGCGTCCTGGTCCAAATGCTTACCATGTTCGCGAAGTGTTGGCAAACTTTACAATAGATGGTGGTTTCTATTGCCCAGAATGTCCAGTCGCGGAACGAAGCCCTCTCTCAACCACATGGAACGTTCAGCGACATATTCGAGTTCTGCATCCAACGTCAACACTTCTCTCATGCCCTAGGTCGGTTAATATCGAAGCTATGAAAAATAAGCACAGAGAAGAAGAAGAAGCGGCAGAAGCAGAAGAACAAGCACGAGTACAAAATAATGATATTAATGATGATGAAAGTTCCAGTGGAGAAGAAGTGGAAAAAAATGATTTTGAGAATCATATTAAGAATGCTCACAACATTGCAGAAGAAATGGAAAACGTAAAAATCGAAGAGGACGACCAAGAAGAGGAACTCCCAGATTGTGATGTAATCACACGGTCATCTGTTGAAGGACTCGCCATTCTTCGAAGTTGGTTCCAGTTTTACAGAGTTGGACCCAATAAGCAAGCCGCGAACTGCCCTTTATGCCCTCAAAAGCAGTTCTCCAACCTGCACAATCTTCAGCGACACTTCCTCGTCCTGCACGAAGGCTCTGACTACCTGAGAGTGTCAAAATTGCAGGGATTAATTAAGGCGAAACTAAATGAAAACACACAAAACGATAAATTATTACAACCTGTGACGAGGGCAATCAGTAATACACAGCTTCGCTACTATTCTCGTGGTCGAGGAGGAAGAAAAAATGTTCGAGTACGAAAAACTGGTGGTCAAAGTCGTTTCTTTACCTTAATGAAGAAAAAGTCTTCAGCGTCCTCAAGGGGGCGAAAAAAGAACATTACTTCATCCGAGAAAGAGGAGGAAGGCGATAGCCATGACGACATGGTCGAGAAAATTGGTGGCGGTGGTGGGACTTCGTCGTCAAATAGGGTCGAAGAAGAAGATGATGAGAGTGAAGAGGAGGTAGCACCACCCCGAAAACCTCATGAAGAAGAGGAGCAATGCAATGACTACGACATCATACTAGAGAAAATTGGTGGCGGTGGTGAGGCGTCGTCGTCGTCAAAAAGAGTAGAAGATGACGAAATTGAAGTCGAGGCAGCTTCAACCCCAAAACCTCGTGACGATGATGAGGTTGAAGAAGCAGCAGAAGCAGAAGAACAAGCACGAGTACAAAATAATGCTGATGAAAGTTGTAGTGAAGACTGTGCAGAAGAAGTGGAAAAAGATGCTTTTGAGAATCATGTTAACAATGGTCACAACATTGCAGAAGAAAAAGTCGAAGAGGAAGTGGAAAACGTAGAAGTCAATGCGGAAGAGGAAGGAGAAAAAGTCGAAGAGATGGGAGAAGAAGAAAACCCCTCAGATTGTGATGTAATCACACAGTCATCCGTCGAAGGACTCACCATTCTTCGAACGCTGTTCCAGTTTTACAGAGTTGGACCCAAAAATCAAGCCGCGAACTGCCCTTTATGCCCTCAAAAGCAGTTCTCCAACCTGCCCAATCTTCAGCGACACTTTCTCGTCCAGCATAAAGGTACTGACTACCTGAGAGTGTCAAAACTACCAGAGCTGCTCAGGGCGAAACTTGACGAAATAAAAATGTCAGAAGCAGAAGATGATAAGTTATTTCAATCTATGACAAGACCAGTCACTACAACACAGCGTGGTTATTATTCTCGTGGTGGAGGAGGAAGAAAAACTGGTGGTCAGAGTCGTTTCTTTGCCAATATGAAGAAAAAGTTTCCAGTGTTCTCAAGGGGGCGAAAAAAGAACATTACTTCATCCGACTGTGACGACGTCGTCAAGAAAATTGGTGGCGGTGGTGGGACTTCGTCGTCAAATAGGGTCAAAGAAGAAGGGGAGGTGGGACCAAAACCTGGCGAAGGAGATGATGAGGTTGAGGACGCTGCTGATATTAAGTCCAACGACTTGCAGCCTAAAATAGAACCAAATGCGGGGACATCGTCATCATCATACACCACTCCTGGAAATCCCCTCCGTGCATTTAAATTGTCCAATGGCAAATACTACTGCCCGGAATGTAATACTGGTCCATCATCTCCGCCATATTATTCACGACCTTTTGAACTATTACGACATCTTAGTGATTGTCATCCTGGTTCATCTCTTTTGTCGCCTAACAAATCATCCAAGAAAACAAAACCTATAATCAAGCGTAAAATCATTAAGGAAACCAAACTGACAGAAATCAAGCCAAAAACGGAACCAGATACTATTAAAAGTTTTGAATGTCCATTTTGTCCTTCAGAGCAGAACAAATACCGCAGTTCTTGGACGTTGTCACGCCACATAGAGACAACTCATCCCGAAACACCGTCAAGTGACAATTCTACATCTATCAACGACACACAAGAAACTCCGAGTAAACGTGCCAAATTAGATGTTGTAAAACCACCTGCCACTAAGGAGACTGGTTTGACATCCTCTGTGAGGCCTGCATACTACAACCAACCTTGGTTCATCAAATCAGAAGGAAAAGCAAAAACCCAAGTGTCTCACATACTGCATTTAATGGACGTTTCCAGACTCGAGTGCATTTACTGCCCGGACGTCCCCGACAAGGAGAAGCACGTTTATCCATCGTTCCAGTATTTATTACGCCACCTAAATCGGATCCACTCATCAGCCAGACAACCATCGGAGACGGACCCGACCAAAATCTTTACCCCTTCCCCGCTGCCGGAAACGGAATAGCTCAAACTGACCCCGTGATCAGCAACGCGTCACAATACACAGAATGTACTCGGCGGAATAAGTGTACTGTAGTGTATCAGCATAGTCTCTTAGTGAGAGTGCAAATTTTTAATTTAAACTATTATTTAAAAAAATGACTAATTTGTTATGAACTTTACATGGAAATAAATAACCATATCTCAATTTCACAATTTATATACAAAGTTGAGTATTTTAATTATATTTTTGCTTTATTTATTCAAGTCATGGTGCTTCTTGAACAGTCAAAAACTCGCGATTTTTTTCGTAAGGTCCAAATTTGATAGGGGGATTCTCACTTTTTCGCCATGCTCATCATTTCCCCATTGTAACCGTCCCGTTCTACCGGTTTCCACTTGGCTTTAAGTTCCTGCATAGAAATATTTAGGCCGTGAAAACTGTTAATTTTAACGTTTTTTTAAATTTGTTCGCACCGCATCTCTCTTCCGGACAGGGTCGTAGACGAACGGGGTGAAGGGCAGGTTGGGCACAAACTTGCCCCAGCCCTTGGTCCCGGTCACTTTTCCACCCTCTACGCACACCTTCCCCTTGACGAGGACGAAGACAGGGACACCGTGGCAAGTCATACCCTGAAAAAAATCGATTTTTAGAAGGGATGACCAAAATACTTTGTCAAACTACAGTATTTTGATCTCGGTTCTTCCCAGGGTTTGGTTTTACAGGGGTGTTACACCCTCAAAAACACGAAAATCTGCATGGAGAAGGCAGGAGCCACGCGAAAATACACGTTTTGTGAAGAAATCACCATCTTACACCTTGAAAAATGCTTTATTTTTAGAACATCGTGAAAACAAAGTATTTTGAAGGGAGGAAATGTTAATTTCTTCACAAAACCATGACTTGGATTCTCCATGAAGATTTTCGTCTTTTTGTGGATGTAATACCCCTGGAAATCCGAACCCTGGGAAGAACGGAGATCAAAATGCTATATTTTAACAAAGTATTCTGGTCATGCCTGATTCTTAGTTCCATATACTATTAAAATTTCTAACAAGATTGATCCCAAGTCTATGTGGTGCTGAGAATTGAAAATGTCACCTCAAAAATGTTATTATCTGTGGCGTGATGATGCGTCGCAGCGGAAATCATCCGCGTCGCGTCTCCATCCCAGATGACCAAGTCGGCGTCAGACCCTTCGAGAATGGCACCCTACAAATATATTGGTGAACATAAAAACTTTGTTCAACGTTGGACTCGGTAGCTCATCGTCAAAATCAGCGCGTTGGTAATCATTTCTCAGCTCTGGGAATTTATTTTAAAATTCTGGACGACAAATTTCTAACTAGTAAGTTTAGGAAGAAACATTTTCAGAAAAATAGGAACTCATTGAAGCATGCTTAAAAAACTCGCCGCTATTCTATTTATCAACTTACTGACTATAAATTTGTCGCCTAGAATTTTAAAATAAATTCCCAGAGAAATTGCTACAAATGCGTTGATTTTAATGGTTTTGGTGACGAGTTATCGACTCCTGCATTAAAATCCATTACTACAACTTTTCTGTAATGCCAAGTACCACACGTATTTACCTTTTGTGGGTAAACGTTAAAAATCTTTGCTGCATTCGTACTCGTCACTGCGACGAATCTGGCCGGGTCCATTTTTCCAGTGTGGACACCTTTCTCCCAAATGACAGACATCCGATCCTCCAACCCGTTCACGCCGTTGGGGATTTTGCTAAAGTCCTCGGCCCCCATTTTCTTCTGCTCGTGGGTGAACGTGCAATTGTCGCTGCCGGTGGCTTGGAGGTCACCCTTGGCGAGGAGGTCCATCAGATAGCCGGGCGTGGTGGGGTCAGGTCGAAGGGGTGGCGAGAGAATGTGGGCGGCAGCGTGACGCCAGGATTTGCAAAAGTAATTACTCCCATCCGTCCCCAATCCGGCGGCGATGGGTTCTCCGAAGATGACACAGCCTTCAATTTACAGCCAATTAAAATGTTGTATTCAAACTTTCGCAAATAATTTTAAAGCTTTGAATTGTCAATGTAGCCAAAAAGTTTGCAATGTAAATTTAAAATACGTACCTTCATTCCGTTTCGAGGCGATGACATCGCCCGCACTTTTGCTCATGACGTGGACCACGTAGAGCGGACAGTTCACTTGGGAGGCGAGGACGCAGGCGCGATTGGTCGCTTCCGCCTCAACCTCTTCTGGTCGACTCATCTCGTGTCCCTCGGGACCAGAGATTCCTGCGGCGAGGACTTTTTTGGCGTTCTAAAAAAGTACCCGTCTGTTACTGACTGACTGCGTACAATAGTTCGTCAACGTTATGATAACCCACCTCGGCGATGATGTCGCCATTCTCGGCGTGAACTTGGGCAAGGGCGCCAATCTTTTTACAATGCTCGAAGCACAAGTACATGTCGTCATCGCGCAGCATGAGGACGTCCTTGTACGCCATGAACATTTTGAAGGAGTTGATGCCCTTCTCCTTCACCAGGATTTCCATCTCTTTCTTGACTAATTGAGTGTAAAAATAATAAATACGGTAATTAACTAACCACCTTCTGGTCATCGCTATTCACATTTTTAGCTCTTTTTTACCTTGTTCCGACCACCACGTGACGGCGCAGTGGAACGAATAGTCGCAGCAGACCAACCCCTCTGACCAACCTTGCCATTGGTCATACGCCTCGAGCAAAGACTGACCTTTGGCCGGGATGACGAAATCGACTAGAAATCAAATTAGACTTGTCTCAAATTACAATAGTTTTATAATTCCCATTTTTTTTAAAATTACTGATCATCGTCGTGCCCCCGGCGATGGCAGCTTTAGTCCCGATGTAGAAATCGTCCGCAGTCGTGGTTCCCATGAAGGGCATGTTCAAATGGGTGTGAGCATCGATCCCTCCCGGCATCACGTACTTGCCCCCAGCGTCAATCACTCTGGCTCCCGCGGGTGGCGTCAGACCCACCCCGACCGACCTGAAGAATGGTAAGCAGTGTTTTATTTCTTGCAGGTTTGCTACATTGGTTGCCTGCAAAGTTTATAACGCAGGAAATGCGAGGTGCAAGAAACTGCAAGAAATATCTAGCCACGCGCCGTATTACCAATACCGGCGAGACGTAACTAATTGCAGTTCTTGCAGGTCAAAATAGTTGCAACAAAACAACATTTTCTTGCAAGTGGCTACTCGCACCCGAAACGCTGACGTTAACAATAGCCAAACCACACGTGGTTATTACGACGAGTTTCATAACTCACTTGATTTTACCACCCTGAATGAGCACATCGCCATCCTTGACGCCGTCACAGTTGACAATCTTGCCATTCTTGATGAGAACAGATTCTGCGGAAGACATGATTCCAAAACAATGCTATTAGTGGATGGATGGATGGATGGACCTGTTGTGCGCTGGTGAATTGGTGATGAACGACTAAGCCCGTAAGTATTTAGAGAGGATGATCTCTAATGTTATCTCCAAGTGCATCTCTCCATCCATACCACATTCATGCCAGATTTACTCGGTGCTGGAGTGTGTACAATCCTCCAGTGGTTGGTGGTGATAATTATGCAAGAGAGAGGCGTGTGGAGTGGGATACACACCGTTTACTTATTTACGAAGCGATGGATCCCCATCAATTAAAGACCCAAATACTAAATACGACCCACAACCCAGTAATAAAAACCAGTGTTTCGTTTGCACCTCTAAAACTATGTACTTTTTGACTTGACACCGTCCAGCAAAATTATTTTGGGCGTCCAAAATGTCCAAAAGATATTATAAGATGGGGCAGAATGTGTTCTTTATTAACGATTATTTTTTGCAAATCTAAATATGCACAGATGTGTAATCTCCCATTAAGTAATTTTGGGCATTTTGGTTGGTGCGTAATACCACGAATGTAGGAAAAACCTTTGTTTTAGCATGTTTTCTTAGAAATTTTCCAAACCATGCCGTATTAAACACCAAAATGTCAAAATTAATGCGAGATTTACATTAGATGCACATATGTCAACGGATTATTGAAAGATTCAATAATGAATAACTTGTAGTATTTTGTCCCATATTAAATTTTGGACATTCGGTGTCCAAAACTGGTTAAAACCCGTTTTGGACAGTAGTAGTTATATAAAACCAGCGAGAAACCCTGATAAAAACCCATAAAATACATAACATCATGATCCCCAGCTCTCGTATGTAAGTAAAAAGTAAATAAATCTGTCTCGTTAGCTCACCAGGACGAACCAAAAGTGGACGACAAGTTTTATTGAGAGAGATAACCAAACCAAACCCATCCACATTTTGGAATAAAATGAATAAAAATAAGACACGCCATGCATGCAGCCAGCAACCTGTTCCTCTTTCCTCTCGTCGTCGTGGTATTTATGGACGACGAGCTTGAAGCAACATTGCCTGGATTTCGTGTAATGGATTGCTGGATTAGCCTTGAAACTTGTTCAGAAGAAGAAAAACAGACAAGTCTTCCTCTCTGTTTGTTCTGTTGGTGAAGCATGAACAAATGTTATCCGAACTGGAACTGACAAGGAAGGAAGGGAACATTGTATTGGGAAAGAGCATGTGAAATGATACAGATGTCGAAAAAAGGTGCATGTGAAGGGATCAGGGCAGGGTTTCGCTGTGGGTTTAACCACTGTCCAAAACAGATTTTAACCAGCTTTGGACACCGGATTTTGGACGGCCAAAATGTCCAAAAGTGTCCAAAATAGGAAGGAACTAGGGCAAAATGTTACAAATTCTTGAATGTTTCGATAATCCGTTGACCTATATGTAATCTCCCATTAATTTTGAGCATTTTGCTGTGTAATACGGCATGGTTTAGAAAATTTCTTAAATTCTCATAAGAAACCATCTTAAAACAAAAATTTTTTCAAATTTTGAGGTATTACACACACACAAAAATGCTCAAAATCAATGCGAGATTACATATTTGTGCATGTTTAGATTTACAAGAAAAATCGTTAAAAAGAACTTGTAGCATTTTGCCTCATTTTTCAATGTTAGACGCTTCTGGACATTTTGGACGTCCAAAATTATTTTGCCCAGTTTTGGACGGTGTCTTTGTCCAAAAGTAGTTTTGGCCGTCCAAACTCCAAAGCGAAACACTGTGCGTGGCAGGGTTTCTTGGAGTGAGATGAGATGAGACAAGTTGTTGGTTGCCTGGTTTGCGTAATGCCGAGAGAAATGAGGCAACTTGAGATGCCCCGAGGAATTAGATGCGACTCGTCCAAATCCAGTCCAGTCCAGTTGCCAGTCCTGGTTTGTTTTCTCCATTCCGAGCACAACAAGACCAGTGTTGGAATGGTCTCAGGTTTTGGTTGGTCGTCGTCCTCGTCTTGGTTCAGGGCTACTTTTATTATGATGCATGATGATGATATTGCCCAAGAGGACAAAGAGCGAGGAGAAAAAAGCAGAGAGAAAGTCTTTCTCCGAACTGGCCGGAGAGAAAGTTGCGCACTGTGTTCGGACTATTGATTTTCGCCATTTTCCCGAGTGCGAGAGTGGCCGTGGTGGTTTTTTGGCAGTGCCAATCCAACTCCCACACCAACACCACCCAAAGTAGTGCATACTACACCAGACAACGACACATCATACATATCTTTGATCCTCGTCGTCGCCTTCTTCTTTCTCCGACTCCTTCAACCGTCTACCTGCTGCTGCTACTCCTCTGCTACTCCTGCTGCACCTCCTCCTACGTACGTGCAATAAGAAAACACGAGATCCTTCCACTGAAATCACCTGGGTGGGTGGTTCCGGAAGAGAGAGAACAATATCACTAATCCCCCCGAGAGGACAGCAAGTCTGGAAAAGTCGTGACCCTCTCTCTCTCACCACCACCACCACCACGACTGCCCACATACGGAGAACGTCGTATATATGACGTGTCCCTCTGACGATTACTCTGTGACGAGAGAAAGTCCTCAATAAGTGCGTGGAGAGGGAGCAGGGCAGTGACCAGACCACTACTTGGTGCGACGATCTGGTCCTCATTCTCGGCAGTGACAACAACAGGTGCGATATCCTATGTGCATATATCACCCAGAGATACTCACCCCCCTCCTCGTCATCATACCGTTAGTGGTCTGGACGTATGTACATATGTAGTGAATCTCATCAGAATGTGTATCGAGCCAGGGAGCAGGATAAAAAATAATATTGACTTATTGGCAACAGCCCACGCATAATTTATGGCTCAACTTTCCCCTGGGGAAAACCGAGTCCGTCCAGAACAAAGCTATGTACATATGTATATGCACAATTTAGTCATCTTAGCATTTCCTCTGGTTGGCTGATGGCAACAAGTTGTTAGATAGATTCGATGTGTGTAGGCAGAGATGGTCGTAGTCGTCATGTGAGTGAGGATGCCTCAAGGCCTCGAATACGTACGTGCCAAAGCCCGTGTTCAGATTCTTCGCGAGGAGAAGAATCGTTCCCCAGGTCGCAGTTTAGGAGTTGGCAAGAACTTCTGGGTCCTGTGCTATGCAGAGTGACCATGATGGCCATATGGTCACTTGCTTGAGGGTGCGATGACCAGACCAAAGAGCAGAATTGGTGGTGGTCACGTACATACATATGTATTTGCATAGTCTGGTCGTGTGTGTGTGTGGCATGGCATAATGACGGCTCAAGTCAATCAATTCACAATAAGGTTGGAAATTATGCATGAGTTTCACCTTTTATAGATCGATCCCACCTGCATGCACCCACTCGCAATTAGCAGGCCCCCGTTTCCGTTGGGACGTATCATATGTCATGGTCTCACTCAATTCAATTATGCGACGTGGACTGGTCAGTCTTACGATGGAAACATATTTCTAGTAGATTTTCCTATTTTTGGCAGGATCAGGATGGCTCCCAACAGGGTGCAACGAGACGTGGAAGTGCCACCCCTACCTCCCATCCAGAGCCATAGGATTCCCAGGACGACGAAGGCTACCACGCTATTCCGTAAGCTGAATAAGGCATAATTTTGGAAAAATGATAGTTACGAATAGAATTTACTTACCGATAATTATTTGACAGCTCCAAGTACAACGTTGCCTGCAGAACCACCGACGACCAAAAGTCCGACGGACGTTATGATGGAAAAGACGGATGAGATCGTTCGTGGGATTGGGGGCAAAGTGGGGGTGCCTGCGTGGGGCATGTATGCGATAGGAATAGGTACATATTTATACTTAATAAATTGGAGGGATGAGATTTTGGGCAAGATTTCTATAACTTGTGAATATATTTTGCCACCTAGGAATCGGAGTACTGATCCTCGTAGTGTGTTTCCTCTGCATCCGTCGTTGTTTTCGCAAACGGAGGACAAAGGACGTCAAGAAAGGGATGAAGGGGGCGGTGGACCTCAAATCTGTTCAGTTGTTGGGGAATGCGTATAAGGAGAAGGTACGTAAATTGGCTTCAGTTTTTGATTCTTTGACTTAAGATATGCACATCGAGCGTACTCACGCATATCTCGTACCTTCGCATATCTCGCAAATTGAGCAAACATATAAATTACTACAATATAAATTGCTACATAAAACTCGTGAAATCTGCGAAATTCCACGAAACTTTTGCTACAAAACCATAGGATCCATTTCGCAAATTTACCCAACAATTATGCATGTTTTTATTTCTCAAGAATATTTCACAAACCCATCTTCTGTATTAAATTCTTTAGAAATTGCAAATAGTCAATGGAAATCAAATTAAAATAGGATGACAGAACTGTTTGTATATGTAGGTTTTGAGAAATTTGCGAACTCATATTTTGCGAATTCCTTCACAGAACAAATTTGGCGAACTTCGCATGTTTGCTAAATGAAATGAGTTGCGATGTGAAATAAGACATTGTTGTGAGTACGCTCAATGTTTCGAATTCCATCTACCATTCATTATCAAGACATGCGTAGAAAAAGGTGAAAAATTTGTGGCAAAGATTTTTGGAAAAATTAGCGCCTAGTTTTTTTTTAATTCAGAATTATTGTCATGTTTGTGGCGTTGGATACTGGGGTCAATTTTGAAGATTTTAGCCTAAATTTTCCATAAAATGTGTACATTTTAAGAAATCTTGCTAACTAATTTTATCGGGGGTCTTCTTAACCAATGACAGGTTCAACCAGACATGGAGGAGTTGACAGAGCACGTTGAAGAGCCCGAAGAGGTCGAGGCGGAAAATAGAGTCCCGTGTCAAAAACTAGGTCGACTTCAATACAGGGTGCGTTTTAATAGGAAAAATACATCGAAGACAGAAATTTAACGGATTTTTTACAACTTTTTTCTCTCCGCAGTTGGAGTACGACTTCAATGCGAACAACTTATCCGTGACGGTAATACAGGCAGAGGACTTGCCCGCTCTGGACTTGGGTGGGACGTAAGGATGCTGAGCTTAATAATAGATAATTGTAGATAATTAACTAATATACGGGTTACTCCAGGTCCGACCCCTACGTAAAGGTCTACCTCCTTCCCGACAAGAAGAAAAAGTTTGAGACCAAAGTTCATCGCAAGACACTCAACCCCGTATTTCAGGAAATATTTATCTTCAAGGTAATAAACCAAACGTACCTATATTTAACATACATAAATCCATCCGTGCTACGTTTCTTGCGGGTTTGCTACATTACTTGCACTGCAAAGCAAGAAACGCAAGAAATGCGAGGTGCAACAAAGTGCAAGAAATATGTAACCACGCGTTGCATGAAGTAGCAATGGGACGTAGTTAGTTTCTTTCGCCTTGCATTTCTTGTAGGTCAAAATAGCTACAAAAAAACACTTTCTTGCAAGTGGTTACTTGCACCCGAAGCATTTAAATCATACCCATATAAAGTGGGACCAAGGATCACATTATTTTAAACTTTATTGCAGTTGCCTTACAGCGACTTGATGGCCAAGACCTTGGTATTTGCAATTTTCGACTTTGAGTGAGTAGCAAAAGATTTTTGATAAATATTAATTAATTTGGCATACGGTTCACTTTGTTTAAACGTTCCATCTTTCCATCTTAGCCGTTTCTCTAAACATGACCAGGTGCGATAAAAATATTCTTATGACCATTTTAAAGAGATTGAATTTTAATTAAATTTCTCTAACCACGATCAGATCGGAGAAGTCAAGATCCCACTTTGCCAACTCGACCTTGCCCAGACTATTGAGGACTGGAAGGAACTCATCTCCGTGGAGGGTGAAGGTGGACAGGTAAATCAAGGCAGCAATTAACTAATCATTAATTAACTCAAATTCTCATTAATGTTCACCTTTCGTTCCGTTTATTTAGTTGGGTGACATTTGTTTCTCACTTCGCTACGTCCCCACAGCCGGTAAGACAAAAATTCCGTTGCAGAAATAATCATTATTACATAATGACAAATTCTAATAGTACAATTTATATTTTTCCTTCCCTACTGATCCATAATTAACTAAATAGGCAAACTCACCGTGGTAAGTGCCTAACAAATAATTGCAACTTGACTTATTAAATACAAATCGTGTTAAGAAATATCATTTAAGTAATTATGCATAATCATTTAGGTCATTCTTGAAGCAAAAAACCTTAAAAAGATGGACGTTGGAGGACTTTCGGGTACATTTTAAAAAATCCAAATGCATGATTTTCTCTCACTCTTCGTCATAAATTATGACTCAATTAATAATTGTTATCATCATCTCTGTGCAGATCCATACGTAAAAATTGCATTGATGCAGAACGGCAAACGACTGAAGAAGAAGAAGACAAGCATCAAGAAATGCACGTTGAATCCATATTACAATGAGTCCTTCACATTCGAGGTTCCCTTCGAGCAGATTCAGGTAATACATACGATTTTCGACTATTTTTATGCCCACACTTTCAAAATGCCTAACTCATGGCTTCTCCAAATTTGCAGAAAGTGAACTTGGTGATAACAGTGGTGGACTATGACCGGATCGGGACGTCGGAGCCCATTGGGAAAGTGGTGCTAGGGTGTAACGCGACTGGGACAGAGTTGCGACACTGGTCTGACATGTTGGCGTCTCCTCGAAGGTACACAATATGATACTATTCCACCCACAAAAGACGAGAATCTGCATGGAGAGAACACAGCAGTCCTTCGAAAATACGGGTCTCGTGAAGAAATCGACATTTTATCAAACCACTTTATTTTTAGAAAATCGTGAAAACAAAGTATTTTGGCAGCGTTAAAAAGTTAATTTCTTCACAAAATCCGTATCATCGTACGACTGCTATTAACTCATTCACGCTAACACCTTATCTTATATGCATATTTATTTACCAGGCCCATTGCTCAGTGGCACACCCTTAAGGAGCCCGACGACGAGAAGAAGGAGTAGGAAAAGAGGAAGTTAAATCATTAATTCATTCATCGGGATAGGGAGGAGAGCGAGAGAGATGATCTTCAACATACTAAAAATACACAGCCCAACTGCTATTACGGTTATCTATCATTACAAAAGAAGAAGACACGGATGGTCAACCATCGTCGTCGTCGTCGTCGTCATAATCAATCACCTCTCCTCTTCCCCCGTTTCCCCGTACGTATTCCTCCTTCTTCTCCTCCTCCACTCTTGATTATTACTTACTACTCCATGATGATGATTTTATGATGATGATGATGATGAAATTTCCTAATTTACATTTCTTACTCTATTCGTGAATAATGTTATACATATTTACATAAATATCGTCGGTTCACTTTATTACTTAATTATGTAATTCTGAAGCAGAAAAACTGACAATGCAGATCTCTCAGCGTATGCTCTCCGATTTTGACCAAATTGATGTCAATCGATCGCAGATTTAAGTAATATGCAAAAGACGCGATCTGCCAATGGACACGTTTGGCCAAGATATTTTCATCCAGAGAAAAGAAAACTCGCAAAAAATTTGGAAAGTTTGTGCAAAATTTGTCGAATTTAGAGTGCATTTTCTTCTCTTTGGATGCAAATATCTCCGCTAAACGTGACCATTGGGAGATCGTGTCTTTCCCAAATTTCATACTAACTAAATTTGTAATCGATTGACACCAGTTTGTTCAAAATCGGAGAACATACGCTGGAAGACCTCCGTTTTGTCAGTCTACTGCTATTTGTTACCTACCTCCCTTTATTATTAGTGATGATTGTGTGATGATTCGATATTGAAAAACTCTCTGGGATGTGTTATTTATTATATACGTAGAAATTAGTGGCCCTCCTTCTCTCCTCTAAAAAATTATATATATCTATACCGTAGGCGTTCCACCCCTCATTACCATATCCTGATTGATCCTGATAATCATCCCCGAAATCTTCTCTCTTAGAATTCTACATAGGACAAAGTAGACCTAGCAGTTAAGCAGACATGAAGGAAAATTCGTTGCAAAATCGCCACTATTTTTGTGACCTATAGAAATAGTTGATTAATTAATTATTGAAAGTATTATTGATGTCTCCTGCACTCATCCATACATAGTTAATTAACTAATTAATTAATTAATTACCTTTCCTTTTTTACCATCATGGTAGTAATTATACGCTGGAAAGTGCTGCACAATTGTAGCAGTTCTTCTTACTACACTGGAAGGGAGAGAAAGAGAGAAGGTGTTGGGATTGAAATGAATATTCTCGGCGTTGACGCCGAGATGACGCCATGTCCACGAAACGTATGTACATAACCCTGCTTACTTACTACCACTGCTCATTTACATATGTATGCAGCCATTAATATTGGCAGTGGTGGTAGGTAGTTGTGGGCAAATTGGTGGCGTCGATGGTAACCCATCCAGCCTTCCTATTACAATTAATTACCAATTATATGGTCAACCCTGAACTATACATCTGCCTTTTTCGATATCATTATTCTTAATTAACGTCTATTATTGCACATGCCGGGAGCGCTTGCACTTATTCACCTACTAATTAATTAATCAACTAAGTAACTTATTCCCTTGAGAGAATTCTGTGTACAAAGGTCAACTCCCCCACTGGTGGATATTATATGCGTAAAATATATAGGCCTAGGAGAAGACGAGGGGTGTTGTTGTCAGGGAGGGGCAAAATACTTTGTCAAACTGCAGTATTTTGAGTGAAGTTCTTCCCACGGGTTGGATTTCCATGGGTGTTACACCCACAAAAAGTCGAGAATCTGCATGGAGCATACAACAGTCATGCGAAAATACAAGTTTTGTGAAGAAATTAAGTTTTTATCGCTGTCACATCACTTATTTTTAGAAAATCATGAAAACAAAGTGTTTTCTCAGAGATAAAACGTTAATTTCTTCACAAAACCTGTATTTTTATATTACTACTGCTCTCTCCACGTGGATTTTTTCGCCTTTTTGTGGGTGTAACACCCCTGGAAATCCAAACCCTGGGAAGAACTTCACTCAAAATCCTGTATTTTGCCGACGAGTTTTGACCACCCCTGGTCGTTGTTGTTGTGCGTGGAAGGCGCCCCATATGCGTGGATGTATTTGTTATCGAGTCCTCCTCCCCCACTCCACCCACTCCAGTCACATGCACATAAGTACATCACGAGGTGATCATGACTCTGGTCGAGTAGCTGGTTAGTTTTAGTGGTTAGCAAAAAAAGGTAAAAAACAGTGCACGTTAAATGCAAGCATATCAAGAAGAAGATTGTTCAAGACGTCGGTATTATTAGGAGACAGAGTAATTTGAATTTCTACAAGTAGTCAGTCGTTGCCAGTGTGGGAGGAGATGAAGATGACAAGGAAACTGAAAAAGTGGATGCATGTGTTTTTTGCGCCCCGTGTGTGCGTATGGATGGACAATGTCCGCATAAAAAAAATAGCGAAACTTATGTAACTACATTCATTTGCAAAAAAATCTACCAAAAATCCAATGTGTGTCATTTTAACCGAAATGTATTACTACTCTATCGTGTAAGGTGTCAAGAGATGTTTATAGAAGTTGTTGAAAGTAAGAGAAAAATGTGTATCGAGGCAAATGTGTAAACGGTGTGTGTCCAATATGTATCTCTATTATTATTGAAACGATTAAAGTTCCAACAATTAATATCACCAAATTAAATAATTCAGGTCAATTTTATTTGCACGGCTATTGAATGTGATGATGATGATGATAATTATGCATGACTTTTTTTCCTTGGAATTGCATACACCATGTCTCTTGTCGAAATGCTAAACAAGTTGACAGGTTTCGTAGATTCCAAATTTACTGCGAGTTTTCTCCTCTTCGGATGCAAATACCTCTGCCAAACGTGACCATTGGAAGATCGTGTCGTTTGTAAATTTAATATTAATAAAATTTATGATCGATTGGCACTACTTTGCTCAAAATCGGAGAGCATATGCTAATAGACCACCATTGTTACAGAGAGATGAAAATGGATGCCAACAATGGTGCATGAAGAGTTGTGTGCAAAATATGGACGCTTTCTCACCTTTGCCAGTCACCTTCAACCTTCTTCGCTACAACCCAGAATAGAAATTTCTTATCTTGTTGAGTTCAGCTTCCGTCGGAATGCACGCCAAGCAAGAGTTTCAGCGTGCATTGACTGGACGCGAAGCAGTTGAACGCGTACATAAAATGCAGCTCGTCAGAGCTTATGAGTCTTCATTTCAAGTTGAGGAGTTGACCAGAACGGCCACACGAAAAGTAAAGGCGAATTTTTTTGAAAATATAATAAGTTTTCCAACAGAATATTCAGTAAATTTCACATTCGTGCTTTGGATCCAGACATTTCTCTTCTTCAGGCAAGTCAAAAAGGTAATTTGTCCAATTTCTCCAGAATTTGTTTCCCTTGAGCTGAAAAATTGAGGTGAAGACATAGCTGGTAAATATTAAATCAAGCAGTTTGATTTATATTTGTCCTAACATTTGATTACTTTAAGGCATTTATGACATCTTTTTCATTAATTTCAGGAGGGTTTCAGCGTAATTCTCAACAATGCTCCATTACGTGGTCAACGCTCTCCGGTCTTGGCCTTTTAAGAGGTCCAAATTTCCAGAGGACCAAGACGAGGCGACGACTGCAACTAGTTCTTCATTCAAATCACAGGTCAGTCTCCCTCCTCGAGTTTTATATACTTATCAACATGCAAATATGCTAACAATTACTGGTTTGTCAACTAACTAATTCTCAATTTTAATCTCATAGCCGTCCCAACTTGCACTGGTGCATGCTGACAACGAGGAAACCGACGAAGGCCTAGAAAGTATCCGGTCTACAGGATTTATTACACGTCTGGACGAATCCATGCCAAAAGGAGTCATAGATCGGACTTACTGTTTCGACATCGGAACATTTTGCTCTCCTCATCACAACTTCCAACTCCGTTCCAAAGTGGACTTCGAAGCATTTCGCAGCAAGGAATCTCCAACATGGATTGTCACGTCGATGAAACTGCACGTCTCGAAGGAGGAGGAACTAGCGAAGGAAACGTGTCGTCGTAAGATCCAGATTATCAAAGTTGCAAGTGTTGGGAACGATTGGATTGACGCGGAATGGGGGAACAACAAAGTCCAGCGGTTATCAAAATTGAAGCAGCTACTTCCGAAATATCAAATAAAATCTGGTATGCGTACTAACTTACATTTTCCCTCCGTCATTTCTATTTCATTTTAACTCTAGAATTTGGTAATTTATAAACTCTTAATTAATAATTATAATACTGCATTTTTCAGGTGACTGGTTGCAAGTCCACTTTGAACAACTTCCTAAGGCAGCTGAGGCACAAGGATTATCCGGTGATGCAACCTTAACCAAGATTATTAGTATCCAGCCAAGCCAACAAAAAACAATCGTAGGAAAAATAACTAAACAAGGCAACGAATTTTGCGTGGAAGACTACATCCACGTCACTCCTGAAGCAATAAAGGATAACCAGCAAATTCCCCTCAACACACTCGTACGATGCGTTGCTGTCGAATCGACCCAAAAATTGAAACATGGAGAATTTCAGTGGCGAGCTGTAGAGGTGTCCTTGTCCAATTTTATACAGCATTTAACCAATGACCACAAGTAAGTAGACAGTGAATAAATATTAATATATGCATCCTTTCTCCTATAAGAAAATATTATTGTGAAGAACGGTTTAAAATTAATATATGGATTTATCCCTCTTGTTCAGCCGAGATGACGACGAGGAATACGAAAATGTTGACATTCGCTGCCGTGATTTGTACAACAACCGAGGTGGAATCAAGATCACACCAGAGGCTCGTGTCAAGTTTCAGGCCGCCATCATTGGAACTTGTGTTCAAAAATCTGTGTCCGTGCAGAATATGTCGAACCGAAGTATCACGCTTCAGTCGATTGAATTTCCACACGATAATGGAATTTGTAAGTTTGATTTGGACTTACCTCGACGGGACCGTGACGTTATCAGAGTTCTTGCACCGGAGGAGATGTACACTTTGAAGGTCAATTGTACTCCACTTCAAATGGGTAGAACAAAAGAAATGGGGATATTTGACTTTGGTGACTTCAAAATTGCTCGTGACTTCATCATCACGGGATTAACGGCGGACGAGGAGCTTCTCAACAATCTGAAGAACCCTGAAAATGGACACTGTGCACAAAGATTTGGCAGGATTCGTGAAGTGGAACAAATCAATGCACTCATGAATGATAACAGACGACGCTGCGTCCGTGGAAATGCGCCCGTTCGTGCCCCGTTCTTTGCATCTAAAAGAATACCGCGTTACCCTGTACCACAGAAAATATGGGTCGCCTACAGGGATAAATCTGAAGAAATTGTTAAGAAGCACTTTGCCGGAGTCTTGAGGGCTTTAGATATCAACAATTATCGGGTAAATGCAATGCTTAAGCCTAAATTAAAGTTAAACCTGCATGCTATAATTTTATATTGAAATTTAATGAAAATTTAATTGTTTGTGCTTTACTCAGACCAAGTTCCAAGTCAGCCTGTGGTTTGAAGAAGTTGACAATGATGTCCTAAGGCGTCAGTATGATTTGGGAGGGGTCAGCTTCAAGAGAGATTCGGATTACTACACGTTTACTGCCCCTCATATTGAAGACATACATCCTCCTGTACTTATTGGCGACCCAATTGATGCATTTGATCCTGAGGACCCCAAAGGTTCGTATGTTTGGAATTTCGTTAATTGCGTTGTCCTGTATTGTAAGAGACACTTGTATAAAATAGTGAATTTACACTTTTGCATATGTTTCAGCTGTCAAATATGAAGGATTTATCAAAAAGATTCAGGGGACTGAGGTGTCTGTCGGATTTAGCGAAGTTTTCAACGAGACTTATGACGGCGGACTTCTCCAAGTTAGATTCTGCCAGGGAAGAATGACCTACAAACGACAACATTATGCGGTCGAATTGGCTCGTGAAATCCTAGGAGAAACTTTTTTGTTTCCGTTTGGATTTTTAGAAACGGAAATTAAAAACCCACGGATTCCATTTTTTGAAGATGAAGATTCATCAAACGAAACATCCCCTGATGAAGTAGCCGAGTCCGTTATTGCTACAAGAGTAAGTTTGTGAAAAGTTTATAGTTCAGGTCGCATTTTAATACTAATAATATGACAGTAATAATACAATAATTATGATCTATTGATTTATCAGCAACATCAGGAGGATTCAGCTGCTCCTGCCTTTAATTTATTTCCAAACCGTCCCACGCGGAAGCCGATCGCGACCACATTCGGCAAAAGGCCACCAAAAAACGCCGTGGATAATACCAGCAGAAGAGAGAAAAGTCTCCGAACCGCTTTTGTCAGCGACGTTCGGACCACAAATTTTCTCAAAGATGTCAAACTAACCTGGTTCAACAGAAATTTGAATGAAGAGCAGAAAAATGCTGTGCGACGTGTTTTAAGAGGACAAGCCCGACCACTTCCATACATCATTTTTGGACCTCCAGGTTTGTCTTAAGTAAAATTGTGCTTATTGATTCTGAATTTGCAAATAATATAAAAATGTTTGTTTATGCATTCAGGAACTGGAAAAACAGTCACTGTGGTTGAAGCTATAATGCAAGTAAACAAGTTGGATCCAAACAGCAGGTATAGAAATGCAACTTAATAAATTACAGCTTACTTATACGAGTAGCTACCTATTAAAAAATAATAATACTAAAATTAAGATTTAATTTTTTTCTGTTAGGATTTTGGTTACTGCTCCCACCAACCACGCAGCGGACATCATAGCAGAGTGCTTGGTTCGAAGTGGACAATACCAGCCTGGAGAATTTATCCGGTTTAATGGATTCCTCCGACAAGAACAAGGCACACCGGATTCCATTAAGGAGTATTGCATTGATGGCGAACTACTGGATCACGTTGCTAGCAGTCGCTTAATTGTGTCAACATGCGCCACGGTGGGTCAATTTTTCAGTCTCAAATTGACGCCTGGCCATTTTACGCACGTGTTTATTGACGAAGCTGGGTACTGCACCGAGCCTGAGACTATGATCTCTGCAGTGAACCTTGCTCTCGATCGAGACGGACAGGTAATAAACTATACTCAATAATTTACTTTATGATAATGTGCAAAGTCATATTTGAGTTACTTATTTATTGTAATTCTTCTTAAATACTTTTTAGTTGATTCTTGCGGGGGATCCAAAACAACTGGGACCCGTTCTTATGAGCGACATTGCTAAAAATCTGGACTTGAATCTTTCCTTTCTTGAGCGTTTGGTGATCGGCAAGGAAGGAACGGAAAACATTTATGGGCGGAACCCAGAAAAATTTGGACAAGAAAATTGTGGATATAACACATTAGTTTTGACTAAATTGGTCAAAAATTATCGTGCTCACGAGTCCTTGCTCAAGCTTCCGTCTCATCTATTCTACGATGATGATTTAGTACCATGTGCGGCACAGGAAGAAGCTTACGTGTTAACCCAAAATCACAAAATTTCTCAGAAGATCTTGCTCTCCCAAGGGGTCCCTCTCGTCTTCCACGGAGTTCAAGGGACCAGCGTTCGTGAGCGTGACTCTCCCAGTTGGTACAACGCTGCTGAAATTATGCAAGTTGTAAATTATGTCCGAACCCTGAAGTCTTGTGGAGTCAAGAATCGTGATATCGGAATTATTACACCATATCGAAAGCAGGTACGTGTCTAAATGCTTGTGGGATCTATACACCTGATTAGCCTAAAAGAATAACAGATATGTATCATTAATTAACATTCCTTGATAATATTCCAGGCGGAGAAGTTGCGTCTTGCCATGAAAATGGGGCTGCTTGAAGACAAGATTCCAAAAGTGGGTTCTGTTGAAGAGTTCCAAGGTGGTGAACGGCAAGTGGTTATCATATCCACCGTACGTTCCTTATACGAAGATAAAATAAACTCGTGTGTCCACCAACTTGGGTTCATTTATAATGAAAAACGATTCAACGTCGCAATTACACGGGCAAAATCTTTGATGATTATCGTTGGAAATCCTCACGTCCTTTGCAAAGACAAACACTGGAAGAACCTTCTTCGCTATTGCATAGAATTGCAGGCCTACAAAGGCTGCAACTTGCCAGTTGAATTAGACGAAGTTAAGAACAAGCTGTATGACGATTTTAAAAATCAGGAGGCCAACAGAGATGTTCCCACCCTTCCTCCGGACATGGCAACTTTGACATACAACCCGAGCGGATTGGATGATGACGACAATTTCTAAAGGATAGAGTTCATTTTTGAAATACATCTTATTATGCAGAATTTATGTTTATACTTTAAATTTCAGTCACATTTTTATATAAAAATTAGGATAATTTATTATTATAGCGAATATATATTTAGTATGTTACTCATTGAATATGTAGATTTTGAAAATTGTTTGTTTATGTTGGAAGTTGAATAAAGTCTGCGTATCGAAATCTTATGAAAAATTCTGTGTGTGCGTCTCCTTGATTTTGCATATCATGTTGGATGTAGTACACCAATAAATTTAGGCTCTATAAAATTAGACAGGCTTGAGGAAATTGAGATTTGCCAACTTTGCCATCATTCCGACGACAGTGAAAATTTTAGGGATTCGCTCTAACGTCAAAATGATCAACGCGTGGTACGTCGTCGGGATGATTTTTGTTGGGAACTCGACATGAAGAACAAGCGATATTTTATAAACGACTTTTATCCATGTAACTAATTATAAGATTTAAAAAAAATGAAAACTCGCAACTCAAAAATTTCGAAATCAACTTCGCATCAATGTAGTTCTAATTTCGTCATTTGAATATAGCAGACAAACAATAAAAACCGTCAACTTTATTAATTTTGATTTGAGTGGATTTAGTCGAATTCATTGAACAGAAATTACTTGTTGTAATCTGCATGATTTTGATATTGGTTTATCGTAATAATACAAAAATGGACGATAAAAGTTGAATCTTTGTGATACAATAATGTTTATTAAAAATGTTTTTGTGAAATTACAAAGTTTGACGATTTCACATCGTCACTGACACTAAAACTAGGTACCATTTTTTCGTACATTTGAAAATTTCAAATTAAAATATCATAAGAAACTAATGTTCATTACTAAAAACTAACAATCCAATCGTGCATTAACAAAACTCGGTAATGATTAAAGAGTAGCTAGGTGATCATGTCAAACTTAAATTATATAATTGTTTAAAAACATTCACACACAATTTTAAACAAAGTTGCAAATATTAGTCATTTAAGGTGCAGAAAAAATTTGTGAACTAAATTGTTGACAATGATTAATTAACTAGTTGCTAATAAACTAATAAGAGTCTATTGATTTACGACAAAGTCGAGTGTCAGCAAAGAGGTCAATAATGACAAATAATATCTAAACTTATGCATATTCGAATAAGTTGAGTAAGCGTTAATTGTTCGAGGATAGTTGGACATTTGGACATGGACAAAAATTAAGGTTGTGGCCATAGTTAGTTTTTCGTCTACAAATAGTAGAGCGATTCACGAAGACTTGTTCCAGGAGCGGCGCGGATACTGCTTCCGACCAGCGACGCCAACTTGTGGGCATACTGAAATTCAATTACAAAATCAATAATCTTCATTCGTCAATCATGAATATATTGAAGAGTAAAAACTAGAGTTACTTGTGTCATGGCTGGAACGCGGACTGTTCCTGGCCAGTTGTAGTACATGAACGAAGAGACGTATGCGAATTTTTGGATCAAATCGGGCTTAGTTTCACCCACGTCTTCGATCACGGTGTAGTGAGTTGGAGTCACGGTGCCCTATAATTTAAAAAGTTAATTATTAGTTAATTACTTATATTTTTACTTAAACAAGTACAGCAGTTGAATGAAAATGAAATTAAATATGTTTATGTGCATACCTGTCGCACAAGTTGAGAAACGATATAAAAATCATACGAGTCGAATCTCGTCACGGTGTGGTCAATGACCGTTCCAGGATGCGGATTCTCCCAGTTTCGGCCCGTCTATCAAATTAATCCAAAAATATGCATGTAGCAATTCAACACACTTCAAAGATCAGGGAACATCTTACGATTTGGAAGAATCTTTGTGGAATTCGCTTCTGGACAACGACAAAGCTAAAGCTTGTGTTCGGAACACATTTTTCTTTGACGACGTCCAGGACTTGTTTCGACTCGTGTTGATTAAATGTCTTGGGATCCGCCAAGCCACCGTCGCGCCAAATGATTACTCTTACTGGATAACATCCTTGTTCCTAATGAAAAATTAATTACGTTAATTATGCATAATTTAACGAGAAATAGATTCATGTCACAATATTCATACCACGTTAAAGGCTTCCATAGCCTCTTCAAAAGCACTTCGTAAGTTGTCCGCAACCTCCTGATGCACTTTCAGCACGCGACAAATAGATACGTAACGAGTGCACTCGTTGTTGAGAGTAGCAACCAGCCCGAGAACGGAGGCGTCCTTCTTCAACGGATCGTGGGCCACGTCAATTCCGACGAACATCATCGGGTTTTTCTACAATTAGATAGCAACACATCTTGAAAACCTTTACAGAATGCCATTAACGGAGGTGTATAAAATTGTTTAACCGACGAGATTTACAAACTTAACAAAAAGGTCTCAACAATATAGAAATTGAACTTACAAACGGGAGGGAGAGTGACCACAAAGAGCCTCCGAGTTTGCAGTTGATCTGCAAGGCGATCTTCTGGACGACTGAGTTGAACTTTTTGTCGTTTGAGAGAGTCTTTGTGAGACAACACTGCGACGGGACCTCCAACTCACAGAGGGAAAGCTTTTTGATCATTCCATAGACATCCTCTCTTTGCTGAGGCATCAAGACGAAGAGGAAATGGTATTTCTAAAAGTTAAACAATTTTTCAATAATTACGGGGGAGACCGAGTTATTAAGTATTTGGCATTTTAGCTTACATCGCGCGTCAAGTTCGATTTGATAGCTTGACGAAAGTCGCTGATCTGATGTCCCTTCGTTGCAACGACCTCGGGAGCCGATGCGACCTGGATTCCCAACTGCATACATGCCTTCCGATATTGATCCACAAAGCGGCGCGCCTTGTCACTGTCGCGTTGAGTGCAAATTAGCAAGTATTTGTTCACATGCACCTGTCAATTCAAAATTTAGAAAGTTTAATTGATGTTAACGAAATAAATTATCAACATTATCTAACATCTTGATTATTGAGATCTTACTGGTTGCACAACACCGGACAGTGCATCACGGCTGAAGTCAGCTCCAGCAGCAGCGAGCTGCTTCTTGCCAAAATTGAGAGCTGGTCCAGCATGGATCCGCGCCTTCATCGTGAGTGGGATATTCTCCATCTCCAAATTCCACTTTGTAAGAATGGCCTTGGCTTCTGGGGTTCCTAAATACATCAGAACCACAAAATGGATAATCATTACTAAAGATTAACCAATGTAACTCATAATTCCTAGTTGGCAGAAAAACTTACCATTAACTTCCTTGATAAATTTCTCCAGGGCGATGCGTCGCTGGCCAGGGTTCAGTCGGGTGTGCTCCCCGAGGTCTTTCATAACGGTAAAGTTTGACCTTTGGTCTTCCGTCAAACCAGTGACGAAGCACAACTCTGGGACCAGAACGACCAACTTGTCCTCTTGGATAGCATCCCCTCGTCTCGGTTTAATCCGACTCACCAACATGGGCTGGTCTGGGTACTGGATTTGCAAACCGTGGTGCTCCTTGTAATACTCCGCGTAGGTAACCTATACACACATTTAATACAAAACATTGATTATTGATTAAAATTAACTTGCAGCACACATTGGTCTATGCTAAATTAACTAATCACCATTTGATCTTTCCTTAAGAACTGGTCTTTCGGAGATGCGTGCCACCAAATGTCGTCGATTTTATAAGAAGCATTATTAAATCGGGTGAGAACAATCTTTCCCACGGCAAATTCTGCAAACTTGGCCTTCCAGTCCGGACCAAGCGTTCTCATTGCACACCTAAAAAAAATTAACAATAAACAATTAACTTTACCTATGTTCACTTAGCCACTTTAAAATTCACTCACATCTGTTGATATATGGTTTCCTGCCGAAGGACACGATGGGATGCATCCAAACAGAGCATTAAACCGCCTTCTTGCTCATCCACGGCGATGCAATATCCTGGCCAAATATCTAATCTGTGATCAGAGCAAGAAAAAATATTAAAACTTTGAGCTTGAAGTTTTGACAAATAAGGGGAGCCTCACTTGTGTTGTGGGAGCGACTTGACGCCCTGGACATCGTAGTAGTTCCGACGCAGCATTACACGACCCAACGCCTTCATCACTCCTTTGAACATGATGTTGATGAACTGGATCATCGTGTAAGCCGGCCTCTCCTTCACGTAGACAGCAATTATGTTCAATTCGGTATCTGGACTGTTGGGATGAAACCCTTTCAGCTCGGTAACCTAAAAAAAACAAATCAACCAATAAATTTTAACCAGTTTTTATTATTCTAAGTTCTTGGTAATTGGTAATAAAATCAGTCAAGCAACTTACATGCTCATCGAACTTGACGGCGGTAAACAGCATCGTTCCGTCGAAGGTGTACGTCCTATCTCCCATCACAGCCCGCACCGATCGCTTCTTCATCGTAGTGCTGTCGAGGGGAGGATCAAAATCCACATGGTATTCGTGAATCGTGCAGTTGCCGATAAACCTTAGTCGAATGTAATTCGTAGCCACTGTGATTCTGCAAGCAAACAATTAATCAGGCAGTGTACTAATTTAACAAGATGGTTGAAATGAGCTTGATTCACTCACTCCTCGCCCTTCGCTCCTCTTCGAACCATTGGAGCTCGGTCACGTTGAGGCGCCAATGTTGGAGCTTCCTCTGTCCGAGCAGCGGCTGCCGGCTGTTGTCCCAATGAAGCCTTGGGAGCCTCGATTCCAACTTCTTCAGGAGCCATTTTGCCACGTCCGCGACCTGAACTTGATGTCACGACCGCCCCGCCACCACGCTTAGATTTCGAGACAGTCGGTGTAGTTTGGGAGTCCCCATGGCTGGAAACTATCGAATGACTGGACTCTGCCTCGTCACCAATCGGGTTGGCTTGTTCCTGTTCTTGTTGCCCTTCTTCAGGGGCTTCTTGTGCGACCACGACAACAGGTTTCAAGTCTTCAGGGGGAATTACAGCTTCGATTGGTTCTGATGATTCTTGAGGGAGAAGAACAACAGGTTCATCTTCAACCACAGCCGGTGGAGGAGGACGAGGAGGTCTGGCAGGTGCTGCAGGTGTGGGTGCTCTCATCCCGAAATGAAATGATGGTTTTGCCACACCGCTGGTCGGAGACACCGCCTTCTTGGTAGGTTCGCCCACATCCCCCAAGGGCTTCGACTTTGGAGCTGACCCGCGACCGAACGTTCCACGCCCTCGTCCTAAAAATAAATCATTTTTGCATTACTCAGCTTCAGCATGTTTATTTGACGCAATTAATCGAATCAATAAATCATTAATTAACAATTAATTTTTCACCAATGGATGGGCCCGTAACTTCTTCGTCATCACTCTCATCGTCTCCTCTGATTCCAACTGGACGGTCTTGTCGTTGAGGCATCGACGAGATCGAAACTTCCTCCAAGCCTCCAACCGCCTCGTCAATGTCCACTTCTTCTTCATATCTGGCTCGCAGCTCTGCCGCGCTCAGTTGTTCTGGCGGACTGGTCGTCACCGCTGGCGTTGATTCGAACTGGAACTCAACACTGAGCTCCTGCGGATCCTCCTCCTCATCAGGTGGATTATACTACAAAAAATGGAGCGGAAATAAAAATTCATCAAAATAAGTTCAAACAGGTAACGAACCGACCAAAACAAAAATAAAAACTTGCTAACTGTTAACTAACAAGTGTGCACCTATGATCACCTATGATAATTACTAAAGCTTAAACTTACACCTCGGCCACGACCCAGGCCTCTCCCCCGACCGAATCCCCCTCGGCCCGAATCCATAACTAATTGTTTCTACTGTGTGGTGAGCTAACTTCAAACTTTGACAAGGAATTAGAGCTTAGACAACAACAGATTATCAAAAAGTTCACTCTGAACTGAAAAACGAAATAAAATAATAATTTTTGGTGGGAGCAGAGAGCGAACACGTCTGACTAAGCCCGAGTTTAAGAAAGGAATGAGCCGTTAAAAGAAAGGAATGTTTGATGGTTCGGCCACAATGCGCACTCACTCAACTAAATGCGACGTAGTTATAAACTGGTGGTGGTGGCTGGTGGCTGCTTGATGATGATTAGTTTAGCAGTCAGTCTGTCTCATTTCATTAAGTATGCAAATTTGAGTCTGCTGGATCGCATTACACAAATGAGTGCAAATAATAAAATGCAAATGAGGACAAATTTATTTCGGGTTTTGTTAGAAATTATAAATTTTGAAAGACTATGAATTTAATTGCTTTGACCGACGAATAGGAAGTGACGATGGTTATCCAACATGTTTCTAAATATCTTTAAAATGAACATGTCAGGAGATAGATTTGAAATTCAAATTTTAAATCACATGTTGAGCGTGGGGTTTAATACAAATTAATTAAGGAACAATTAAGTATTACCAAAATAGTTAAAATTAGATATATCTAGCAATAAATAACGTATTCATGCATGTCCTTGGTTGTCCTGCATGAATGAATGGCAACATGGAAATTCAGGCGTTCTCTATGAATTTATTTCTGAGCGTCCAATTTTGCAACAAAGTTTCTCAAAGGTCGTTGACATGGGGACGAAAAGATCAGAGTTTTCTCTGCCAGCCAGCCAAAAGTTCACTTCAGGCCCAGAGACGCCAGTCCACTCGCAGTCTCCGCTCCGACACTTTCCTCTCCAGCCAGTCCTTCCACCAATTTCTCTCAGAAACATTTACATTTTTCCCGAAACTTCTCACGATAAATTCAAAGGTAAGTGGTAGCTGTAACAATTCATTACTCGATGATTAACTACTTAAATGTGGAAACATTGAAAACGGTGTCGTTCGTTTACTTTAATTTTTTTCAAATTCTCCTTTTATTTATATTTGAATCCTTCAGGTCCCAGATTAGAAATGGACATCGCGTTCCTTGATAGTTTGCTAGGATCCCTTGGCAATGGAGCAGGCTCTGGAGCAGAGCCAGAGTCTAGTGCTAGTCTGTTCGAAAGATTGGGAGCAGCTGAGGTGGAGGCTATGCTGGCGGAGGACGAAGGTAATTTGTGAATGACCTATTATACAACGAATTAATTCCTTAGATGGAGAAAGTTGGAATTTTTTCATTTTTTTTTTATTCTAATTGTATTTACGCTTCATCAGGTCTTACTGTTGCCCAGCAATTGGAAAAATATGGTTTGGAAGATATGTTAGACCCAAACATTCAGGCCATAGTGTCTGAGGTAATGGCTGAGATGTTGCCAGCGCCAGCCCCAGAGCCAGCTCCAGTGCCAGTTCCAGTGACGGAGTCAGTTCCAACACCAGCTCCAGAGCCATTGTCGGTGCCTGAGGTGAAAAAGAAGAGTAGACCACAGAAGAAAAAGAGAGAGGAGGTTCCGGTCAGCGAAGATGACGAGGTACAAGTGGTGGATGTAAAACCTGCGAAAAAAATGGGTCTCCCCAAGAAGGTCGTCATCCCAGGTGAATTTGTGAAAAGGCCACGTAAATTGAGTCAGAATACCAAGGAAAATTGCGAGAACGAAGGGGAAGGCCCATCCTCGTCTGTGAAGGTGTGGAGAGGTCGTGGACCGAATAGATCTAAACCTCCACCTCAGGTTAAGTCGAGAATTCAACTCGCAATGGAGGAAATGATGGGCTTAGATGCAGAAAACGAGGTGATCGCACCCGATGAAGAACTTATACCAGAAGAACTCGCAGGCTTCGATCATGTCGAAGTATATCGGGCAGAACAGTCGCGGGAAGCTCTATGGAAAAAGTGGGCGGGGTCGTATAGAGACCCTCGGCCGAAGGATTTTAAACCGTCACTGAAAGAGAAAAGTTTCAGGAAGAAGGCGAAGGTTCATGAGCAACCCGTGTCTACCAACCCGTAAGACAAAACTGGAATTAACACAATTCGAAAATTATATCAGAGTCATGTCATGTCTCATTTCTAAATTTCTGTTTCATTGTTTATTCTAGACTTGTAGTATTTCGGAGAACAGCAGACGGTGGCATTGTGGATGTCAGGAGAGTAACGCTCGGGAATCGGCGTTAATAGTATTTAGTATTACAAAACGAATCAATAATTGTTCAAGTTGTTAATTTCTCTTATATAACAGTATCTTATAATGAGGGTGGTTCCAAGTCCTAAATTATCGTTTGAAGCTATTTGTAAGTCATTGAATGAGCTGAAATGTTATTTATTATGAATGTACCAGTTAGAAACCAATCTTGTTTTTGTTTCATTGTTTCCAGTTCTTTATATTTTTCCTCATTCGTTGAGCTTTTCGATCGTAAAATAAATTGCTACTTTAATGAATATTATGCGAACGGCGTATTAATATAATAACTAATTTTTATTTTTACAAAATCTAAATAACATTGTAATGTACTCCCACAGAAAAATGTAACGCATGCATGCATGCTAAGTTTAAGGAACCGCATCATTTCAGTTAATTATTTGCTAACTGGAAATTTTACACAGGATTTCCACGCATTTCACGCCATTTCGCTGGACTTTATCTCTCCTGAGGAAATTTCATGAAGTGCATACATCTCCATGATTCGGGTGACTACTGTTTTGTATTTGTATTTGTTCTAGATTTTTGAAACCATATTTTTAGAAAAATGTCAACGTGACCATAATATTGTGACAATATCCTCTTTGATGCTTTTTCTGGTGTATATGCAGCACTGAGGAGTGAATGGAAGCATGCCTGCAGTGTCCTCCGCTCACCTGCCGCAATCCTGGTGGCACTACACATTATTTATTGTTATTGCATAACAACTTTATTGCCTTTGGCTTCACACGTATCATTCTTCCACACGTACTCCTCCTCAGTCGACGAGTAGTGAGTGATGGAAAATCCACTCTTCTTTAATCCAATCCAATCCACTAACTGCTGTGGTCTTTGACGAGATGAAGTTAACTGATGTTTATATTATACTTGTTTTACGGCCTTGCTGGTCTGCTATGCTGATCCTGCTGCCTTTCTGTCTATTCATTCCATATATGTTATCCTTACCTACTTTTTTACAACGAGATCTTGTGCTGCTGGTAACATTTTAACTATAATCATAATAAAACCAACGCACTTGTGTTCTCGTCTCAGCTGTCTTTAACTTTATTTAACTTTCTGCTTCATGTACAGATAATAGTTTAGTTTTAGCTGATAGTTTACCCCTACAAAGAGTAATTGCATCCAACGAGAAGTAAATAATTGCATTTAACTAGGAGAGACCACAAGTCGGCAAAAATACAACGAAATATAACGAACGCGAAAGTATACAATTATCTAGTTTTCGAGCTTATATTATTACGAAATGTGTTATTACGTTGGTTGTGACGAAATATAGACGAAAATGGAGACGAGAATGCGGAACCCGGCTAATTAATTGCAAGGAGTAATATTTAGGAGGGAGATATCCGAAATCCGGGTATCGGAGTCATGGAGGGTGCCAACAACCCGAAAATTCTCCACTTTGGAGATGTTGTCAGCATCTTTGGAGAGGGGAGTGTCACCGGGTTCCTCAGCACGTTGGGCTACTCGTTAGGGTGAGGGGAAAATGTCCAAGTTGGTTTCTGAAAAGGTGTAAAAATATATTTTTGAGTAATGTTTTCATTTTTGGTAGGTCTGTGGATGACCGGTGTGTGATTTGTCCGTCTCATGGAACTCTACAAAATCCACCAAAGAAATTTAGAGGTGAGTATTGTCATAACTTATCAATAAGTATATTCATCTTGATAAGTGATGTGACCTAATTTTGATTGTATCAATTTTTGGTGACCAGATTGTTTATTTAAAATGTGTCCTGCAATGCGATACTCTGCTCAACAACAGTACCTGCACGCATCACGGTCCAATATAACAAATCGGACGCCGGAAGAAGCAATTTTAATGAAAAGTTTGCACGTAGGTGGTCAACAAGCTCAGAAATTGAGTATAATTGTGGTATAATTGACGGAGGTGAATTTATTTTAGCATGCTGCCGAACTCGAGAAAGATCAAAATGCAAAAGACACTTGTAAAAAGGTTGGGATCACGCTAAAGTACGGGACCAGTGTTCAGGTAGATGAAGAAGAGAGATAGAACAAGAACTGTTTTGATATCTAGGGGATTAAATCCATAATTTCACACCTTTCAGCTTCTGCACATGAAATCCAATAAATATTTAACCGTGAATAAGCGAATTCCTGCAAAATCGGACAAGTTAGCGATGCGCGTGTACCTTGACCGGAGTGGGAATGAGTACTCGTGGTTCCAAATTATACCCTCGTTCAAGCACAGATCGCTGGGTAATTAAATGAGCCACTAAATATGTTTATTCATTGTAATTAACATTTCACAATTTGCAGGCGACCCCGTCGTGGCCGGGGATGAAGTCATACTCACCGCAGTGGGAAGCACACAGCAGTGTCTCCACGCATCGGACGTGTGTCTCCCAGATAATCCAGGGTCTCATGAGGTGCGTGTACTTAAAAGTGTCGAAGTATTTAATCGCTGACAATTCTGTTTGATGTCCAGGTCAACTTTTCCTCAAATAAAAAAGCATGGAGTTTAGTCCTCTTTCTCAACTATGCAGAAAACATTCCTGGTATTTTGAAAGGTGGCGATGTCGTGCGACTGTTTCACGTCGATGAGGAAAAATTTCTTACGCTCGACGCCTACGAAAACCATCAGCACGTCTTTCTCCGCACCACCCAGCGAGCCGCTGCGACCTCAGCGACGTCAAGTAAAGCTCTGTGGGAAGTGGAGGTTCGTGAGAGAGGATGATGACGTTAAAGTTTGTAATATTTTTTGGGAAATATTGAATTTTTTGTAATAAAAATAGGTGATGCAAGACGATCCCTGCATGTCTGGAGCGGGATACTGGAGCTCAATATATCGCCTGAAGCATATGGCGACAGGACTTTACATGGCGTGTGATGGGAGCGTGTATAATTTTACATCGACATGCAGCGAGTCACCGAGGACGCAGAGTACACACAATCAGATTTGACATACATCAATTTATTTATTTCCAACGAGTTATAATAATAAATTTGCAAACAGGTTTCGATGAATGGGAGGAACCCACGATATTTCCAATTTCTGGTCAAGACAGGAATCAAACATTGTTTGAATTTTGTCCCACCGCAGCCGAGACTGAGGAAGCCGTTGTACCTGAATCGTCATATATTCGTCTTCGTCACAACTCGTCGCGTAGATGGGTACGAGCAACCAAAATTCCGATTGATGTCAATAAGAAGAACCCAGCGATGATGAAGGTACGAAGCTAATAATAAATTAGGTTTCGTATTCAAAACTATTAATTCCTGATTGTATGTTCCTAGCTCATTTGTACTCCGAATAAGAAGGATGAGGAAGCCTTCCTAGTCGTGTCCGTGTCACCCGTGGAAGTCCGTGATTTGGATTTTGTCAACGATGTGCTCGAAGTTTTGAAAGACTTTTGCCAGAAACTTCACCATCAAGGGGTCACTGCAAACGATAGGAGGTACTTTTTTTAATCTGACATTCTTTTTGTACATGTGAAACGGAGACTAATTGTACCATTTTCTATCCAGGAATGTTTGCTATGTGTTGAAAGAAGTCATATTTTTCGTCGCGGAATCCGACTCCAGTCATCATAATGTTGATCCGTTAGATTTTGTGGTTGCTGAACCATCCCGTGATCGTCAGAAACTTTTAAGAGAACAGTTTTTATTGGATAATGTGTTCGAGATTTTGAAGGTAACCTATAAAAAAAACTATGATTTATTTAATTTGGAGATTAATTTTTCTCTGTGGACGATTATCAGGCACCGATGGAAAAAAAGCAGGGCACTTTACTCCCCTACTTTGAAGATGAGGACGGAACTATGCAATCTAAATGGAAGTATACTTTTAGACTGTGTTACAGAGTGCTACATTTGAGCCAGCAAAGTTATAGAAAAAATCAGGTAGACAAACTGATTATTTAAAAAATATATTTACTTCCGAATTAACCAATTCATTAATTATCACTCATTTCAGGAAAGTATCGCTAAAGAATTTGGTTTTATGCAAACCCAAATCGGTCTCGACATCCACGCTGAAGAGACGATTACCGCCCTCGTCCACAACAATCGAATGTTGCTGGAGAAGCACATTAGCAAAAACGAGGTCAACACTTTTGTCGGGTTGTTGAAGAAGAGTGGGCACAAGTGGGACTACAGATTTCTCGACCATCTCTCAGATCTCTGCGTGTCGAACAAGTTGGGGATTCCGAGCACGCAAGAGATCATATGCGAAGTGTTGCTGAGTCCGGATAATTTTTCAGTCTTGTTGGAAGCAAGGTATTTAGGACATAAGGCTAAAAACGTGTTGAAAAAATTATTCATTTTCTATTTGGAATTTGAATAATAGAATGATGCAAGCCGACCGATGGCCTTTAGCCCTGTCGGGAGGATTGCATACGACAGGGGAGGATGTTTACCTGTTCAAGGATAAAATGAAGGTAAGCGACGAGTAAATACTTATCTGATGGATGGTGACTTAATTTTTGCGATCTTTTCATTCCTAGTTGAAAAGTGTGTCCGAGCTCGCGATGAAAGCAAGTTTGGGATTTGGTGAGGATTCAGCTATCGTAAAATATTACTGTCATCAATTGGACCTCTTCTCGAACATGTGCCTGGGACGACAGAATCACGCAATTGAGGAATTATCGTACCGATTGGATATCAATATTTTGTTAAAGTGAGTTAGGTTATTTTTTTGCTGTACATAAATTTTTAAACTAGTAAGGAAATTTAAAATTGTATTCTGCTTTTAGATGCATTTCTGCTGGGTCACTTCCTTTCGAATTAAGAATATCGTGCTGTCGACTGATACGAAAACTTCACGTGGATGTCGAACCACAGAAAGAGGATAAAAAAGTGTCGCTCTCTCGAATGTGGTGGGAGGAACCGATTCATAGCGAGGATGAGTGCGTTGCGAAATTTTGAAAATTTTTATGAAAAACTTTCTGGCAATTTTCATAATTTGTACGTGTACTCAGGTATGATGCCATCCACATCACCGCTAATGAAACGAAGGAAGCACAAATGAAGAAATTCTCTCCAACGAAAGAATTCATTGAGAAATATTTACGCCAAGTTGCACAAAAGTCGCAGTTTCATAACATTTTGCAAAACAAGTTGTCAGTTGAAGTAAGTTTGGGTTTTTGTGTGCTAGAGTTAGATACGTAAAAATTTACATATTTATAAAAAATATTTTTGCAGATTTTAAAATTGGCCAAGGAATTTGCACGTTTCGGTTTTTACGGCATGGTTTCTTTCAATCAGTTGAGGAAAACGTTGCTAACTATTTTGGCGTCATTGTCCAAGGAGGCGATTTTAGATCAAAGTTGGTCAATTTTCATAAAATTAAAAATTTTCATTCGCAATTAATGTATTTAATCTGTTAAATGATCAGGAAATTATTCCAACGGAGGAAGAAAACAATCGCATAAACTTCTCACGGAAGAGTCGCAAGAGACCCGTTTTGAAAAAGAGAACGAAGCTGTCCTGCTGGATATGAAAGTGAATATTTTGGAGATTAATGAGGTATGTTGTTTATGCTTAAAATATGGAATTCTTATTGTTAGACTGCGTAAAATTGAATGGAATTATTTTTGCAGCACATTCACGAAGTAATTTTAGACTATCGACTCACTATTCTCATGTCAAAACTGAAAGATGACATTGCTCAAGGTAACTCCATTGCGGATATGGACGTGGAAACGTTCGTCAATTTTTTTGAAGAGAGTGTCAACTTGTGGTAAGCATCACGACGTTCATGTATATTTCCTTTGTGTCCTTTGTTCACTTCATTAATGATCTCTTGTAGTGACGACGATTCGAATTTTTTACGCCTCCTCCTCTACAACGTAACCAGCGTGCACCACCCCCTGACCAAGAGTGCGATTAAACTATTAATGTCAAACTTTAACCAGAGAAAGCGTCTCTTCACGGCGTTGGAGAAGGTACGATCGCTTCCAATCTGACAAAGTCTTTTTAAATATTATGAGTTTCTTTTAGAGTCAAATCCTCAGTAACAAGAGCGACTGCGGAGTTTTAAATGAGATAAAAGAGATGTTGAAAGCTATCTCAGGCGCCGTGAAGATTGCCAAGGCACGTCGACGGAGCGATTGGAAACTGAAGGCGAAGAAAGATGCCAAAGTATGTCTACACTTTACATTTTTATGCTTGTTCTAATCCCAAATCTCTCACAGTACGGCAGTATCGACGAAGGAGTAGAAGAAGACGGGGACGAAATGTCTCCAAACGTCTCTCAAGTCCGGGATGACCCCCTCTCTCCCACGAAAAACATAATTTCGCGCACCCCCTCTCTCCGCTACCCGCTCTTGGAATACAGAGAAAAAATTATTAAAGTTCTCCGACAAATGACACGGCTCTGTGTCAACCTCACCTCCGATGGGACGGTTTCGGGTCATCGTCAAAATCAATATTTGCTCAGAGAAAGCAGAGTGGACGAAGTGATCGTGGAAGCCATGAAGTTACTCCAGGACTCCAAGGAGGACCTCCATATTCAACAGTTGTCCGAATTCAGCCAATTTTTTCAAGCCTATTGCATGGCCAACGGAGAGAATCAGATGATAATGTCGAACCATATCAATAGTTTTATCCAGCTTGAGGTACGTAGATTGATTGATTAGTTGAAAGTTTTTATTAATGTTTTTATTAATGAAGTCATACGAGCGTCAGTATGATGACTGGTTTTCAGCTCTTGACTCTAGAAGACAATTTTCGAATACAATTTGAAAATATAACTTAATAGTAGACTAGTGGTCGAGCATTTTAATTATTTCTAAAAAAATGTGGATTTTTTTAAAATTTCTACATCATAAATTTTAATGTTGAATCTGTAACCTCCTCAAAATTAAACTTTGACTCATGATAAGTTTGGGGTATAAATTTTCAATATTTTTGGAAATATAACAGCATTTTGCATTAATGATATCTCACAAAATGTAAAGGGGGAAAGTTAGTCAGAAGTTTATTTGCGACACAATTGTTGGAAAAGTAGCTGGGCAGAGTTATTTACTTTCTTCTTTTTCAAAAACTTTTGCAGGAGACGAATAAAACTCCGATGCCCTGGGTTGGCGAGGCGGCTGCGATCCAGTCCGTCTACGAGGACAACATCTCCCTCTGTGCCGGCGTTCCCGACGGGCTGATTCAACACTTGGTCCAAAGAGCATTTCAAAAACAGACGGGACGATACGATTTTGCGTCCGCGTATCTCATTGCATTGCAAACGGTCGTATGTCCAAAGCAGTGCATCGTGAGGAAAAATCAGGAAACGGTGGTGTATCAGGTAACATTAATTAATTGTGTGTCTTTAATTTTTGATTTGTTTGAAGACGCACAAATTATTTTCCAGCTCGCTATTTTCCACGAAGAACTTGTCAATTATCTTGGGTTTGGACCAAATTGCGCCAATGCGAATGGAGCCTCGTCTAATTTTTTCCCCAGCGATGTCGAGAAATTTAAGTATGAAAATAATAAACTTATAATTATAGTGACTCATCATGGCGTCAGTAAATGATTAGGAATAAATTAAACCATAAATTTTGGCAGGTTCCACATTGAAATCGTGAAGCTCTTGACATACTGCACCATCGGTAAGAACGTGTACACAGAGTCGCAATGCCAAAACTTACTCCCACTTGATCGAATCGTCACTGTCCTGTGTTCCGTGGAGTATCCGATCGATGTAAGAAAAAACAATCATGCCAAATAAAATTTTTGCAATTAATATGCAAATTGTTTACTTGTCGATCAAGGTCAAAGAAGCGTACGTCATGTTTCTCCTGCACGCATTTCTAGTCACGGAAGTAGATGTGCGCAGTGTTTACAGTTCCAACCGGATGTGGACAATTTTTGAGAAGCACTTCCTCGTCGAACTAGTCAATCTTTGCAACGCCTCCCTCGGCGAGGCTGAGGCGGATTATAAATGTCAAAGTTACGTGAACGATGGTCTGATTGTGATTGTGAAAATATTTTTTGAACGAATTCTCACCCACACGCCGGGTGTTATTAAGGTGACTTATCCATCATGCACGCTTATCTGATTGAAGTTGAGTTTGAATGTCAACCAAATTGTACTCATAGGGACACAAGGAACTCTTCATCCACTTACTCAAAGCCATTTATCGGCTCACTCAAACCAAATGGATTCATCCCACGAAACTCTACTCGGCTCAGAAATGTTTGAGTATCATGTATAAAGCGGGTATACTATTGCCAACTTTTTGCAAAATCAGTTAATTCATATTTTACATAATAAGTATGTACACATTTCTAATTCGCAGCCTCTTCCCAACTCATCTACCTGCCTTCCTACCTCATTGAAGAGATTGAGAAGAACTCGAGCCGCTTTATCAGTGAGGTCAGCCGAAGAGCGAAATGGATTTCGATGATTGAGTCTCCAAAAGCGAAATGTAGTTCGGACGTAATAAAAGCATACGTTTAAACGTCTCATAATATTTTAACATTACTTTTGCAGTCTTAAGTTTACACACACACACACACGTTCACTTTTACATTTCAGATGCCATCCACCACATCGAACCGGATAACGCAAGAAATTCAACACCTCGTGAGAAAGGTGAAGCCGGACATTGAGGAGATGGCGTCCGCCGAGACGACGACACTCACCGACATTCTGTGCCAGGCGGAAACGATCTTTCCCCCCTCCACGTTGGCATACACGCTCTGTCAGGATGGCAAACTCATAGCAAAGTAGATACCACAAGAATTAACCATTTTTTAAATATGCATATGCCATCATACGTATTTACCATCAATAATTTCAGATTCGTCCTTCACGCCGAGAAACTCGCGGACGAAGGAGAAAGCGAACTCTGCGTCAACATTTTAGAAATCCTGCAAGATATTTTGGAAAGAAAAGAGATCTCGACGGAACGGGTATGTACATAGGCGTTTTTTACGCAGTGGTGATTATGCTGATTTCTTTATTACTAACAAAATATTAAATTTGCATGGATTTTCATAGGCCCACCGCGTCCACGACCGATTATTAGAGAAGCATTTACGAAGAAATGAGCAATCCTTGTCCTTCCTCTCCAAGTTGAGCAGTAAGACGAAAGAGAGTACAAGTTCTTGTAAGTAATAAAGTGATAAAGATTGTTTAATCGATCGAGAGATTATCATTAAGTAATACTCTAGTTAACAAATAATAATCCAACTTAATCTTAATCCATCCATCCAGGGCAAGGGAAGCTGAGCGAGGAGCCGCACTACATGCTGGACCAACTCGGCGCATCCAGACTGGTCGTGATGCTCTTAACCAAGTTGGACAAGGCTCCAGACGTTCTCCAACAGTCGATTAATCTCGGGATTTTACTTCTCAGCGGAGAAACGGTCGAATTGCAGAGAAGTTTTTACAATCATCTCCTCTCGTGTGCGAAAAGTCAGAACTTTATGAAGGTGAAGATAAATAAATTCATTTCTTTTGTGGAGATGAGATAACCTGTTGAATGAGGAGATGAGCTATGACGCAAAGTTTGTCTTTTTTATGTGTATTTGGGAAATACGAGGCAATAGTTTTTGTCAACATATCACCCCAGATATCATGACACGTATTTATTTATTTATATGAACAGGTGCTAAACAACATTTTACGCGAAGTTGGTGAGGATTTCAGAGCCGTGGCGAAAACCAAGATTAGTGACATTGCTCGAGGCGACTCCAAATCTCACTTCCACAGGTATTGAAACTTGAATTAGTTCAATAGCAGATTTAATAATAATCATTAATAATAAAGAGAAATTATGAAGTATATAGCTTTAAACAAAAATACAGACTATCAATTTTAACGGATTAACAATTTTTGTTATATATTACAGCACTCTCACAAAGGCTAACTTTTCTCAGGGTAAAGCATTGTCATTTTGCAGACAAAGCCGTGCTGCTTACTATTTCTATTATATTCCAAAGACCAACTTTTCGGATGTGGGTTGATAAATTTAATCTTTTTGACCAGATGTCAACCGCATTCTTCGCGTCTCCAAACGAATGTCGGACGACATGTTGGCCGCAACTCAGGACATTGTTTGTGGGCTGAAAAGGATCGCTGAAATGAAAGGTTGGCAGAAATATATAACAATAAAGAAAGGAAGTAATTGTAGATTCGAATTCAAATATTTTTTTAGGAAGTGGATTTTCCAGCGACTTTGAAAGTCAAGCTTTAGACGAAGATGACGACGACTGGGCTCGTGTAGCAACCACGGTGCTGAGAAAGGATGGATATGCCATTTCCAGTTTGAAACACCCGAGAGAAAAATTGTTAGAGAGTTCGCTCCGATTTCTGCAACTACTTTGCGAAAACCATAACTTGGAGATGCAGGTGGGTAGATGTGCCAGAGTGGAGTTGTTGCAATTCTTGGAAAGGCAGCAAGACATGAATAATGTCGCCTTGCTGCTCATTCTATCCTGTTTTGCCACCCGGCTCGTTAAGATAAATAATAATAATAATAATGCACTCTGTCCGTTATCCCATAATTTCAGAGATATCTGAAAACTCAAGGCAACAAGACTCCGTACGACTTGGTCTCTCAAACCTTATACTTTCTCGACTGCATCTTCGACTCGAACACGGGCTCACCCGGGTTAATTGGCCTCCTTGTGGACGAGCACAATATCGGCCTAATAAATCAAACGTTACGAACGCTGACCGAGTTTTGTCAAGGTCCTTGCCTCGAGAACCAGAATGCTCTCATCCTCCACGAGTCGAACGCGATCGACATTGTGACCACTTTCGTAGCTCATGACATCACCCCGCTCTCCAAGAGGAGGATGGACCTCGTCATGGATCTCAAAAACCATGCGAGCAAGCTCGTCCTCTCTCTAATGGAGAGTAAAGACGGGATCGAAAAGTTTGAAAAGATTAGCAAAATGAATATTCGCAATATGGTGAGATTTGCATGTTTTTCGCGTGTCACAAGGGAGCGACCCACTTAGCATCACAGATTGATGAGTAATTTACAAGCTGCTCTTTCTTTTTATGCCGCACAGATTGAAATGATTGGAAAAGCTCACAGTTCGGATCGGGATGACTACGTGTATTTAATGAGGGGAAAAGCCGTAGCGGAGAAGCAGGTAAATTAGCGGGATGACTATTTTACGACACATTACACAAGTGAGTGATGAGTGATTAAATCTCCTCGCTCGCTCCGAATGCAGGTTGGCCACTCACTCTACATTTTGTGTCACCAACTCGCCCAACATGACAAAGCCGTTCAAATGGAGTTGGACCGTGCGGTCAGCAAACGGAGCTTGTATGCCGACGCGGTGAACTATTACAGTGACAGGACGGCGCAAATTGAGGTTGGGTGACACTAACAAGAGAAAGTCTGCTTTCATGACTAATTTAATAGCTGCTTTTCTCCGTAGTAAAGCAATTAATTATTAATTGTCAATCCCTTCGCTTTGCATGATTCGTTTTCCTCCACGTTTAGTATCATCATTCGTGCGACCATTAATTTCCTGGTTTTCTCTAGATTGTCAGACATGACGAGGAGCAGGAGTGCGAGTACTTGGAACGCGTCGTGTTCCCAATTCCACCCGTGTGCGCTTACTTGACCCAAGACACGAAGGAGAAAGTCTTTCGCAGCACGGAGGATGACGAGAAGGGGTCAAAAGTCACCAACTTTTTCGAACAACAAGGTGCCCTCATGTATGAGATGGAGTGGCAACAGAAATTGAGGAGTAAGACATGTTAACAAATTCATGATGATGGGTGTACTCATGTCAATCTGGTGTATAGTCTTCCCAGCCACAAATTAAAGCAAGATATGACATGTTTACAAAATTTGTTCCATTCTACAAAGTTGTAAATTGCCAAAAGTTTCTTAAAATCTGAAAACCTTAGTGTATAAACTGTACACATTTTTATCAGTCTGTGTCCCTTAACCCAGTTTCCTAGAAATTAACACGACGACATGATACTTCCAGTGAAACTCTGCTACATTTGTCTTCACTATTTTAAATTCCATTTCTGCAGGCATGCCGTTAAAATACAGTGTCAGCATGTACGAGTCCTTCCTGGGAAACTTGGTGTTCAACATGATTTTCATGGTGAATGTCGTCGTCGCATTGGGCTACCCGTTCCCCCCGGATGGTAAGTTATCACTCATCCATTGGCTAATCACTGAAAAACAATTATTAAATAGAATCTGAATACGTATACTGTTGCCGGACATGCAAGTTGATTTCCTCATGCTAATTTCTTCCTCTTCTCCTGCAGGCAATACGTCTCACTGGAGGATAATCATGGGTTTGCTATTGATCGTGTGTGGCCGAATCCAATTAAGAAAACCAGACGTGTCCGGTGTGCAAGCCAACACTTCGCTCGTTATCCTAATCATCATCACCCTGGCCGGACCGACGAGGACAATTCATGCTTTTGGATTGATCACGGTGAGCGAAATGGGAATGAAACGCGATATTATTCTGAATCAGGAGGAGATGTGTATGACTCGTAATTTATTCACAGGCTCTCCTAAAATCGGCTCACATAGCGTCGTATCAGTGCAAAAGTGGGAAATTTTCTAGGCCAAAGAGAGAATTGATCGTGGATGGGGAATTTCTCTATCACATCTTCGTCGGAAGTGTGTGCATCGCTGGGTTGACGATCCACTCCTTCATCTACTCTGCTCTGGTAAATGAGTGGCATTCTCCCGAAATGATATTGATGTCACTCATTAATATCATTTTGACTCCTCCGACAGCTTTTCGACGTCGCTTACAGGGAAGAAACTCTGATGAACGTGATCCGATCAGTGACCAGGAATGGACGCTCGATCATCCTCACGGCCATATTGGGTATCATTTTAGTCTATCTCTTCTCCATCGTGGGCTACATGGTTTTCCAGGATGATTTCATCGTGGAAGTCGATCCTCTCAATAAGACGGGTGGGTGCTTGTAAATACCATGGATGGATAAAATACAGTGTTTTGATCTCCGTTCTTCCCAGGGTTTGGATTTCCAGGACTGTTACACCCACAAAAAGACGAAGATCTGCATGAAGAATACAGCAGTCAAAATACAGGTTTTGTGAAGAAATCAACTTTTTATCATTGTCAAAATGTTTTCACGATTTTTTAAGACAAAATATTTTGACAGTTATAAAAAGTTAACTTCTACATAAAACCTGTGACTTCTGTATGTTCCATGCAGATTTTCGTCTTTTTGTAGTTGTACCCCTGGGAAGACCGGAGCTCAAAATACTGCATTTTGGCCAAATACTTTATGCATTAAGAAATTACCTGTTGCTCATGTACATATTTGCCCACCTTAACCTACACAGAGTACGGCATGGTAGCCAGCCTCGACAACGATGAGGACATGAAAGAAAACGTGTGCGACACTTTGCTCATGTGCATCGTCACCACGTTGAATCAAGGACTACGAAACGGCGGCGGGATCGGCGACGTTTTACGACCACCAAGCAAAACAGTGCGGTCATAATTAATTCAATTTTGATGCCATGAAATGAAACAAGAATTAAATTTTGTGCAGGAATCGACCTACACGGCTCGCGTCATTTACGACCTCCTCTTCTACTTTGTCGTCATTGTTATCGTGCTTAATCTGATTTTCGGTGTCATCATTGACACATTTGCGGATCTCAGGACGGAGAAGCAGCATCGGGAGGAGACGTTGAGAAACACTTGCTTCATTTGTGGTGAGAATTGAGTCGTTCCTTTTTATCGTCGTGACATTATTGCGAGAGATTCCATTCCATGAGTGAGAGACGCAACTGTTCTGTTATTATTGCCCTATTGATTTCCATCCTCTTTCCGACAGGTTTAAATCGGTCCAACTTTGATAACAAGGCTGTTACTTTTGAACATCACATCAAACGAGAGCACAACATGTGGAACTATCTCTACTTCATGGTTCTCCTCAAGACGAAGGACCCCACCGAGTTTACAGGGTCGGAGTGCTATGTGAGCAAAGCGTTGAAGGTGTGATTCTAAATATATAAAAAATGTTGAGAGTAGTTTTTATCGGGAAAAAGTGTCACGCTGTTTTGACTTTTGATTTCTTTGCAGGAGAGGAAACTAGGCTGGTTCCCGAGGTTGAGGACATCCTCGCTGAATTATAATCGGCGATGGACCGTGTCCACAGGACCGGGAAATAATGACGTTGGAGGTGGAGGCGAAGATAATGGGAAGTCATTCGCCAAATAAATACGAGGCAACGTGAGACATGCCGATTAACAGAACGTGTACCTGTGCAGTAGTAGAAGCGTAATGTAGTCGCAGAGTGGTTGTGTCTGCATGAAGTAAATAAATCCATGTTCAGCATTTATATGTATTTATGATTACTTTTTTGATTAATTAATCATTAAAAAGTCAGAGAACCAAAAACCAAAGTCTTTATTTTCTTGTCTAAAAATATATGAAATTTTGTTTTGTTTTCATCGTGATTTTGAAAATGAATAAAAAGTCATTCCAAGTTAAGAATAGTATAATTACTAATGATAATAAGTATGTTTTAATTGCGAAATAAAGTAATAAAAAATGTTCAACATACATATAATCATGATTCGTTATTATTGATGATTACAAAAATCTGTTGGAAAAAGCATGGCGTGATTTTGAGACTGTGCTGGTTCTCGAGGTTGAGGTCGTCCTGGCTAAATTATAATTGGCGATGGACCGTGTTCACACGACCGGGATATAATAATGTCGGAGGTGGGGCCGGTGGGGGTGAAGATATTGAAACATTAATAAAAGTCGTTTGCTAATAAATACGAGGCAAAGTGAGACCTTACGATGGACCATGAACAGAATGAGTAGTGGTTCGCAGAGATGTTGTGTGTGCCTGCCATGGGTGCCAGCTCTGCATGAAATAAATCCATGTTCAGCATTTGTATGTACATTTACTTTTTTTATTGGTTAATTAAATCAATTATTCAATTAAAAAGTCAGAAAGCCAAAATCCAAATTCTTTATTTTCTTGCTAAAAAAATATACACAATTTTGTTTTATTGTTTTAGTCGTGAGTTTGGAAATAAATAAAAAAAGTCATTCAAAATTAAGCATATGAAGTATAATTAGTATCAATAAGAATTGTTTTTTATGCGAAATAAAGTTTAAAAAAATGTTAAACATACATATAATCATGATCCATTATTTTTTTTAAGATGTACGAAGATTATGAAAATCAGATGATTATGAAAATGTGGAAAATTCATAGCATGATTTTGGAATAGACGCATAATCTCATTGTTTCCTTTTTTATGTGAAGCATTGGGGGACCTCAGACACACTAAAAAATCGTCGCTTAGAATTTCGCTTCGTTTTTCGCTTATCGATAGTATGACCAAAAAGATGAAAATTGCAAAATTTTGTTCCGACTGGAGCTAACCGACCTTAACCCCACTTCTGAGAGAAGTTTCTGTTCGTTTACCCGGGAGCTCGCTTATCAGGAAGTAAGCGAAAAACGAAGCGAAATTCTAAGCGACGATTTTTTCGTGTGTCTGAGGTCCCCCATTATGTGATTGCTGACCACCCAGAATTCGGACCAACTCCGCCAGGGCGGTGTGAGCACCTATCGTGTCCGGCTGCCCGCCGGTGCTACTCATGCACCTACTTGAACTGATTTTTATCACGTCGTAGATTTTTCATCATATTATTCCAGAATTTTCTTCGTCAGCAAAGACAGCGTGGTGCTTTTCCTTCCAGATCATTCCACCTCCACGACTCGGCTCCACACCTCGTCGACCGAAAGTCAGAGTCCAGTCCATTTGGCCAAATCACTTTCAGGTCGTCCTCCGTTCGACGATGGGAACTTTTCACGCCTCCTCCCACTGGAAACTTCTTCCTTCTTATTTGGAAAGCATGACCCCCTTTAACACTGTCGTTAATTATAATCGACTGATAGAGGGGGTCGTGTTTTCCCGATAAGAACTCGCTACCGGACGGCTCCCTCCTTCATCGCCTTGTTTTCCTGTCGCCTTCAATCTCCTGGCGCTTGCGAGACGATGAGACCGTGCTGCAGATTTCCAATTTCCTCTTCATTAATCTGCTGCGCCGTCTCATTGTCTTGCTGGCGCTACAATCGTCGAAGGAAGTCAGCCCAATCTCAGCAAGTTTTCATCTCGCTCGTGGCGCTTGCGAGACCGTGGGACTGTTGTGTTTATTTCCTTCAATAATGAACACAACCCTTTCATGGTCTTGCTGGCGTTACAATCGTCAAGGATGGAGACCTGCGCGCCTTCAAGTCCAGCCCTTGCCAGTCAGATAAGTTTTCCTTTCGGTCGTCATCAACCTAGCTAGTGAGAATTTGTTCCTCTTTGGACCAGCTTACTATTTTTTGTAGTAACTGGGCCTTAGAGGTTCACCTTTTTGCTAGCACTACATCGTGATGATGGATGCCCCTTTCGTAAGATTTAATTACTTAACAATACTAGATCATTAGTATCAATACGCTTTAATACAACAATTCTTTAATCATGTTTCACTGTCAAAATAGCATTGGGTTGTTTAAATAAGTATTTCACATGTATATCTCTATCAATCATATGTATGTACACATTATATGCGAGTTCATTTGTAGATATCAATAAAAATAAGAGGATACTATAAATTTAACCATTTAATAATTGTACAATTTGGCTCGGAATGTTGCACACCATCACACTTCGTATTTCACCACGCACTGCACTGCACGCAATGAATGCACCTTTTTTTCGGCATGGGGTGACCCTTCATTCATCGGAGCACCACGGGGTAAAAAAAGGGCTCTTCCATCCAACCACGTTCCTAAGGATGGCATAGTCACTTGACAACAGGTGGCTCGTAGGGTCACAGTAGTCCTAATAATACTAAAGATTGACGTCTCAAGTTATTTGTGATCTCATTGTCCCTCCGCGTCCGCCCACTTGGTCTCGATTTGACATCACGAATGGGCTATTTCTGTCACAACTATTCGTCAGAGGCCGGTGTGACTGAAATGGTGAAGATTGGGGGCGAGTTGGTCGACGGGGAGTGACAATGGAGGTGTGGGGGAGGCGGTGGTTGGTGGTGATTGACACTGCACTTTGTTTGAATGGACTCCTTGGAACCGGACGAGTGCATCTTTTGGGCCCGTTGCCACTGACCGTCGTCGTCACAACCGTCCAACCAGTACGTTTTCATGGCTCCTTTCCCTTTCAGTAAGACCTGAAAGAGAAAGCTATGATATCATCATTGGCTAATCATAACCTCGCTAAAAAGCTAACTTCCATTTACAACTGCTGATCGATAAGGTTGGTTAAGTTATCTGAATGTACAGATCTGTATGTACTGACCTCTCCTCTGGGCGAGAGATGAAATCCTGTCGCTTTCTCGAGAGCGTCTGCAGTCGTACTGGAGACGTGAATTTTCAAAGCTGAAATAGAAATTGATATGTTGGTTATTAGTCTCATCGTGTCATATCATTTCTTGTGTGTATGTACACTCTTAGAAAACTGGTATTAAATCATTACTGGCCAGAGTACGTATATGACTCTACCGGCACGGTAATCACGAGCATTACCGTTCAGTAATGTTGTGCTAATTACAAAAGGACCACTAAGAAAGAAACTACTACCAATCCGGTAGGAAGTTATCACCAAATCAATACAAATACAGAGTATGTATATATCTGACAGATTTTTAACAGTGTAGCAGGAAGGGCAAGACGGAACTTCACGTCCAGCCAAGTTTCTCATAAAATCTCAAATTCCCCAAATACCAAATCTTAACAGAAATTACTACAACAATATTGAGTTGATATATAAGTGCACAAAATTTGTACTCACGTGCCCCAGAACTTTCCATTCTTGACGAGGTATTCACCGTGTCGCCAAACAAGCAGTAGTGTGGCATCCGGTGTCCTACAACTCCGGCACAAATTGGTCCTGTTACAGAAAGAGCCCAATAAGAAAGACACCAAATACGCCATATGACACATATGTACGGTGTATGTGTAAACACAAAGAAATAGTTTTTTCCTCCAGTAAAAAAAACCTATTCCTGGGGAAAACTTTTTTCCCCGGAAAGAGCGTCCCATCAAAAAAATTCTTCAACTTTGCCTACTCTCTTGGAGGATATGATATCATGATTGAATTTCTCTGCACGAAGCACCAACCTGTATGAATTCCTATCCTAATTTGCAGTTGTTCATCAGGCAAGTGTCCGATCTCAAAGTTTTTTACGGCGTCTAACACGGCCAAGGACAAGTAGGCAATTTCCGTCACGTGCAGATCCCCGTTTCGTTGAGGGGCTCCAGACACGACGAGATACGCGTCCCCAATAGTTTCCACCTTTTAGTGTAATAATTAAGGAGAAAAACAAAACAGTTGAATATTTATCCAAAAATGTCGCGATAAATTACCTTGTAAGCATCAAAACCGTCCAAAATCCCGTCAAAAGTTCCGTACAAGTTGTTTAGAAAATCAACAACCTAGAAATTATAAGAAAATTGTACTAATTTCTTATTGATAATTGCAATATGCAAAACAATGCATACATCAGAATCATATAACCATAAATAAAACGTGGAAAAATTTGCTTCTTTTTAAGACACACTTCTACACGTAGTGCCAAATAGTTAGCCAAACATTTTGAAACCATTGGATTTAAATTGCATCAATTACTCAGTGTAAAAAGTTGTGCAGAATAAATATGTCACAGCCTGGCCTGGCCTGTCACAAACCTTGAAACGAGTCCGTCTCAGAGGACCGAATTGCCCCAGAGGAGCGATTTGTGTCCCAAACCCATTGATGAACGGATCGAGTTGAGATTTCTCGCCACACACACACGCATTCGCCTTTATGTTATCAACGTTTGAAGTAAATTACTCCCTGAATTGGTTGCCTGTATTTATTTATTTATTTATTGACCCTTTTAGCCCCGTGTCTGCCTATCTATCCACCTGTCTCTTATGTAGCTCAACGTGGTGGGCAGCGTGTGTGTGTTATTGGTAGGCAGCAAGTCCATGGAAATGAGAGAGAGAGACAAAGTAAATGGAATCTGGATAATTACTGCTGAGACATACGAGAGGAGGAGGAGGAGGAGAAAGCAGCAAAGCCATGCACATCGTGGGCATCTCATCATTACGACAGAATGGCAAGGAATTAACGAGATCAACGGAAAGTTCAATTAAAAGTTGGGCCCAAAGTGGGAAGCAGCAGAAGCAGCAAATGAATAAAAACTTGTTTTGCTTCTGACTTAACTCAACTGTCTGATTTCTCGGAAAGAAGAAGTGTTTTTGATGATTTTCTGCATCACTAGTTGCCCCGCCTACTCCGTACACACGGTCCTCTTATCCGACCAGGGTTAGTTAGCCAGACTTTGTTGGGTGAGCATTGTGTCTCACATCGCATCACACGGAAGAATCAATGTTCTCTTGTGATAGAAGAAGATTCCTTCTTCTCTATCACAACAAATCTAGATTAACATTTCTCTTCTCTGCTTCTTTGATGCACTTGAAACTAATTTTATGAGAAGCGGCATCGGCGGAAGGCAGAAAAGCCTAATCTCACGAGGAAAAGGAGAGACTATGAATGCATACAGACAGACATAACAGGGAGGGGAAAAATACTTGGTCAAAATACAGTATTTTGAGCTCCGTTCTTCCCAGGGTTTAGAGTTGTAGGGGTGTTACACCCACAAAAAGACGAGAATCTACGTGGAGCCATACGAAAATATAGGTTTTGTGAAGAACTTAACCTTTAATCGCGCTCAAAATACTTATTTTTAGAAAATCTTCAAAGCAAATGATTCTGACAGCGATAAAAAAGTTAATTTCTTTACAAAACCCATATTTTCGTATGCCTGTTGCTTTCTCCACCTAGATTTTCGTCTTTTTGTGGGTGTAACACCCCTGGAAATCCACACCCTGGGAAGAACAGAGCTCAAAATACCGTATTTTAAAAAAGTATTTTGGTCATCTCTGATATGTACATAAGCCCGGAGGGAGATGATGAGACTAAATCCACTGGTAACTCTATATCCCATTTACTATAGATAACTACTACTCACTTTGAACTTGAAGTTCGCCTCATCACTAAAATAATATGCTTCACTTGTACGAACGAACCTGTATCGGCGTCGACTGTGCACAGATGGATGTGAATCCGACAATGTCGCTGAAGTAGATAGTGACTGCATCAAACGATTCGGGGACAACGGTCTCTCCCCGCAAAAGCTGCTCCGCAACTTGTCTGCGTGTTAAGGAGTTTAATTTACTCAAAATTACACAACTTTTCGACATGGAGAGAGAGAGAGAGAAAAGAGAGAGAAAACGTACCGTGGCAGGACTTGGTAGAGGAGATCCTTAAAAAGTTTGGATCAAATTTAGCCATATTTTTACATCATTTTTCTATATTTTGGATTAATTACTTCCGAACGCCGTTTCTCCTGTTCCAATTCTCTGGTCTTATCTTCCACGAGAACTTCCAAGTGGAGGGCATGCTGTTCGAGACGGCGTAACAAGTCGTCCACCAGACTGACGGTGCCTGCTCCCCTGAAGAATAGTCAATCATTTAGGTGCACTTTTCCATGAAAAATGTCGCTTTAACAAGCAGGTCACATATTTATTCAGTGTCGTGGTGGCAAAGTAACCTTCGCATGTCGAACACCCCAACGTGACCGTGCATCTTAAAGAATTGAATTTCTTCAAGATCTTTCCATACATAACTTACTTCATTAATCTTTTAAGGATGGTTTTGATCGAGGAGAAATCTGGGCGGTCGTCCGGACTTTGTGCCCAACAGTTCTGCATTAAATTCCGAACTTCAACAGGTCCCGTTTCCTCCGTGATTTCGGGACGGAACGGTGGGTCGGATGAGGCAGCTACTTGGCCAATAATTTCTAAGGGGGACACATGAGATGTACGTACAATGGATGTCTTACTTATGGAGGTCTCCCAACGTATGCTACCCGATTTTGGTCAAATTAGTGTCAATCGATCGCAGATTTGATTAACATGAAATTTGCGAAAGACACGATCTGCCAATGGGCATGTTTGGCAGAGATATTTGCATCCAAAGAGGAGAAAGTTGACAAATTATACACTTTGCAAATTTACTGCGCTATTTCTCCTCTTGCAAAGTCTATAATTTGTCAGCTTTCTCCTCTTCGGATGCAAATATCTCTGCAAAACGTGACCATTGACAGATCGTGTCTTTCGCAAATTTCATGCTACTTAGATTTGCGATCGATTGGCAACTATTTGGTCAAAATCGGAAAGCCTACGCTGGGAGGCTTCCATTGTTAGCCGTCACATGTAATTGCAGGATTTCCTTTAGATTTTTTCCAATTTCTTCCTTACCTTCCGGACTGAGGGAGTGGAAGGTGGAGTAGGGCAACGCTCTCAAGGCCACCTCGTACAAAATAATCCCAAAGCTGTACACATCCCCCTTGAGGGACACGCGCTCCGTGCTGTTCGTAGCCACTAAATGTTCAGGAGAAAGCCAGAGCATTTCTAAAGGAAGGAAAGATCCACCTTTTACTACGAAATTGGGCAATGTTTATCCCGGAAATTGCATAATATTATGTACGAACGAACTTAAATATCTGTCGGCATCGAGGGGCTCACACTTTTGAAAGCTGAGGATCGTGTGGAGACTAAAATCCGTAATTTTGACGACAAATCTTGCATCCACGAGACATTTGGAGGATGAAAGGCGCCCGTGCGGACCGATATTGGAGTGGAGAAAGTTCATGCCCTAGATAAACAGAGAAGTTATGGGCGTAATCACGTCGAAAGCGGTGCAACCGAAATTTTACGGTGTGTTTGGTTTAGCAAAAAAAAAATTGCGAAATATATATTGCGAAAAATATTTTCCAAAAAAATCCACATCCCAATTTTCCTATATAAGCAAATCTGATTTTTCGTATCAACCCAAAAATCTAAAAGTTACTTTACTCCACTCAATTGGCAAAGTATTTAACGTGAGTACGCCAAATATGGTGGCTGAGGAGTGAGCCCAAGCTTCGCAAGTGTCGGAACTAGTGTCACTCACTCAGTCAGGGGTGAAAGCAAGCGTAAAAAGAGGCAAAACCATACATGAACAATGTCGGAAATGAGTGAGAGTCTGAAGGGCCAGTCCAAGTGGATGTGCACGTTGAGCAGGACGTCTCTCAGCGATCCTCGAGAACAGTACTCGGTGAGGAAGAGGATTTGGTCATACTTTTCCGACATGCTTTTCGAGTCGGACGAGCTCAGACATATGCCAACGAGACGGGCTACATTTTCATGCTGTAAATCCCGCACCTGGAAGTACGTGTGAGGACATAAGTTCAATCCTAAAACCACTCTTAATCAGGTCAAGTGCATGTTTGGCATTAGCTCCGAGTAGGTAAACACAGATTGTGGAGTGGAATTGAAATCCAATCCTGAATCAGAGACCAAACCTACCTGCCGGATCTCGGAAATGATATGCTTCGTAAACTCGATCCGTTTGAAGAGCGTGATTCTTCTGAGAGCAACTTGAACACCCTGTAGCGCAGAATTCAGTTAGTTAGTGTTGCCCTCACAGTTTATTAAAGGTGTCCAAGCGCGGACTCACTTTATAGATCGCCGTAGGGACGAAGGTAACCTGTCCGCCGACGCCCGTCCCCAGGGACAGGGAACCTCGCGAACTTTCCTTCTCCTCCGTGGCCGGTCTGCTGGCTGACTAATCGAGAAATCATTAAAAATTCATTATTCTCTGCCTCCCATCCAAAACAGGATTCTCCATCCGCCAGCCAGCCAGCCTCTCTTTTCTCCGTCGGATTTGCATACCATGTGCATAACAACGCTCGTCGTGGTGAGCATTGTGTGAAGAGAAAGCTTTGTCACGGTTGATCGAAACCGTGGCGAAGGCTTGTCGGCTTTAAGATGTGGACAGGGTTCGCATTCCGGTACGAGTTTTTTGTCGCGTAGTGTTTGCTACACCTATTTTTTGATACTTGTAAATTTAAAGGTGACAAAAACACCCAATTTTTGAAGTAATTACAAAAACATGCAGAGTACATATTTGTGAAACCCTGTATTCACAAATTGCTCCATATCTCATCCTCCTCCCATTTCGGGGATACATACTGTGTGAGATAAGGTATTTTTACCTTGGGGCAAAACGAGACTGTGAGACGACTCGACGACGGAGAAAGTAAACACGGACGACGGGAAACTTTCTTTCCACACTTTGCTCTCTAAAGATTCCTCCACTTGCGTTCGCTTACCTTGGATTCGCCACTGTTGTCGACGGTGATTTCTTCAGGGACTATTCTCCACTTGGTGCTCGAAGCCGCCTCAACTTCCCTCACTCGTCTAAATATAAATGATTGTCAACACATGGAGGAGATTACGGGAGGATTGTGCAAAATAAAATGTCATCTCCATTTATTTTACTCGGGAATTTTCCATGTATAACAAATAAGAAGTACAATACGTAAATTTCTCCCCGTCCAATTATCAAAAACTCGATTTGCGTCATGTTTTCGTTTAAAAGTGGGACTTTTCGTATAAAAAAAGAACCTACGACAAATCGGTAAACACGGACGGATTGGAGTCCTATTTTCCTCGTGATTGGTTTGAAAGTCTGGTTTTAATTTATATTCTGATAGAGATATAAAGCGTGGTGGATTCTGAGAATATCAAAGCTCAGGGTTTCGCTGTGGTTGCTTAATCATTGTCCAAAATCGGTTTTAACCAGTTTTGGCCAGTGAATTTTGCACGTCCAAATTGTCCAAAATAGAAAATGGGGTAAAATGTTAAACGTCGTTCTATTGTTGAATTTTTAGATAATCTGTTGACGTATATGGAATCTCCCATTAATTTCGACCATTTTGGTGTGTAATTCGGCCTGATTTAGAGAATTTCTCAATTTCTCATAAGGAAACATATTAAACAAAAGTTGTTCCAAATTTTGTCGTATTACAGACACACCGAAAATGCTCAAATTAATAGGAGATTAGTACATATCTGTGCATAGATTTGCAAAAAATCGTTAATAACTAACTTGTAGCATTTTGCCTCATTTTCCAATTTTGAACGCTTTTGGACATTTTGAACAGTTTTGGACCATGCCCAAATCCCAAAGTACTTTAGTACATCGAAAACGAACCACTACTATCTCGGAGAGAGAGAGTGGATAGGTGGGCAGGAGTACAAATGTTGATTTGCATGCGTGGAAAAATAACTAAATCGTAGGCAGAGGAGAGGGAAATTAATTGGAAGGATATGTGGAGGACGACTTACTTGTACACGTAGAGAACACCGATGGTTATGAGCATGAGGAAAATTCCAATTATGCCTGCAACGTAGGGCAAATAGAAGGACGAGGCTCGAGCTGCGATACACTTTTCATCATTTCCGGAAAATCCGCACTCCGGGATCTGCAACAAGTTATATTTTTATTCCCAACAATGTCCACGGACGAGAAGAAGGAGAAGAATTAAATGGATGGGAACAAGAAGAAGAAGAAGAAGGAAATGTAAAAAAATTCAAAGTGAGCTTAACCAGAATAATTTAATTTCGTGCAGAAAGCAAGTCTTTCTCTAGCGAAGAAAGGCTTCCTACGTAAGTATTTAAGCAGGGTTTCGTTGTGGTTTTAACCACGGTCCTAAACAGACGTCCAAAACCGAGTTTAACCAGCTTTGGACACCGAATTTTGACGTCTAAAATGTCCAAAATAGAAAGTGGGGCAAAATGTTACCAATTTTGGGCATTTTGGACGTCCGAAATTATTTTACACAGTTTTGGACACTTAGTTTTGGATGTCCAAAACGAAACACTGTATCTATTGACCAGTGAACGTCGTAAAAGATTTTTGAAATTTCACAAATTTAAGAAATTTTCGAAATTAGAATTCTATTCCAGTTTGTAAAAAGATAATTTCATGACTATTTTCGTGTAATTTCACCCTCGCCCATTTTGACGTGAATACACCCTCATGATGATGATGCAAGTATGCATGCAGATAAATTTGCATTTTTAGTAAAAACAAGACTGGATTATTGCCACGACGAGGCATGAATTGATTAAAGTATCATCACAGCGAACGAATGAATTGGAATGAATTTGTCGATATTTTTTCTCTCTCTTTACTTTCTCTCACTTTTTCTCATTGAGATTGAAATGGGTCCCATTCTCCTTCATGATATCTTTAAAGTTTGAAATTTGGGAGGACTTGTTGAGATACACACAACTCGCGACTCTTAGCTTTTAGGGTAGGGAAATAATAATGGGCTCACATCGGGAGGTGGTCCATTTCCTCCGGGCCATCGAATATGCCTGTTCGCCACGACGGAGAGCCCTTTGTGCGACACGAAATGTGCCACTACCTGTAATCGAACACCGAGGAGCCATTACTATCTCCACAAACAGCAGCCATGTACCACGAGCTCCTCTCAAAACACATTATCCCCGACGGAATCATCAACATATGGCCTCGCGGAGATGTAATCAAACCTTAAAAGCATTCCGCCACAGAACAACAGAAAACATTGATTTCACTTCAACGGATTTAGATTTAAATCAATCCGATCTGCTGAAGAAGGACAGAAGATTGACTCGTAATTTCTCGCATATGAACTCGTAGTGACACGACGCGATGATAATACCGTCTCTGTCAGCATTAGTGTCACGTTGACACGTTGACACTGCCGCCACTTTGGAGGGATAAAGATTTACATGGCACTTCACCTCAAACCTTCCCGTGGTTGGATTCATGTCAAGGATTGAAAACTCGCCGTCACGGTCCCCGTTCTCGTCGATTGTTACGTTCCCAGTGATTCCTAGAGTAAAAGGACTTAAAAGGTGTTACGGGTAAAACAAAACCAGTGCTTCGTTTCCGGCGGGTTTGCTACATTTCTTGCACTGCAAAGCAAGAAATGCGAGGTGCAAGAAACTACAAGAAACTGCATGAAATATGCACCATCCAGCCACTTGCAGTCGGTGAGAAGTAGTTTCTTGCGCCTTGCATTTCTTGCAGGTCAAAATAAAAAACACCACAAGAAACCACTTTCTTTCCCTTATTTCTTGTGGTTACTTGAACCCGAAACACTGAACGAAACCTGACTTTTTTTCCCCACCTTCAAACGACCTATTCCACATCCGCTGGGTGACATGTTTCCCATCCAGCATGTCCCCGTGCTCCGTGAGTGTCTCATTTAACGCCATTCCGAGCAGCATGACACCGTCGTAAAAAGCTCCAATGAAGAAATTGACCTGGGTAAAAGCCTCCCGCCGTGAGTATGGTCATGGTTTAATTAAGACGGTGATAATTACTATTATGCAAATGAGTCTAACCTCCTCATCGTCCGAGTACGAGGTGGAGTTGAAGGCCAGTTGGGCCTTGTGTTTCACCGTGCGGGAAAAGTTGCTCCATGTCGGGGACTTCGGCATGAGGAGGGAGATCGTCAGCAGGGCGCGGTACGATTCCTTCGCCGCGAGGTCGTTGGCGTCACCCTTCTGCCAAAAGTTCGTCTCACTTGGCTTGTTCTGAGGACAAAATGTATGCATTTCACTTTCTCCACGTTTTTCTGACATGGATGAATTTTGTTTTGCACGAATTGCACGAATTGCATGTGTTATTCAGTTTATCGCTATATAATTTGCATATTCGTATCATTATGCAAACTACGAGGAGATATAGTTATACGAGTCTAGCCTAACTTTGCGTTTTCTAAAATTTACTGGTGACATAATTTCAGTTATATAATGCAATGCAATGCATACTCGGTAATTACATTTGCCCCGCTTGTTTACTCGTCTTTGTCATGTCAGCCAATCCCTTAAAAAATTAATGAACAAGCCATGTCTGAGAGGAACAATGGTCCCCATTTTTTTAGTCTGACCTTGAACAACTCGACGTCCAAGAATGCCCACTCTCCGGACGTGTACCCTCTCGCGTGCGCTTTCAGCATGAACTCCCGCACCAAGTTTTCTTGCAAGGACAAGATCACGACTGGGATAAAAATAATAGTTTATAATTAGAACGACGCGTTATTAAGAAGAAGAAAAAGTTTTCCCTGCAGAAAATTAATCAATTTTCAACCAGACGATGAATAATTAGTTTTAGAAAAAGTTTGAAATTTACTTACTTCTCGCGTGGGCCGAAATTTCGCTGAGTGCTTCGTCCATGTCGGGCAAATGGGTGTCGTCAATGTCCTTTCCGTACACCTCGTAGTCCGCGTCTTTCAAACCGTTGATCAAAATTCGGCCTAATTGATCGTTAGTTAGTTAGTTAAGCGTCAGTGAGCAAGCGTGAATAATGGGTAATTCTATTATTATTCTTTTTAATATAAAGTGCATCCTTCGTACCGACGGTGAAGGAGAAGAGATCGTTTTTAGAGTACACGACGGCCAAATGTTTCCACTCGAACTTTTTGCAAATTGCGTCGAAAACGAGTTTAAGGCGACATTGGCAATACGAGAGTCTCGTCAGGGTTGGGTAGTCGGTCTTGTCGCCAAATACGCCCTGTGAAAGAGACAGAGGGAACTGTAGACTATGCAAATATTGTGTGAGGTAAGTTAAGTGTTTAGGTTTAAATTTGCATTTGGACAATGGCGTGGAGAACATGTCTAAAAGTTTGGGTGAAAGTAAGCAAGCAGGAGAAAGTGATGATAAGAGAACACGACCCATTTTACAAGATGCGATCTCTGTCTCTCTCTTTCTCTTTGTGTGGCAGTGGCCTCGGAAGCGTGGGGACAATGTCCTCGCATTTATTCGATGTCCCCATCATCTGCCCATGTTATACAAACCCCTTCCCCAAATGTCCCCGCATGTTCCCACGGCTTCCGCGGCCACTGTTGTGCTGTAAGGAATATGAGATTGTGTTTTACTTTCGTTGCGGTTGATAAGCAGTGTGCTACTCGTCGTCGTCGCCGTGATAAATAAGTCTGAACGACATTTTATTATTAAAAGATAGCAAAGTCTCGATTCTCACTTTTTTGGCGAGTTTCCGAATTTTTATAAAAACTGCAGTGAAATGTTGTTATTATGAGATGCATGCATGTTTTTCTTAAAGTTATGGAAATTTTGACCTCGAAATACACAATATCTGTATATTGATAAGAACGACAAGGGGTCGGAGAAATGCAGAGACAGGAAGTGTCACAAAATTTTGGGGGTTGAATATATAAAAATCAAATTAATACTGTCGTAGCAGATGGAAACTTCCTTTCACATTGTCTCAAGTAACTTTATTAAGTGGGGTCACCCGCTTATTGTGATCGTTTTGTCCGTCCGTCTGTAAACAGGATATCTCCAAAACGACTCAACACAATCAAACGCTGTTTTCGCTATAGTGCTTCTAATTTTTAGTTCTCGATTGACTTCGATAATGGGCTCAATCGGCCCACCCCCAAAGCGCGAGGGGGTCTGGTCCAAAATTAAATTAAATCTCAATTTTCATATGGTGTGTCATTTAAAGGAAATTTTACAGCGAAATCAACGCAGTAAATATTTTTGATCTCCAACGAACCCATGGCCCTGAGGATGAGGTCAAAGGTCATAAATCAGATCATTTTCTTATAGTGTCATTTTAAATTTTACTGTATGCCGTCACTTTTTTATGTTCGTTTGAGACGCTTTATTTATTCATTTAGTTCCCCACCAGACAATTGTTTGCTTGCGCATTTCATATTAAGAACGTGGTCTCAAAATGTGTCCCTATATTCCATTCTGCCGACACCAAGCTACCTTTGATTTCACCTCAATAAATCAATTACACATTCACATCTAACTAAATAATGCTGCCACGACGACCACCTTACACTTAAGAGGAAGCTGTTTGCCTCCTATAAAATAAATCCTAATTTACTCCTCCGACGATCCGATCCAAAAAGCAAAGCAATCCGAGTAACAGCTTTGCTTTTTTCCACAAAGAAGAGAAGAACCAACAACATGGTTGCATTTCCACATTGCGTGTCCTCCTACAGTGTCCTCCTTCGTACGGCTGGTAAGAAATTATTTTAGCTCAGAGTCATCCATCCAGGGTTCGAAAAATGAAATTTTCACAATTTTTTTGTGTAAGAAATTTGATGCGGTTTGAATTCGAGGTTTTTCGAACAACTGGTTAATTGCGTTTTTCTAACTGATAATTAAACACGTAGGATGAATATCAATGAAGCAAGGTTCGAAAAATGAGATTTTCAGAATTTTTTAAGTTGGATTTGATACGGTTTGAATTCGAGGTTTTTCGAACAACTGGTTAATTACCTTTTTAACTAATAATTAAACACATACGATGAATTTCAATGAAGTAAGGTTCGAAAAATGAGATTTTTAGACTTGTTTTAAGTTGGATTTGATACGATTTGAATTTGAGGTTTTCGACCAATTAGTTAATTAAGCTGTTACCTAACTAATCATTACATACGCGAGTCATAAAAAATCACAAAAAATGCAAGCATTCTTGTCCCCGAATGTGACTAGATTTCTGAAACCCTGTTGTGCCAGCATCTTCTTTTCCTCCTTTATAGCTTGCATCGCATCGCATCGCATCGCATCTCGCACGAGAAACTTTCCCCGTGTTTGTGTGTGTGTGTGTGTGTCTCAAAGAGAAAGCTGTATCTTTTCTGGTGGAGAAAGTGCACATGGTGTGTTTTGCACCATGAAGACCAGAAGACCGGACTCTGCTCACTCTTTGAACGACAATTAGAATTATAGGGTGGTGAAATTGGATTGGAATCACATTTACGAGACGGCAGGACAAGGACTTATTGCATGTCGACCTATAAAATAAAATCCGACATGGCTCCGTATTTACTAATTGGTTGGCTGACTAACGCTACGAAGCGAATATTGCTCCGAGTTTACTTTGCCATCATAAACTTTTGATTGAGCCATGACTGACCAAAATTGGGCTGGAATGTGGAGCTTAAATTTAAATAATTACTCTTATTGCTCAACTTTACGACGACGACGGCGAGAAGGAAGAAGGCAAGAAAGCAGATGGTTTGGCAGTCGCTCTCATTCATATGTCACATCCAGGGCGAGAGGAAGTTAGTTTTTGGCGACATTGCTGCTTTTCCTGCTGTAAGTTTGCCCATATAGTTAGGGTTTCGGTGTGGACGTCCAAACCCTTTTTGGACACTGTCCAGTCCAAAAGCGTCCAAAATAATTTTGGGCGTCCTAACTGTCCAACATTGGAAAATTGGGCAAAATGTTACTTTATTAACGAATTTCTTGCAAATATATGCACAGAATTTCCCATTAATGCTGAGCATTTTGGTGTGTATAATACCACGAAATTTGGAAGATCTTGTGTTTTCACAGGTTTTCATATGAGAAATTAAGAAATTTTCTAAACCATGCCTAATTACACACCAGAATGCTCAAAATTAATGGGAGATTACATACACGTCAACGGATTAGGGAAAGTTTCAATAGCAAAGGACGTGTAACACTTTCCCCATTTTCTATTTCGGGCACTTTTGGACATTTTGGCCGTCCAAGATTCGGTGTCAAAAACTGGTTAAGACCCGTTTTGGACTGCTAGTTTGGACAGTGTGAGTGATTAAAACCACAACGAAACCCTGCACAAAGTGTGTCCCACGATACATACACACGCTCTCGAAGGGGAGGAATGGAAGCCAACCATAATAATAATCCGGTCTTACCGTTGTATTAATTTTAAGTTTCTTATTAAGTCCTCCCATCAGTTTGTCACCCGCAACCTCGCTCTCCGTCGACGGTGGCTGTTTTTCGAGGGGAGAGAAAGATGAAAGGCGTGGTGGTACAAGAAAGAGTAATGAATTTTACGCTGTTAATACAACAAGAGAAGAACCTGACCTGATCTCCCAGTCCTGTAACAATGGGTATGTTCCAGTACGCACTCAGACGAGCCACTGAAAATAAATGCACCCTCGTAAATTCTTAATTTCGCACATGCATTATTTAGCACGGGGTGCGGTTATTCATGTCAAGCAAGCAAGCAAACATGGTGTAAAGGGCGGCGTGGTTTTTGAAATTTCTATAATACTCCCGGAATCATTTTGTAAAGTAGAATGACGTAAAATTTGCCAAATTTTTTAGCATAAATATATCATGATTTTAACAAATTCGGGTATGAAAATTAAGTGATTTTTGTTTACAAGTGTTCTCTCGTTTTGCAAAATAATTCATCCTGCCAAGTCTGCCTTATTTATTCTATTGCAAATTCTACTCCCTGACATGAGTAAGCCTATTACTCATTTACTTATTTATGAGGGAAACGTGACGTGCCACCACTGCCGGACTTTTTTGGTCTAATTAATCCCAACAAGTCTCTCTATCTTGCTTTGATGGCGGAATTAATTAAGCATTCGGGTGGAATTTTTTAGAAACAAATTGGAAAAAGACCACCATCGTACCAGGCTCCAAAGCGAATCCGCAAGCCGGTCCGATGAAGGCAATCACGTTGGACTTGAATCTCATGTCTGCAGCCAGTCCGGGCGTCAAGTTGTTGTCGCAGGATGGGTAGCTGTGTGTGTGCATGAGACGAATGCATGGCTCAGAGTTTTTTATATACGTAGAAAATTGACCGGATTATTTTTAAACCTCACCTGTTTTGCACTTTATTCAGCCGAATCTTGTGAGGACGGAGGTAAACTTCATTCACCGTTTCAAGCGCCATGTCGACAGCGGGGGCGCATTTTTCGAGGTCGAAACTCGACCCGGTCCCAGACACGAGGAGGACGCCGACATTGTAATGCGTGAAGCCCTGCTCCCACTCACCCACCCAGACGAGGTCACTTTCTCCCAGATTTTCCCCACCACCCGAACCACCACCCCCACTGATAATTACCACGCGATCTTTCGGGTTGCGGACGCGGCGGTGATGATACGGTTTACCCACGCGTGGCTCGAAATCACCACTAAAATGTGACGGGGGCGAAGAGTAGTATGCAAACTGTGACGGTATTGTTGACTCTTGGCTCTCATCGTCGAGATACTTGTCGCGAAAAACATGGCCTTCCGTCGACACAAAAACTGCGAGGAGGATGAGAAGCAGTGGGATACGTGATGTTAAAATGGAAGAACGCGTCACTCTACCACTAGGACAACTTTTCTCCATGTTTTCTAAATCAGGAAAGCGGAGGATAGTGGTGGAGAAAGTAAGTCAAACTACTGCAACCAGCAGCCACCATGGTTCGTGGAGAAATGAGCTCTTCTCGGATGTGAGATCCCGTTGTATGTACTGTGACTACATCCATCCATCCACTAAACCGGTACTCCGGGACGACGGACTTGAAGATGACTCTGATAGGACGCACACGTTCTTCTCTCGCGCAGCAGGATGGCCAAGTTGCTTGGCTCGCTGGTCTGTGGTGTCCTTAAATGTGAAGATAGTCGAGTAGGCGGATCTCCATGTGTCTCGGCACAAAAGGACGAGAAGAAAAAGAGTCAAGACTAAGTCGTTAATTAGGCTGGACAGGATTTTTGCTTGTCCTTAATGCGCTCAAGTTTTTCTTTAAAATTCACTTTATTCTCATAATCACATAAAATTAAACAAGAATCATGGCATACTATTTTCCACGCATGCATAAAACGACGACAAGTGGTGGGAGAAAGGGGTACATAAAATTAAAATCGAGGAGAGAGATGATAAGGAATTTGGCGACATGATGTACATTCTTGTACAGTATGGAATTTAGCATTTAACAAAATCACAGCTGATGGTTCAGTTCTTTTTTCTTGAAGAGAAATAAAAAAAATGGTAGACTTGCGAAGAATTGATCATGATAGGTGACCTCACTCACTCGTTCACTGGATAACAAAAATAATTGAGGGTTTTGTATAAAACTAGTTGTTAGACGCAATCAAGTGGAATGACGCCAACGCCAACGCCTCCTTCATGTGCACACATGGGTGGTGCGTCGGTCCACTCGTTCTTCGCGGGATCATAGCACTCGACACTGGAGAGGTTTGTGACCCCGTCGTAACCCCCGATGGCCCACAACTATAAATTTTTCCATCCATTTTTAATCTTATAATTATAAATTTAAATCATTGCATAACAAGAAGTTAGTCGCCATTCTAAGTATGTTTTTACATTAATACAATAACATACTTACCTTGTCCATATTGGCGACGAGGGCGACACGAGATCGCATCATTTTCATGGGGCTGCACTCAGTCCAGCTGGAAATTAGGGATATTTTAGTTTTGAGCAATTTGTTGTGTAAGGATGACGTAAGCCGTCAAAGTCACGTATGTCACTTACACATCGGTAATTGGATCATAGACCTCCACTGAGCGTAGAAACGTGGCCCCATCATACCCTCCGGCGACATAGCTAAAATTAAATAACAGGTTTTAGTCAATTTTCCTAATCTTACGACTAAATATTCCAAATATTTACAGTTTATCTCCAATCACTGCAGCTCCCAATCGACACCTCTTTGTATTCATTGATGCGATCGGATGCCAGGCAGATATCGAGGGGTCGAATCGTTCAGCCTGCACAAAAAAGTATGAATTGTTATTTACCCCATAATTATTTTACTACTCGCTACTTACCGAGTCGAATATGGACAATCCGTCGTGACCCCCGATGGCATACATGAAACCTTGAAATGCCACGACGCCGGCGGCACTGCGGTGCTTCATCATCGGTGTAATCATGAACCAATCTCCCCTTTCGGGGTAGAAGCACTCTACGGTATTGAGACTGGAGTTCCCATCGTAGCCACCGGCAGTGTATCTAGAAATACAAAGTTAAATATAAACTAAAATTACATCCCTTAATTGAACCAATGTGTATTAATTACTTACAATTTATCATTTAAAGCGGCACAACCGACAGCACTGAAAAAAGCTCAGATTAAAATGTTGACCATTTAGAACTTATTTATCAAAGTATTCCAACCTCCTCTTGCACCTCATGGACGCAATCTTACTCCACGTTTTTGTCACGGAGTCATACATTTCCACCGTGGAGAGTCTCTCCGTCCCGTTGAAGCCCCCGATGGCAAAGAGCTTCTTTTTCATGACGGCTACACCAACTCGGCTTCGTTGCATTGTGATGGCTTCCGCAATCCGCCATTGCTCCTGGATTGGGTCAAAGATTTCCACTGTGGAAACCGAGTCTCCTGAATTATTCAGTATTATTTTCACCAGACTTGTCATAATTTTTGTTAACCATGTTTGCCGTAACAAGTACCTGTTTTGGTCAACCCTCCAACGACAAACATGTATCCTACGGTGTCGTCAAAGCACCTCGGCCGGATTCGAAACGTTTTGCTGAGAGGCCTCCGTTCCGGGATGAGAAAGTAGTCTCTAGCTTCGTCAATTAGGTCCCTGCAATGATTTGGTTTATTAAACCTGTCATGGGACTTATAATCTGGTCAATGTATGTACAAACCGGCACGGGTGTGAGCTCCTGACTAAAATTTCCGACGCGACGTAATCCGTAATGAATTGCGGTGTGAGGAGTGGCATTCTCACACATTGCAAGAGTTCCGGAAGGTGAATGCATCTTATTTGAGTGTCCTTCTTGACCCATTTTATCATCACGTTAAATACCTGATATTTTATTTCAAAATTTTTAATGATAATAAATATAAAAATTGCATTACATCTTATTCGTGTAGATTACCTGCTCTTCTGAGTCTACAGCAAGCTCATCCCTACTGAGAATGTTGATAATATCTGAAATTCCCAATTGGCTGAACTCCTCAGACTTGGACACATCCAAAAAATGTTTTTGTATAAATCGGTCAGATTCTTTCACAACGCTCGAGCAGTTCAAAGTATCGGCAAAAGCTCGGATCCCCACGACATTATCCGGCGTTAATCTGATCAAGTGAAGAATTATGAATATTTTTTAACCTTAATCTAATTAAAATATATGTGCATATATTCGTACCTTTTGCCGAGGAATTTAGCACACGCATCCTTAACCTTGTTTATTTGTAGGAACGACGAGGAGAGCATAATACTTTGAACATTGTTCACATTGATCGTGATACGTCCAGTGTAAGCGAAATTGATTAATTGTTCCACCGCACTTTCACCGTATAAAAAATGTACAGTTAGTTAAATTCTTAATAATTGCGTAACTGCATAAAAAGTACTCACTCAGGATCCAATCCTTTCAACGTGACTTCGTTCTGCTTTGACTCGATCATATCATTCGTAAACATGGCGTGAAAGTAAGGAATTGTGGCCGCCAGAACGATCCGATGCGCCTGGATGACTGATTCGTCCACCTGAAATTATTAATAAATCCATTCACCTTCAAAAATCTGGGTAGATATATTTTTTCCAGTCCTTAACTTGCATTTTACATCCGTTAAATTGCGATTCACACAATCGAACAAAGGTTCGCAGAAAAAAATCTTAGCGAAACTCGAGATAGGCCACTAAATACAGTGCATTCTTACCGAACAAAGTTTCGTCATAGTCTGACTGACCTACTTATTATAATATGATGTTGGCGAGGCTTTTATTTATTAATGTTGATGTAATCGAGTAAAATGCGATTAATAATCGACCTCTCGGGCTACAGGTCATCTCATCATCATCACCCGGAGTTAGACTCGCAATAAATATATGCCCGAGTAGTGCGGAGTTTATACTATTAACTAATTAACTAGCAGAATCCACTAATGTAATCGCCGTGCTACACACCCACAGAAATTCCATGAAATTGACAGGCTGGTGTGAAGTTGAGACTGCATAATAAATATGTGAGAAGAGTGCACTAAAAATGTGTACAAGACGCGAGCGAGGAAGAGTTATTTATTACGTCAAAAGGCCAAGGTTGGTCTAAACTTTGAGTTAAAAATTAGCACAAAATATCTCATTTTTCTAAATATCATCATCATCACAAACCGAGCCGGTCTTGTAAATATGTATAGTCGCAATTATTACGTACTTAATTTACAGATGCGTAAATTATATAGTAAATTCCTTCATTACTCTTGCTCGTCATATTTATTTTCTCGTGATGACTTTAGACGAACTCTCACTAAAGGTATACATTGCCTGTACGACTATTTTTTGATTTAAAAATAAGTACCCGAAACTGAGTCACATCCCGCCAAAAAAAATCGGAAAAATATTTTTTTTTCGAATTGCCCCACCCACTCACCCCCAGAGGTAATTTTGCTTGGTTCAGCTTTTTCTCGGCCCCCAAGGCCGATAAAGGCGCCAAACTCGGCATGGACCTGCCATCTGGGGTCGTCCTCGGTGACGCTAAGTATGAATCCCTTAGGTCAAAATCTATAATGCCCTTGACCTGAAAATTTCGACCTTTTTTTCGTTTTTTCGAAATATTTCCCATGTTTATGAAATGTTAACTTCCCCACTTCAAAACCGTACAGAAACCATATATTTCGCATCTATTGCCGGTTGTTTCGACCTCCTAGCTCAAAAACTAAGGGTACTTCGTAGAACGACTCGCGCCAAAAAATCGACAATGTCGAACGCGACGGGGAGGGTACTTTAGAGGCCCCTATTTCCGACCATGACCTTTTTTTCGGTCAAATTGAGTGTCAGGCCGATACTACTATCTATTGTGAACAAAATAAGCACAACCACACCCACAAGCATTGGGGGTGTGGCTCACAAAAATTCGTCGAAGTTTTGCAAAAGGTCGAAAATTTCTCAACAAATTTTTCAAAAAATCGGTTTTTTGATGTAGTATGCTGTTTAGAACACGTTTCGACCAAATTGTAGTTGTTTTGGAAAAATTTGTTGAGAAATTTTCGACCTTTTGCAAAACTTCGACGAATTTTTGTGAGCCACACCCCCAATGCTTGTGGGTGTGGTTGTGCTTATTTTGTTCACAATAGATAGTAGTATCGGCCTGACACTCAATTTGACCGAAAAAAAGGTCATGGTCGGAAATAGGGGCCTCTAAAGTACCCTCCCCGTCGCGTTCGACATTGTCGATTTTTTGGCGCGAGTCGTTCTACGAAGTACCCTTAGTTTTTGAGCTAGGAGGTCGAAACAACCGGCAATAGATGCGAAATATATGGTTTCTGTACGGTTTTGAAGTGGGGAAGTTAACATTTCATAAACATGGGAAATATTTCGAAAAAACGAAAAAAAGGTCGAAATTTTCAGGTCAAGGGCATTATAGATTTTGACCTAAGGGATTCATACTTAGCGTCACCGAGGACGACCCCAGATGGCAGGTCCATGCCGAGTTTGGCGCCTTTATCGGCCTTGGGGGCCGAGAAAAAGCTGAACCAAGCAAAATTACCTCTGGGGGTGAGTGGGTGGGGCAATTCGAAAAAAAAATATTTTTCCGATTTTTTTTGGCGGGATGTGACTCAGTTTCGGGTACTTATTTTTAAATCAAAAAATAGTCGTACAGGCAATGTATACCTTTAGTGAGAGTTCGTCTTTAGCTTTTTTTAAATGGATTGAATTGACACTTGCAAATTCTTTCTAGGATTTGTTTAAATTCGTCGTGATTTTAATTTTGAGGGCGTAGCGTTACCATGTCAATATTTATAATTTAAATTTTACATAACACCAGGTCAGCTGGAGTCGCATTAAATCTAAGAAAACAAGGATGACGGAATGTTTTTTTGTTCGCAAGAATTTAGGGTAATGTTGATGATTATTATGTACGAATTTAACTGCAGTGCACGTAATGATAAAATGACGTGGATATGCGTTTATCATGCATCTTTGTTTTTTTAAGTCGAGACAAAAAAATCACATCACGATAGAATTTCTGTGGGTGTGGTTAAAATCAACATCTACTTACTTCACTTCTATCAACCAAAGACGACTTATCAATTGACCAGAAAAAATAAATTTCTTACCTTTAACTTGATATCGCAGAGGAGCCCTTCATTTCGAATTTGTTCCATCACAGGAAACCCGTCCAAAGGGAGGTCCTCCTGATGAAATACTTCATGTTCTGTGTCCTCCAAAACGTTCGACATGTCACCACCACGTCCGCCGGCTGCACCACCTTCTTGCTCGACCTGCATGTCAACCCCACAAAAAAATTAATCCACTCGTCTCACTCAAGTCCGCAGAACCAAAATGATGCTTGGCACCAAATAAATTAGACTATTTATAATCAATTGTTCTTCAAGAATGCGACAATAAATCAATTTTTTGCCTGTCTGATCAACACCATCCACAAATGACCAAACCCTATCTACAAGTATTTTCCGTGTGACATGTATGTCTCCATGCCAACGTATGTAAGATGATGATTAATAAATAAGTGTTACCAGGCAGTGAAAACCGAGTATGTAACTATTCGGGCTGCCTACACACATAGTTGACGCCTCAAATAGAATTTGTTTTATTATTGGAAATATAAATATTATGCAGCTTCGCAAGAATACGAAATGATAAACAATTCTTAAAAGAAAACCAACAAAACAAGTTGAACAAAATACCGATTTGCTTCCCCCTTCGACCCGAAGACCTTCACCGCTGCCACCACCCTGTCCAAGGGACAAGGTGAACTCGCACAATAATTCGACCGCAAAAGTGTCCCCACCATTGTTATTGTTATCACTGTTATTGTTCCCGTTTCGTCGTGGGGGTGACGGCGGCAAGACTCGCGACAATACCCGCACCACACTCGAGGCAAATGTCCGTTCTCGCATTATTTTACAATTTTTTGTTCTAAATTAAGTCGAATAAATTTTTTGCGAGGTTAACAAACAAAAATTAATGCTTAAGTACGACGATGCAATGAGATGAAGGCTGTCGAACTACTGCATGTACGATGACATGACTAAATGGCCGTGTTGTTTTTTGAATCGAGCTTCCTACTTGGTTATATTAGTCATGACGAAATCAGAGAAGAATTGACAGCCAGCCAGTGACCACAATCTCGACATCTCATCTCGGCATCTTTTCCTATTTAACATACTTCAACTGACTGGCTATTTATATTTATGGGTTCCATTCATCCCGATAATGAGACGAAGCTGCTTAAATATTTTGTTCCACGGTCAGGATAATTTTTATACGTGATTCTGACGAGTGATAACACACGCTTGTCAAGTCTGTATCACGAGTAGTGATCTTATTGCAGTCAGTGTACGTGCAGAATCTTGGCCATAAAAAAAGGAGACTGCTGGACTGGAAGACATGGCAAAAACAACACGTCCAGTCCACAGCCCAACTGAATCGTCGTCGACTAAAGGACAATAAACCATTCATTGCTTCAGGGGTAGTTTGTTACACAGATGAGAGAACTATTTTATTGGACGTAATATTCCCACGACTCGCAATAATAAACGTATGCAGCAATTAATTCGGAAAGTTGTAAAAGCAAATGTACTGCATCGTTAAATAGTGACCAATTTCCAATCAATACCACTTGTTGTATGGCTAGTTGATGTACAAATGTGACCCCCTTATTAGTCCTCTTCTGTAGGAAATGCGATAAAATGAGAAGGAAAATAGCATATTCTTGCCGAATTAATGACCACGACGGAAAACAAGGGACACTGCTGTGTTATTATAGTGAGGAACATATAACATTTAGTTTAACGAGTCCTGCATATTTACAATTACAAAGCAAGCGAACGCGTGTCTTGTTACGACTACTTTTGCATAGATATTATTACAATTTTGCACATTTGGTGTTTTATTTAGTGACTGACCATGTAAGCAATGTGTACATATGCACATAATGAAACGAGCTACTTGTTTGCAAAAATCTTATTTTGTGTGAGGAGTTGCAAGAACTGCTATTATGCTTATCTTACGATGTACTGCCGTGTCATAATAATGCTGTATCGTACATGTCTATATATTTGCCAGGAATGAATAATTGAACGACGATGAAGTATGTATTAGAGGTGAGTCGAGCAGCGGTTTTCAAAACCTCGGCTCGCTCAGCTCAGTTCAACCGAGCCGAGCATGATCAAGCTCGGCTCAATTGAGCATTTCTTAGTATATACATGCATGCCTAGTTCCTGGTAAATTTTATGAAATGAAATCTGAAAATATTTGAGAATAATTTGGAGATAAATAAGTATAAATAATAATAATAAATAATAATAAAATAATAAAAATAAATATTAATAATAAATATAAATAATAAATATACATAATAAAGAATAATAATATATTAATAATAAATATAAATAATAAATATACATAATAAAGAATAATAATATATTAATAATAAATATAAATAATAAATATACATAATAAAGAATAATAATATATTAATAATAAATATAAATAATAAATATACATAATAAAGAATAATAATATATTAATAATAAATATAAATAATAAATATTGTGAAATAAATAAAAAAAAGTGTAAGGAAATGAATTCAGAATTGTTTCCGCATAATCACTTCACGAATCTCATCTTTCTTATCTTGACGTCTCATCTCACGGTTCTTCAACTCTTCTCGTTTTTTACGAGCCATCTGACTGATGCTGCTACTATGACCATTCACTATTTATTCCTTGACCATTTACTTAGGACCTGGTGAAAATAGGAGCGTGCCCTTCATTCGTCTTCTTGGTACAGCTTCTTGATGTTCCGTACACTTTCAAATTTATGGGGCAATCATTGCACCCTGAAAAACAAATTAAGCTGATGTTTTGATCAAGCATCGACGACATCGAATATGCCCACAAAATTCTCTCAAAGGTCGATTGTCATTGAGATCTAGAGGACTTTTGCACTCCTCAGGGCATTCTTCCACACCTGGAATATTATCATGTAATGAACATACTTAAATATAACATATGGAATTACTAATTAAATTGTATTAATTAGTTCAGATTTTAGAAGTTTATTGAAATACTAATGCACTCACTAAAGAGTTTTAAAACACTGTTTATTCCATTTCTTCCTCCTATACCGACAATTCCGGCGGGAACAATGCCATTGAGACGACGGAGAATGAGGCCTCAATGCTACATTTCCACTTTTTGGATCCATTGAAAAACAAATTAATAAAAAATCTAGTATAGCCAAATACTTCATCATTTCATTGAAATGATTTCAACGTACTTAAATAAATTAGTAAAGCATACGAAAGGCAAATAATTATTTATTTATTTAATTGCATCTTAGTCAAGACTATTGGAATTTGATGTTTTATCAATAATAAATTATCACTCACTCTATAAGGAGACTCTCCTTATAGGAGAGTCACCTAAATAAAACTGTTAAGGTTTGACTTGTTTTTTTTATTATGCAGCCTGATAATTGAATTTGTATTTCCTCAAATTTAATTTAATTGATAAAAAAAATATTGAGAGTTCAACACGAGGATGAAGAAAGTCATGCCTAAAAAATTAAAAATGCAGAAAACCATTGCCATGCTCCTCTACCAGTTTTACAACCTAAATATAGAGGGCAAAAACTTCGCTTCGAGAAACCCACGCGAGAAACCTAACGGGAAAATGAATCGAACATGACACGACCAAAAAAACCTAAATCTAAAATTTAATAATTGTTGAAAAGCAATTCAATAACTTGAACATTATCTTTGTTCAAGGGAACACATTTACAAAATCAATTTAGAAATGATCCATTGCAATTCTTAATTAATTATTAATTTCGCCAGGTCTACGATTATTTACATATTTGTTGGAAAATGACTTCTAATTAATGGTACTGTTTCTGCATTTAAAAGACGAAAAATTCCACAACGATCAATATATCCTTTTGAGAAATAGATCTGCATGAATATAGATCTTGCTCAGCCATTTCCACATCATCGTCACGAAGCGAAAAACTGCCCGTAATAATGATAAAATTGGTCAAGTTCCGGTTTGGCTTTGACTGAAAGCCAAACTACGTGGATAGTAAGGAAGGGCGAAGTCGTATTTTGTACAGGGGGATTTGTCGACTTATTTCTGGAATTCGGTAAATTGAAAGAAATGCTTGGACGGGTGCGGCACGCATTATTCCATGTCTTTTAAGGAACAAGACATTGAGGATTCTAAAGTGAAAAATTTATTAAAAATTACAAATGCAAGGTAACATATTTAGCTAGTGTGGCGAATTAGTTCTTAATGAAATAATTTATTAACTACTAATTAAAGTAGGTCTTCTGTGTTTAGGAAATCTGGATATTTTGAAGAATAAATTGGAGATAAATAAATATTGTGAATTTTAAAAAAGTGTGTGAAGAAGAAAACGAATTCAATCTCTTCGCAAATCTCATCTCACTTATCTAGACGCCTCATCTCACGGTTCAACTCTTCTTCTCGTTTTTTACGATGCATCTCGCCCACAGCAGCGATTGGCGCAGCATCCAATTCTCCATCGGAATAATAACTCTAGATGGGAGAATTCACAATAATGTCATACTTAAAACTAATTCAAGTATTCTTCATTGCATCAAAATATGTATCTACTCCAGCGATACTTTTCTCTTTCGAGGTGTCGAGTAGCTTCAGCTGCCAAGGCCAATTCCATCAGGGGATTCCGTTCTTCTGGAAAATATTTCATTTGTGCTGGTGATGTTTGATCCTGAGAAACAAAACCTTAATATAATAATATAATAATAATAATAGAATAATAATAATATAATATGTGATATAATAAGAATAGAATAATAATAATATAATATATAATATAATAATAATAGAATAATAATATAATAATATATTATATTGTATATTTAAACTACACGGATACAATTTTCTCAGTTCACACAACTAGAAATTATAAAACGTAACGAGCTTGCTTCGTTCAAGCTCGACTCAGAAAACGTTCGGCTCGCTCAAGCTCGCCGATCACCAGAATGCTCGGTTGACCTGAGCATTTGGCTCACCTCTGGTATGTATGTGGTATATTCAGGACCAACAAATATTGCCCCATTTGCGTTTTTGACACTTTTGAAGTTGCATACATACTTTTAAAGTGAAATATGTTCATTACTACTACACACACACAAAGTGAGTTTGTAAATATGATAATCGATTTGTGCAAAAATGAATACTACTTCAACTACATACATATGCATGATACAAGACAATAGATTTGTGACTAATTTTTTTACCAACATTGATACAGCAAAACTTACGAAATTAAACAATGCTGGGCCATCCAATGGAAAAACTAAACAAATTATTTAGCAGGAAACAACCTGGTGAATAAACCGGCACTAAAACACGATATAAAATGTATGGCACACTTATTTTCCACTTCGAAGAATTGTATATATATACTTTGAGTCGTATTTTTTGCTCTTGTTTTTTTTCTGCAAAACAATTTTTTCCTCCAGCACCCACCGGTTTAGCGTTAATGTAAATGTGTATAAATATTTGTACCTTAAAACTCAACACTCACTGACTAACGACACGACAAGTTTGGACTTATGTACTAACTCCTGCTGCTTTTTGCAAGTTTTGGCCGATTATGCATAGTGGTTGGTGGTGCAAACCGTTATTGCAGAAAGAGTTGAATGCACTTTTTTCGCCATGTTGCAGATATGTTGATGGTGATGGATCTTATTTGGGATCGTATCGCAAAATACTTATTGATCATGATGCAGTCTTGCAGGTAAATAAATAAGTATGAATACGTACAAACGACGGATGACGACTGGCTGATCAACGCTAGAGATGGTCCATGTCATGCTGAATGAGACCAAAAAGTCACCAACTAATGGTAGTAAATGTACAGTGTAAGTTGGTATCTTATCTTTGTATTTGTAGTATCTTGTCATTGTCTGTCAGTGTGTCCCTTGAAGTAAGGTAGCTAAATAACTACACACCTATTTATGTCTATTCAGCTCCTCTCAAATTTAGAATTTAAGCGTATCTATGCAGCACATATATTTAGCGATGTATTTTGAGGAGTATATTACAGGTATTATATTTAATAAGCATGAGATGATTCTTCATCCTGCAAAATACTCGACCTACACAAATAATTGGATCATCATCGTTCAGGTTGCAGAACGCGTTGTGCAGGGCGAGATCTTAATACAGGTCAGGCTTTTAGCTTTTGTTTACTGCCCTACTTTTTGTTACGTGTTTTATAAAGACATATTTTATTGCAAGTTGTAAACTTGACCAACCAACCAAGATTTTGATGATGAACGCTTTTTTTGACATAAATGGAAGAATCCCCATTGACCAAAGTGGTTACTGAACACGTATTTTATTCGTCCGTAATGGGCGAAGGGACGAGTTGAAGTTCGTGTTTAGAACAAGTTACAGACGAGCTGATACGGGGTGAACGGGCGCCGGTAAACGTGCCAGGCTCGTCCTTATCTGGTCCGTTAATACCAAAACGGAACCAATTGAGAACGTACCTGGAACCGGGCTGAATTCGTCCTAATCACGCTCTCATGCGGTGCAAATATACGAAAATAGTACGAGTATATAACCACCAAGAACTATTTTTGACTCAATTTATTTATATTTACATTCATAGCGTAACTACAAATTAAAATACAACTGGAAATTGATTTATGACGAAACGTGCTCTGCAATTCCAGGCTGCATCTAGATATAAATATGTTTCGTATTAAATAGTATTCTTAAATATTCTTAATCTACTAAATATATGAAGGGTGTGTACATACCTTTTTCTTTTTGGCTTCAATCCTGGCAGGAGCTTTCTTTAGCCAATTCTGGATGCTTTCGTCGATGTCTTTATGCGTAGCTGACGACATTAGTGGATTTGTCCGGACCGCAGTTAAAGTTTAAAATGCTCGAAATAATCAAATTCTGCGCTACCATAAAGCAAGGACGAAAGGTTTAAATTATGAGCCTTACAATAAACACAGCTTTTGATTTTTTCACGATCTTTAAATGATTTTTTTCCGCGTTGACCCGCAAAACTAAGTGTGGCTGCAAAGTCGTCCGTCATCAAAAACGTAAGCACACGGTAAATAGCATCTGTGCCTTTGCTGCCTGAACCTGACAAACTCATTATCTAGAAATAAGAATACATGAAGTTTGATAAACAGAACTAAAAAGATTGGGGCGAAATTAGAACATGATGCTAACCAAAGCTTGTCGAATTTTAGGATCAGCTATTTTTCTTTCCAGTTCGTCATACTCCGGCAAGTTGTTTAATGGAATAACCTTTTCGTCGCCATCAAGGTCTTCGATAATTGTCCTATTTTGATTGCGCAAAGCCAGATGGAAAGTTTCGCGAAGCTCGTTAATGCTGGCTTGAATATAATCCAACTTACGAATTATAATATCTGTACAAAAAAATTAGATACAGTATAAAATTTAACTTGTTACTCTAGAAGGAAGCGAGCTACATATCATCAGTTCTTGTAGGTACAATTGTTCCATTAAATGACCCTTGACCAATATCCTGGCTTCGTTCCTGGGACAAAGAACTCGTCGGGCCTCGTCCTTTGAAAAATCGTTATTTTAATCATATTAATTCATGGAAACCTTTATGCCAACAGTTATACCTGAAAATGTCATCGGCGTCGTAACTTCCGTTCTTGGGGTTTGACAAAAATTTTGCTCACTCTCGGACAAACACTCTTCTCGCTGGTGAAATTGACTAAATCCTATTCCACCGCTTCCGCCTAAATAAATACCAAGTTAATTAAGATAAAATTTCATGAAAAAAGAAAGTATATACTACTTTTACTGGGTAATGGAGAGGAATTAGTGTTACTAGGCTCGTCTCTCGAAGTTGTTGACAAAGTTTCATCCGGCTGCACCTTAAATATATTTCGTTATTTAATAAGTTTCATTTCAAGGGATGGTGGATAATTTACCAAGACCAACGTTGGCATCTGGAATTTTGATGAGTCTGAACGATTTATCTGAAAAAACAAAAACATTTGTAGTTATGGCGAGAAGGACGATTTTGAAGTAATCAAGTTAGAATGAAACGGTAAATTATTTTTACGAATGAGTGTCACAAACCTCGGTCACTTTAGATTTTTTTGTTTTTACATGTAGCAAGCTCTTCGTTAACGGACTATCATTCTCGTCATCGCCACTTGAATCTGCGTTAAAAAGTTTTCTGTTGACGGTCGTCGACCTCTTCCCAGTTCTGCGCCACTACTAATCCCTCCTTCTTGCGCAAGACGCGGAAGATTTAGGCGAGCATCTTCGTATTTTCCTAAACAGTATATAAATAAAGTTTTAGCGATACACCCATGAAATTTATGTTGTATCTAATGTAAAAATACTACATACCGTATCGTTTAACTATTTCAACCTCATAAATTTTCCAAGTTTTGGCGTCTGGTGATTCACCATTTCGGACCGATTTTTCCAGCTTCCGTGATTCAGTTTTTGAATAATTCGGCCAATATGTGTATTGCAGACCATCAATTTCTACCAACCAGTTTGAATTGATGATGTCGATTTCTTGCTTTGAAATGAAGTCGGCAACGATAAAGCTGACAGCGCTGGAATCCGTATCCATGATGGCGCAATTATTAGCACACGAATTTAAAGACGGCAAAATAATTCTTGTAAGGAAATCCGATGCACTTTATAACAATTTCACCGGACGTACGGACTCGAAACACTTATGCTGCCTCAATATTTTTAATAGTTCCGAAGTAGCGTTCCTAGTAATTCTGTTTTTGATTACCCACTTGGCCAGTTTCTCTTTCGTCTCACTACGGGAATCTAAACTTTCATAAAAACTGTCAACACTTGGATTAGGTAAAATTTCGTCTATATCTTCAACTGTCCGGCTGAAACTTGCCCGTCTCATATTTGATGGTTTGGAGTCCAATAAATTTGTTTGAATTACTTGCGATGGAACTAATTCGCAAATGGAAGGTTTACTGACTGAGGAGTTTAGTAACACACGCGAATTTTCAAAATTTTTAGTAGCACGTCTAGCAATTTTTTTCGTCGAATTTCTGTACATGTTCTCTATTCAACCACTAGCTGCAGAGTGGAGTTAAAACTGGACGAAAAAACATCCATGCTGCCAAACATTTAAGTGTGGCGCACTAATTTCATTATTTGTTCTGACTTCGTCCCTCGGCCGTCTTTAACTCGTCTAAATTCAAACATGAAAATAACTATACAACCCCATCTCGAGGTGATATGTTTGCGACCACCTCCATACATCCTAAGATCGAGCCCCTGGTACCGGGCGAAGCTCGTATCATTCGTACAAACTAAACACGTCTTTTACCGGTGCCCTTGGTCCTGGACGAATCCAGCACAAATGGGACCAATTAAAAACGTGATGAGAACCAACTGGTCAATTGGGATATTACGATGAGATTAAGCAGCCTGCTCTAGAGTTCATGTCATTAACACGATTTCCGTCAAATCCGATTTTTTGATTCGTTATTCTTTTTAATTGCCTAGACACTTAATTTTTTTAGTGAATCGAATGTGGCGTAAATCGCGATGATGACTTGAACACTTATGTACGTTTCAACTCATCATTAATATTTTATAGTTTCTTAATGAAAAAACACTCTTTTCATTAATTAATAACAGGTCAGCCACATGTAAATACTACGCTCTTCCTTCACGAGGAAAGAGAATGCAATAATGCAAATGCATATCTTTAAGGAAGACCGACTAACTAATTAACCTCGTCCGGGCTCATTGCGCAATTTTAATATTAATCTGGTGACTAGTAAAACTATAGTCTTAACTGTGGAGGATAAGAATTATACCGCACTCTTGTTAAATCTGTACGACCATTAGTATTTTATTAAGGAAAATGGTCAATAATTATGTAATCCTATTACACAATGTAAATGAGACCAACCTGTCCAGCGGTGTGACCCTGAAGTAATGCGAATCCTATCCCCTCTCACTTTCACCACAAACAAACTTTAACCACGTTCCTCTTCCGTGATTGTTTCCGGAAGACGTTACGCCAACAATGTGGCCAGATTGGTGAGCAACAACTCACTGTCTGCCTCTCTTACAATATTAAAGAGTACAAAAAAGAGTGAGAACTTGTTTTGTCCAGGAGAACCTCCAGCTGACAAAAGCAGAATGTACATACAGAATGTACATTCTCCAGCTAAACAGATTATGGATCGAGAACTCTCTCTCTCCTGGAGCTTATTGGTTTTGTCATGACATGACGTCACCTTATGCACCATGAAAAACTTCGAGTAACCAAGCGGGTTTAGGTATTATGCGATTTAAAGTAGATGTTTGGCCTGGGTGGGTGTGGTTTGATAAGGTGTCATCGCTTACCAAAGTCCGTCCCGGCGTCAGCTTACTCCGCAGGTCGATACTCACGCCGAAGCGGAATATGAGCTGGCGAACGCCACCGGTTCCAGATACTCCAGACAGATAAGTGGTGCCTCGTTTGGAGCAGGACGGCTTTTGTTTCTTCCGAGGTGAACACAACTGGATTCGTTTCCACATTTTGGACCGACCGAAAAAGCCTTATCATGGATATTTACCCGTCTTCTGACCTACAAGTCGTATGCAATCTGGGACGCTATTATTATGTCTGGCCATCATAAGGACAAGAAGTGAATGAAAAATAAGCGACTGCATGAAACTGGATGACATTCCTCACAATTGGTTGTGATTGCTCTTAATTTGGAGGAATGACATTTATTATTAAGTATTTCTGGACGACTGCATGGTGGCGTGGCGTGGCATAACATGTTTTGTTGCCAATATGCATATGAATTAACATAAGTTATCAGCATTGCAAATGTACGTGATAGGGTTACTTGCAGCCACACTTGCAATTTCAATGAATTTCCAGGCGATAATTCAGTGAAAAGGAGAGGAAGTTGGAGGTGATAGCTCAGTAAACTTATGACATCCACATTTTTTTAGGCCTTGTGCAATTCTTCAACCTTTATTAATTGACTCAATATTGGCATCGTCACCATCATCATTCATCATTTTGATTAACTGTCATCCAGATTACAGTTACTTATTTCGTTACTTATTACATTAGCATTAACACTGGTGGAAGTACTGTTTTTAGAAGAAGAAGACATTGACAAACAATCTCATCTTGGATGATAAAGAAAACCTATTTCTTTAAATCTACTAACTTCGCCAGCACTCAGACTAGATAAAAAAAGGGACGAATAATAATAATAAGATAAGACAAGACCTTATCATACCTTTTACATCTTCTATCTACACTTGCATCTGTCTAACTTATAATAACACAGTTTCAAGTTGCTAACACAAGTTGGAAAATATATTACAAAAAGTGGGGACAGTTTCCCAGTATTCCAGCCTCGAAAGTTCTTCCCTGCCTATATTTACTTATCTAGCTATCTTATCTATCACGTTCAATAAACTCGAGACAAATCATAACTTATCTTCATATCACAAAGAGTAATGGGGATTGGAAAAATCGTTGAAAGTTTTGTTTGGGAAACAATTCTTAAGTTATTATTGTTTTTGGAATGTGAAATCAGTGCTTCTTCTTCACTATTATTCTGTGCTGTAGTGCATGTAGGTGGTGCTGATATTGGCGTCCTTCCTCCCAAATTGTGTCCTGCTACATCACCCTGCTTCCGTCGGTTTGTTGTACTGAATTGTTATTAGATCTGGAGGGGTTTGTTTGATCAATTGATTTGATGCAGGGATCATAAAATGTGCATGCAACAAGTCCATCACCACCAAATCAAATGTTTACGGGACGAGGAATCATATCGCCTGCAGTAATTCTATCTCTTTTTATTATCCTTCTTCTTGTCGCAGGAATGATTGTCACGAGAAGCTCCAAGAGGTCAAAACAAATAGAACGAGATAAAGTGGGGACATCGTAGGTATGGCTGATGAACAATCCAAATGATCCGAGGGTTGCTCATCTTGACTAATTTCGTAACTCGAACTCACCCCACTGCAGTCCTGAAAGTTGCAAAGGTCTCCAATTAATAACTAAGTAGTCCAACTCTTTTCAAGTAATTTGGTTAATATATTACTTCACAAAATTGCGAGCATGGTGGACATTTAATTCCGCCTCGATGAAGCCAACCATTTGCTAAGAGTTGAACCCGAATTTCCTGGCCAGTGTATGCACATGTAAATGTACGGTTAGTGACCTATGCATCAAAAAGAAAAGATGGTAAGGTCAGATTTAGGTAAAACATTGTTACTCCAAATCGCTAATGGACTAACCACAATGTTGAGAAGCCCATTATCACAAAAATATTTGTAGCAGCCGGATCCCCAATGTTGCCAGTGCCGTTTTTGATGGCAAGACCGCTCTTCCCACATTTCTTTCGTGTGGTAGAAGCACTTTGATTGCTCGCCGTACTCTTCTAGGGCGAAATTCTTTTCGGGTTCTGCACGAGTATCATAATACTCAAGTTATACATATAAAAATCATTACAATTTAATCGAAACTTTTGCAATCACCTGGATTATTCTCCTCATAGTAGCAATGTGAACCTCGAATCACGACGCTGTTTGCTCTCCAGGTGAACTCTTGTACGTAGGGGCAATAGTCTGCCAACGTGACGGAGCCACCATAATAAGACAGATTGTTGTTAGGAATGTTTGGCAGCGAAGGAAAGTTCTAAAGTGCATATGAAGAATAGTTAAATATAAATAAATAATCGTAAATATTTAAAGATAGTCATTCTAGATACTCACTTGGTACACGCTTGGCAAAGGACCCGGGTACTTGACAAGGTTACACAGAGCGACAGAGGTTCCATCATCCGTGCATTGTGTCTCTAAAGGTTCTGCCTTCACCTTACTGCAGTATGGCACAGGATCGCTGCAATGAAACAAATTATGTAACTTTAGTCACACGATTGCACATTCCAAAAATCATAACTGTCGACTCCAATAACTCGAGTCTCAATCAATTACGTTTTTAATTTGAATACATGTAAACAAGCTGCTTCTCTTTTAATTACCTAGTCGAGCTTTTGCTCATCATCCACTCCATGCACGACTTTTTGACGAAATCACACCCCAGACCATGTCCCCAAACGAGGTGTTGCGCCATGTCGTAATTTGCCTTGTACCAGCCAGTGTCCTCCATTAACGCTAGCGTTATGCGGGAGTAGACCTTGCAAGAGATACAAAATTTACGTTAACAAAAATAAGTACAACAACAATTTATTCAAGATCTCACTGGATTCTGGGTGTGCGTTCCCGTCATTGCTTCATTCTACCCAAGTAAAAAAACACATGATTACTTATTACTTAATAAAATGTAATTTGTTTACCAAACCTCAAAAATTCTTTTTTCCCAATGTGTCAATGCAGTGCCTTCCTCGCCCTGATCCTCCAACTCTGCACCCTCCAAATCACTGCAGTTAAAATGGCGTCTTACTTCCTCCACGACTCGGGGAGTGACAATCATTTGCATCGTTCTCGTCACGTTCCCATCTCGTACGCGCCAGTCGGGTCGAGTCACGGTCTTTATAACTCGGTTGCTCCACTGGCGAGCTTGCATTCTGTTAAAAATATAGTGTAATCATCATCATTTTCAAAGTGTGTGTGTGTGGCCATTTTGATAAGAGCGTCATAAAAGACTTACCCTTCCGAATAGGGTGGTTTTCCTTTCGTATCACGAGCTGTGGACATAAATAATAAAAAGATACATTTGACGTGATTATTTGTACCCAGGAAAAATAGCTATACTATTATTTGCAGGTTTAGTGCAGACTTGGCACTCACGGGTAAGCGGATTTCCTTGGTCGTCTCTGTAGAATGCGTAAAGGGAGACGGAGAAACCTAGAGCGTGGAGGATTTCATGCTTCACGGTGGAAATCAGTGTGTCCAACTCTTGTGGTTTTGTACTGATACTTTTCGGACACAGATTTGCATGCCCAGCAATTGGCCTGAAATAAATACATAAATTCCGTCACCCAATTATCACTTTCAATTTCATCTTCCTTTCTTTAACTGTCATATTTATTAATGCCCTCAACGACACAAACGAAAACCGCAAAAAGATAACTTCCTATCAGGAAATAAGTTTAGCAAAATATTTTATTTATTACCGATCTAGTCCAGATTCCTGTTGACAATGTGCAGCGTACGCCACCGTATAGCCCTGTCCCTGTTTACATCGCTGTGTTTGCACGGCTGAGACGTAGAAGACGAAATCCGCATCTTTTATGCCAGACCCGGCAGTCGAGTTTTCCGCAACTTTGCAATTATGACCCTGGTTGTCACACACGCGACAAGCCTAACAGCACACACATCGTTGGGAAAGAATAAATAAATGCGAAATATTATTTCTCAAACTCCTCAAAATCTCACATCCAAATGTTCCTCCGGAACTTGGACTTCGCCACACATCGTGCGTGCTTCACACTCAACGCGACAAAATGGATGAGGATCGTCCGCCTTGTAGTAGACTTGTTGATTTGGACACCGTCTAACCAACCAAAAAGGATTATGTCATGACTTATTTCTCACCATTTGTCACCATCTCATCTCTCCTCACTTATCATCGGAAGAGAAAAATGGCTCAAAAAATCTCACTTTTCCTCCCATTTTCCTCTCTCACTCACCTATTTAGAAGAATAGCCCTCTCCGTCCGTCTCACTTTTAGAGCCTTTTCCCAATACGAGACTGCTTCAGGAAGCACCGTGTTCTATTATTTAATCAAAAAGGTTGCCATTATAATATTTTATTCGCGAATTACTCATCGTCATTATGCAAGTGTGACTATATAATCCAATCCAAGCAATCGGATTCATCGTGATTCATGACACACTAGAAAAAAAGAGCATATACTGAAGATGCAATTTCATCTCAAAGCCGTGCATGTCGTAGTTGTTCCCAATTTTACAGTGGTGTAAGGTTGTTTTTGTTGTGATTGCTTATTTAGATCCATCCTTATCCTTCCTATCTTTACAGACTCATTCCGTATGCACATTTAATTAACTTCTTTTCTCACATCTGTCTCCCTACATAAGTAAATGAGTAAGTAAATGGATGCAATATTATGTGCATCTTCTGCTCGACTGTAACAAAAGGACGGCAGGGGGTTGCTCGTCGTTGGTTGCATCGCATAATCAAAGGCACGACTCACGATCACACCGCACCATTACACCATTTGTCTCATTTTGCCACCCAGGTAAATATCTAAACTATGGTGAATTATTTATTGTACAATTATACAATTGTCGTCAACATCGTTGCATTTAATGAATAGCTTTTGCGATCTTCACGAACTTTTTGGAATAAAGAAAAAACTTTTTTTGTCTTATCAGGAAACTGCTAAAATTATTCCATTTTTGAGACGAAGGAAATCTGAACATTATTCCAAAGTTGTATCTTGAGCTTGACTTTAATCCTTCTAATCGTCCTCCTTCTTCCTCCGTCGTCCCCACTTCTCGAAGTTCAGCACGTTCTGCGTCTCCTGCTACTTATGTATGTATTATGGGGAAGCATAGCTTTGCGAGATTAGTGAAAGTAAGAGTGTATAAAATTGGATCAAAAAGAGTCGTGAATGAAATCCCATTTTAATTCCGAGTCTTTCCTCTTCTACGAAATAAATCTGGCCTGGGAATGAAAAAGAGGACAAAAAGTAATCAAGGATCGTCTCCTGCCTACGTTGCCTCAGGGATGGAAAGATCTGCATGAATTTTATTTAACGTCGTCATGATGCCGAAGCGTCGAAGCGATCATCGTCATGAGGTCGTTCGTTGGTATGTACGCGTGCATGGACGTATGCCCCGGCTTAAATCATTATTGGATTATTGGATCCACTTTAGTGGTTCGCAACAATACAGAAAATTATATAAACTCCCAAAATCAAATCAAATCTGAGCCTGTCTACATCTGCGTGCGATATGCGGCTGCTGGGCATCCATCGAATTTAAATAATATTGTTATGCAATTGAAGAAGAGGAGGAGAGGAAAAACCACGATGAGGACGATAAAGGAAGGGATTTTATGCTCCACTCACATTAATCAAGTCCTTCTTCTCTGCGTCCAACCTGCAAATGATAAAACACAGGGAATGAAATAATAATAATGACCCATTATTTATTATTAGCTCATTATTGTATTGAGTCATCATTAAATAAACGTTGCCAATTAAGAAGATTATTTAACATTTATTTACCGAGATGTTAGCTAATAAGCTAAATATGTAAACTGCGTTACACACACACACACACTCATCTTACATATTAGCTCTCTCAACATGAGAGGTGTTGCATTAATTAGCAATAAAGAAAGGGAGACTGACTTCACGTAAGAAAAAAGAAGTCGTCCCAATATTCATGACATTCGTCGTTCCTTGCTTGCCTGCTTGCTAATTTGTGTCAAGTAACCAAACCAAACCAGCACACAAACTGGAATCAAGTTTCCTGAAAAAAATTTGGCTAGTGCGAACTCTTCAATATTTAAGGTTGGCATAAGATAATAAAAAGTTTGGCAACAATTCATAAATTCAGCATGGTCTTCACTTTACTTAATTTTGGTGTGTGTGCTAGTGGTGCAGTGAATGTGAATGAAAATGAAATGAGAATGACGCAATCTCAACCTTAACGAGTAAACTGTTTGTCAAAACATTTAGTTATTAGTGTTTTGTCATCTCGTAATTTTTTAGCAGGATGAAGAGAGAATTTATATTATTTGCTTCTTATTTATTACTTGTGGACACTGTCGTCGTAATAGAGCACGATTCGGAGGGGGTGGTCTGCACTCCGTTTCTTCATGATGTGGTGGTGTTCAATGAATACTCCGTCGATTACCTAAAACAAAGAAAGAAAGAAAATAAATAAAAACTTTAGTCCAACAAATTCATCCCCAAGTTTTGACGGAAACGAGGGAAAGATAGCAGAACGCAGGCGACGACGACGACGACAACAACTTTCTTGACAAAGTACAAAGTGATTTGGGTGTAAAAAAGTAAAAGAGTCCCAGTTGGGGAATTGAAACAAGGTGGTGCTGCATAGTTAAATAGCGAGGAGCAGTAGCAGCAACAATTGTACGAGTTTTTTTAGATGGATACACAGGTACTTGGGTACTTTTTGTACATTCTGCATCTGTACGGAGGATACCATGACCTCGATGGATGTATGGAATGGAAGAGTTAAGACTTGTGTGTATTCTCCTTTTCAACAAACGGGACGCGGAATGAAACCGCAATTCAGAAATAAATAAAAGTGAATTCTCCTTCTTTTTGGAGGGCGGAAAAACGATCTCATTTCGGGATAATGTCCCACGTACGTAGTAGTAGAAAGAAACTTGCAGGTGAGGGTGAAAGAAAGGATAGAACGCCAACTTTTTGGGGAATTGAACTATTCATGTCATTCATGTACATAAACTTTAGTGTTTTGGGTGTATATTTGTATACGTAGTTTGGTCGGTGAGAATGAAATCATGTAAAAAAACAGAGTAAAACGGGAGTAAATTTTGTGACTCAAACTTTCCAAAACGGTTTTCTGTCCGATTTAAAGAACGACCGAGCGGAGCAGATAGCGCAATAATACAACTTTCTGAGCAAAGCAAACTAGAGCACAATTTTGGTCCCACAAAGGAATCAGGAACCGTAATTATGTTTCGAAAGGAAGGAATCGCCCAAGTAACTTTGTTGCCTTGATGTTGATCGCCTGGTTGGGACGACATATCATTACGGCAGCGCGGTGTGAAAGTGTTCATGCATGTGAATGACAGCTCTTTCAACTAAACGACTCCTCTCTCTCTCTCATGTCAACGACGACGACGACGACGACGACGAAGGCGAGGTGAACAGTTTGAATTGAAAATATCTTGGAATTTGCCACACAAGGTTACACAACCAACAACCAAGCTGTTCACTAGCGTGCACGTACAAATGTGTTTAATGGAATGGAAATGTTATAGTTATTGCTGCCCTGCCTGCAGCCAGTAAAGTCTAGACGATTTCGCTTGCTAGGGTTTTTTTGAAAAAAACAAAAAACCAAATTGTGCAAAAACATACACAATTTATGTACATGTACATATGCATGCTTTGAAATCTTAGACGATATAATGACCCTTGTAAATGTATACACTTCATTCATATCATGTCCACTACAAGTAAGTTGAATTACTTTACAGAATTAATGACAGACAACTCAAAAGTATTCTGGTTTGGATTGCACTTAAGGAACTGCATCTCACTCTAACGATAAGATTTAACTGGATGGAACATGATAACCTAAAAAAAGTGTGAGGCTATGCACATTTGTACCTCTTCAACCGTACAATGGACATGGTGCATTCTTGGTCGGTCAACTGGGTCAGTTGGTACATACATGGTTTTTAGTTCGTATAGGATTCAGCGATCATCAGCCGTTTGAGTTTCACAATTTCTGCTGGGAAACATGTTATGCAAGGGATTCGTCCTTTTACTTATTCTGAAACTGGAGCACATTACATCCAGCTCGACACACTACGTCAGCATGTCATTGAAACTTATTTGCAACATACGAGGTCGGACGGTATGGTTGTTATTATATTATTCTATATATTAATTTTGATGATGAGACAGAAAATCGAGCTCTAAGATGATACATAACTAGTAGCAGACTCTATTCACACATTGTTTGTTGTGGCACAATAATTTCGCATCATGCAATGTACACAAGTCTAAACTGAACTTTAACTTGAGCTCTTTCCGATCCGCTCTGCTTCCATTCAAACCGGGTTTTCTTATTGCTTACTTACTTTTTGAACAATCTTCCATTTTTTGTGAGGAACCAACTATATATCATTCTAAAGAAAAAAACATATTTTGCGCAAAGGTGAGAAGGCTGTTGATTGTGTTGCGCAAATAAAAATAGGTGGCCTTCGGAATGAAATGAAAATAAAAATGTATGAGCCTCGCCGTCCTCGTCAATCCCACATCTCCGAGACAACTTTTGTCCTGATAACAATATTTACAGAAAGGGAAGAGGAAAAACAAGACGCAAGAAGAACTTTTACGAGTCGCCACCACAAAGTGTCCTCGTTCCCGAGATGATAATGTTGCTTGGTGGTGGTGGTGGTGGTGGAAATGAGATGAATTTTTGCCCTATAACACGCAAGTATTTCTTTTACGAGATGACTCGTCGTCGTCGCTTGCTTGCATTAATTCAAAATCTTGAGCAAAATGTGCCTTTTGCAAATCTAAAATTCTCCAGTCTCCAGATTTGACTTGGCACAGGGATAGAAACGAGTCTACTTAATCCTACTGGTTTTCTTGGTGAATTGATTGGTGAACCAAGAGCCGAAAACAAAGTAGTCAAGTGGAGGATGTGGTCGTCGTGGCGTGTTCGATGATGCCGGAGAGAGAGAGAAAGTGGTCTCTGGATTCACCTTATTTGATCACTTCACTACTACTACGACGGTACTTGGAACTGTGTCCTACTACTACGACCAAGTCAATAGTCACCCGCCCATAATATTCATAACGTGTCTATGTAACTTTGGGTCGTCGTCGTCGTTCTGCCCGAGGAAGAAGAAGACATATCTTCTCTCCTCATCTCTCCTCGTCTCATGTTATCTCTCCTGAGAGGTGAACATACATATCACCAACAACAGCATATTGCCCACATTGTGCACTTCTTGCTACGTGATCACCAACTACAGCGTCGTATTGTTGCCTTTTATTGCGTGGAACGAAAGGAACAAGTAATAAAAGTATGCAGGGGCGCAGATGGTTGTTGCATAAGACGCTGATGAAATTAAACGAGGAGCAAAACCATGCAATACTACATACCAAGGAGGACAAAGTAAATGTAGCAAATACTGATCCCGACAACTTCTCCGGTTATCTGGAAATGTTCCCAATCTGGTCAAAATCCTAGTCGCAGAGTTGCAGAAAAGAACAAACTTCTTGGATTAGATTGGATTTCACTCGAGATATTATTGGGTCATGAATTTGTCTCCAAAAACAAACTCAATCCGACCTCTCTCTCCTCTCGATGACCCGTTTGCATCACTCTCATCGAACAAGATTCCTTACTTTACTTACTCTCTCGCTGGTCATAATTAATTTAAGACTTGGTGCAGAGGGCGGATATGTATTTACGAAAAATCGCAGAAATAATGTATTCAATATTTACGATAAAACCATAAAAATACAAATTTATATTTCTGAATATAATCCTGTGGATTGATTTTTTGTGGTTTTTCTCTGAGAAAAAAAACTCCCGTATCGTTGAAATATTTACAAAATGTATGTATTTTTGAAAAAATATGCAAAAGGTTTACGTATTTTTCAAATAATATTTATAAATACATTTATATGTCTGAAAACCCAGAAACATGTAACAATAGGTAAAAGTATTTTGAAATTCTAGTAATCTATGCGAGCAAGGAAAGACACTCACAAACTTTGATCGTGGGTCATAAAATGAAATAGTTGAAAATAAATACATGTCCTCCCTCTGCTTATCTCGTCTCATTCGAGAGGTGATTTATGCAATTCCTCCTCCTTCTCTTCCCTACCACAACCTTTCTCTCTTGCTATCCATAACCTTAAACTTTCCGGGACAATCAATTAGACAGGAAGGACACGGCTCATCAGAAGAAGAACAACTTCCACATTTTTCCCAACTACTTCTAAATACCACGTACGTATGTATAGCCTTGTTTGGATGGCTGAACTAATATTTGCTACTTTTCTCTCTCTCTCTTTCTCATCTCCAGTCAACAATGCATTTATGGCAGCTTTCTCTTTTTTCTCTCTCTTTCCATCCAATCCACCTGGCAATGCAATCCTACTCCTTCTTCTGCTGCTGGCTTTTAGTCCCACTCACAGGCAAATTGTTTCTCTAGGCAGAAGAAGCAGCATCCCTAATGGAATGACCATCATCCATCCATGAGGAGGAGAGAAGTACGCGTCTTGGTCTTCTTCTGAAAAATTGTTTACGTTATCCTCCATCATCTTGCCCAACCAAGCAAGAACCAAGACCCAGAAAAACCCACGCAGCCGAGAAGGAAAACAATGAGAAAGGATTCCTCACATTTCTTCTTTCTCTCTGCCTTTCTTCTTATTTCCCTTGCAATATTTATCATCACCTCAAAAACTGAGTGAACAGTGATGGAATGGATTCCCAGGCTGGAAGAATTCCTATTTCTATTTTACTCCTCAAGAGTCCCAAAATCCATCTTCCCCGCTAAATGAATCGTGTCAATAGCTAATTGAATGAAAAGTAATGGCACAATTCCATTAAATTTAGTGCTATGTGCAGTCGAGCACTATCAACAAAATCCACTCAACCTTTACTCAACCTATACCCAACAAAATAATACAACAATACAAAAACGGGTACGTACAACACGGTATCAAAATATTCATGTTTTTTCTTTTCCTTGCCTCACAACAACCACCACAGGCGAGGCAAGGTCCCGTAGGGAAAAATTGTGAGTCTCTCCTCTCTCGGAAATAATTTAGATGGGTGGTTCGGTCGGATGGATGGATGGCTGGATAACAATGGAAGGGAAGAAGTAAAGTGATAATTATTATTATTTGAGCCACGTTGTTTGCGTCTCAATATCCACATCGGTCTGGGGAAAGGGGGGCGAGTGAGTAAGTGAAGCGGGGCAAATTTCCATGGAGAGAGGAATAATAATTTGGGATTTAATATGCCCCACAAAACATAAAGGCACGCTCCAGGAATCACAATTCCTTCGAGGTCGTCTTTTCCTACGTACGAGATTGGGCACAAGGAGAAGAGGATGAATTGCATGCAAACGATAGGTGAGTCGTCGTCGTTCCTGTTACATTTTCTCCTCAAGGCTC